CATAGAAATGCTCTGAGGGTGATGCTCGCCTACGCTATTATGAGTCACGAATGACACTGTGTCTGCCATTCACAATCACTTGTTACAGTGCAATTTTAATATGCTAATACAGTGTCTAGTTACCTTATTCTTGAAGGCCTACTGATTCCTTGGTGGGAAATGAGTAATTAAGTGGGAGTAAACTCAGATCTTTTGTTACTTTAGCCTCGTATGCAAATTACCTGGGCTTTTAAATTAGAAGTTTTTAATTAGAATTTTTTTGTAAAAAATTTCCTTTAGAAAGTAAGATTTGACTTTTAGTCAGGTTTGCACGGAAATGAAAAAAAAAATTTTATCGTTACGTTCTTTTTCACGAACGGTTCTTTGTTTTTAATAAAGTTTTTTCCGTTTTTATCATTTTCTGTTTTTATTTTCTGTCATTTTTTCAACATACTACACCTGCTTTGTTAAGTTTTGATTACTTTTTTATCGTCGAAACATAACCAAGGCTATTGTAGCTGAAAAGATCAATATTCGGAGCTTGGAATTCGAAGGTCTGAGCTTCGCTTTCTCAAGGGGATTAGAACGTTTTCTTTGCCCACGCTCGTGTCCAGACGAAAAAAATTTTTTTCTTCTCCAAAAATTGGTCCTAAAACAGAGATCTCAGTGCCTTACCAGCAGATAATCCTGAGCATGTATTGAGTAGAATTACTTTATCACATGTTTATCACGAATAACCAAGGAAGGGTTCTTCGTGGGTGGTTCTTTGAAAAAGAAATTTTACTCAAACAGCGGCTTTAAAAAATTAAAAAACGTAGATTTCCAAACTGAGTGGGTGAGGAAAAACTTCTTTGCAATAAACAAACACAATACAATCGAAAGCTGCTTTAAAGTAAACCAAAGTTTTTTTCGACTGTGAAGACCAGGGCCCAGCTGTTTAAAGGGCAGATAATTTTAAATATCCAACGAATAAATCGCTATCCAGCGGATAAGTGATAGCAAAGCGTACTGCGCTATACACCAAATGGAGATTGATCCAGTCGATAGCATTATCTAGCTTTCGAACAACCGAGACCTGCAGATCAAGCGGTGCATGAAATTAAACGATTCATGCTTAGAAAAGAAGTCGTCAAATTAAAAGCGACACCTTAAACGTCATGCTGGTTAATTTTAGACCCGGTTCTGTTTCTCTCAAGCCACCCGAAAATATACCATGTCGTTATAGTTTTCGAGGACCTTTTAACTGGGATGATACTGCTTTCTGATAATCTTACACGCGTAAGGTTTTTAATTTTAATGTAACGATCTAACATGCAGAAGACTATACAGTCATCACCCACCAAGATATTTCACACAGTTGGAGAATCAGGTTTACCGTACCAACCCAATCTGCATCGCTTAGAATATTATGGTATCTGCGACGTGACCAATAGCTTGCACAGATTAAACAGAGTTTAAAAATCATCGTTTCATAAAACTTAGACCAATTATATTTGAATATGTAATCTGACTCCATTCGCGTTGAGTGATTTACATGAGCACATCAGAAACAAAACGCCCATCGTCGTGTACACTTCAATAAGCCAATCAACGAAAGGCCTATTGTTAAATGGGGCCTGCACCTGCCGCTGGGCGCCGATAGGGGAGGCTGGGGGACTTACCGATAACCAGTAGAATCTTATGGTGGTTGTGCCATCGAAACGCAAGACAGGGCTAGTTTTTGTAATTTCCACCAAAGTTTTAATTTTTTTCAACATATTGTCAATCTTACGATGTGAGTGAATATAGCCATGTAAACTTTCGTCAGTGTCCGTAAAAGATTGAAGCGATTCTATGACGTTTCTAAGCTGTAATTCATTTGAAAATACTCTGGCAAAACATTTGAAATATGACATCTTTGGGTTGGTCGAGCCCTTTCCGTCCCTTAGTTCTAAATATTACAGAATTGTAAAGGATAAAACGCAATAACTCGTTCCCTTGATTTCTCGAGTCAACAGATTGTCACGACAATTTTGAAAGGTGTTTACACCAGCTCAACCTGCTGCTAAGCATTAAGGTAACACAAGATTTTTTCCTCTAAATATTATGTCTTCACAGGAAATGAATGATTCTAGATTAAGAAATTGTTTGACAATTAGATTCATACATGCGCAGACATTTTGCGTGTTGCAAGCGGTAAGCAAAATTTCCTTTCGTAATAAATGATTAACCATGGAATAAGTCTGAAGGACATTAAAAAAACAAAGCTTGGATCGTTAAGTGCGACCATTAAGTTGCTCCGCTTTCTGTCAGTGCATTCGCCTCGTTCTAGTGCGTCATTAGATAGGTATACGTTTTTTCTCCCTTATATGGTAAAATGGTGTAATTATGGAATGATAGTCAGTTACTCCTGATTTCAAATCGTTCCTGTAGCAAGTGTTACTCTTCATGCATGTAATGATTAACATCATTACATGGTGGATATTTACCCCCGTAGCCGGGTCCTCAGAAGGGGTTGTCTCAGCATAAACACAAACTGCTACATGTTTTGGTCTCGGTAGAACACTGGTTCACTTGAGGAATTCTGACACACCAGGGAGACGTGGAGATGTCCTTTGTTTACATTTCAATGGCGTGTTAAAAAAACAAAACAAAAAACAATCGTGTTTCATCAAACAGCGATGTATGATATCATGTCGCAGATCTTAAAACTTAAACAGAGATTTTCTACACCAGAGTAGAGCAGAAGTAATGTCGTTAAAACTCTTAGCTGGTTAACTTAAGGAATTTTGCCACACGAGGGAGATATGGAGATGTTCCTCGTTTACAAAACAATGGTGTTTTTAAAAGACAATCGTGTTTCATCAAACGGCGATGGATTATATGAAGTCGCAGATTTTAAAACTTTAACATACATTTTCTATGCCTGAGAAGAGCAGAAATATCGCTTTTCTAAGTAGTAACTCATTCCATTGATTTCTCATTTTTAAATAAAAACTGGTTAATGAACATCTCACTATAAAATAAATTGCGGCATCTTTGAAGCTGGAAGAAATAACTGATAAACATTTCCAGTTCTATTATGTTTTACGGGAATAGTTACTACATTAGATGGGAACTCTAATTACTTACGCCAGATGTTTCCTTTTGAGACTACAGATAATCATATTGTTGTGCTGTTGTTATTAGACAAGTCGGCGAGCTTCTAAGCTCATGATAGAATACTTTCCTCATTCGGTATTTTCAAAATATTGTTTTCAGCAAACAGTTGGAGTCAAAAAGTCTTATTCATAAGCCTCTAAAAGTAATAGAAATGGGACAGAGGATTGTGAATATTTTGGAAACAAAAAGTGATTTATGTTTTCAGTTTGAAATTTCTAGACGTGAAAGTGGGCCGTCGCCGCGGGCTGAGCTAATCAAGATGTTCAGGGAATCACTGTCGTGACAAAAAGAGAAAATAGCGAAACAAAAAATGTAATGACCAGAACAATAGCTCTGTAAATGAGTTTTAAAATTTTTACATGTTGCAGACGTCCGATGCAGAAAAACAAATGAAATTGCCAAATTTTGTGTTGTCTAAGAACGGGAACCCCGCTTGCAAATTATTCACTCTTCTTCTTTAAACTCAACTGCTACCAGCTTCAGTGTCAGCTAATGAAGCAAATCGGGATCATTTAAGCAAAATGTAAGTTTACTTTGGATCAATGTTTCCGCGTCGTTGCCGTTCTCACTTCATCGCTTTCCGAGTAAGAATTTCTTGCGTTCAAGGCCTCTTAGGGTATGATTGGCCCAAGCTAGGCGCAGATATTTCAGTCTACTCAAAATTTGACAAGAAATGTAAACGAGGTTTTGAACGACCATTTTGCACGTCTTTTGGCACAAGATAAAGTGTGTTGAGAATTGGACCCGGGGAATCAGCGTAATTTGCGTTCGAATCACTCAAAGCGTGACTAATAGCTTCAAAATTCGAAAAAGTTTTGTTCAAACGTTGGTATATCAAAAACTGCATGTACGTCTTTGTCATGTCAGTCGGCCTGAAGGCAAACAGATAAGTAGAGGAGAATAAATGGCGGATGGAGGCAAATAAGAGAAAATGTATACTGACTGTGCGATAAGAGGAGAGAATTGCTAGCCCAGTGATGTCCAAACGTCGGGAGATAAAAACCTACATGTACGACTTTGTCATGTCAGTCCGCCTGAACGCAAGTAGATAAATAGAGGTCGATAAATGGTGGATTGAGGCACATAAGTGAAAGTGCATACTACAACTGTACGATAACAGCAAAGAATAGCTAGGCTATTGATGTCCAAACGTCGGCATATCAAAAGCTGCATATAAGACTTTGTCATGTCAGTCAGCCTGAAGGCAAACTAGTAAATAGAGATGAAAAACGGAGGAGGCAAATAAACGGAGGAGGCAAATAAACGGAAATGTATATACTAACTGGAGGGCAAAGGAAAAGAAATGTTAGCCTAAAGGGCAAAAAGATTTCCTCCCAGTATTGTTTTTGCCCTATTCTTGATTCATTCGCCAGTGCCATTTCATCTGCCTAGACCTTATAAATACTTTCAGTTGCCAGTGTACCATTTGTTCATTCAAGATTGACTCTTTGTGTTACCTTCTACACCTTCACAACTCATTTTTTTCAGTCGTTCGTCGTGGATAGGCCTTGAGGTATAATCCTCATCCGCCGAAGATGTTGCGATTTGCCGTGATGATGGTTTGGCTTACGTTTGCAACGTGCAGCGGTAAGGAAGTGTAAATATATTTTAAACATCGAGAAAATAATCTTTATTAAGAAATGTGCGTATGGGAAGATATACATAAATCCCACAAGATTCCAGCTGAGGAGGCTTTTTACAAATATGGTTGTTGAAGAAAATCTTTAGAGTTTTCTCAATTACAAGATCTGTAAGGATTGAGGCCAGTAATAGTTCAATACCTTTTCGTTTTTCACTCAGCACATTTTAAGACGATATGTCCAACGGTGGTGTCGACAATCACGTGCCACAACGATACCAAAATTTTCATCGAGTCCGTGATGTATGGAAGAACTGATAACTTTACTTGCCCACCGACATCATTGTGCGATCCATCCATTGATCTGAGCGGGAAAGTCACACCAATCTGCCAGGGAAAGAGCTCTTGTGATATTAACGGATCTTATGATGGCCTGGAAAAACCGTGCAACACAAGCTATTTTAACATTTCCTACACCTGTAAAAAAAGTGAGTTTGGAAAAATGATCTAGTCTAGCAAATCATTTGTGTCTATTTCTTTGCTGATGTCAGATAGTTTAGTGAGAAGAGGAGTAAGGTCACAAAGGTTTCAGTCATCCACGTTGCTTTGCATGGAGGGAAACCTCTGAGTAATAAACACGAAGCTAAGAGTTGCCATGGGTCGCAAATGACAAACTTAAAAGCATCGAGCTACCTCTCTCCAAGTTTTCTTAAGTTGTGACGCAATCCCTGAATGGAATTGAAATGTGATGATTTGTTAACATAGCCTTCGCTAAAAAATCGGCTTGTATGGAACCTTTTTCATGTTTGTTGTTAGGAAAGAAAACATTTATGACAAGTTTTCCGACAGGATTTTTGTGTGCATTTCAAGCAAATGTGATGTTTTGAATCTCCTCGAGTCGATGAGTAAGTTAAAAAATTGCTCACTGAGACAGCCACGATGTTTGCATGATTTGTTTATCTTTTAACCTATTTCTTTTTTATTCTCAAACAATTTTTTAAATTGATTCGAACTTTACTCTATTTATTGCAGTTAACGTGACTGAGATAAAAGAACATCATATTGGCAACTTTGTTTGTCCAAAAGGGAAAGTATTTGTCGCTCACAGATTGGAATGGCTCGGAATTGAATATATACTTAAAAGTCGAAATATATCAGCACCAAACAGTACCATTCCACTGGTTGCCATTTCAACAAGTAACTTGAGCATGATATGGTCTACAAGTAAAAGTAACAGGAAAGTGTTACAGACACAAGTGGTTGCTAGTACATCACTACTGGCATCAGGGTTTCACATATCGTCGAGTGCGCTTGTGACTCAAAAGAAAACAGCTACCACTCCTAGTTTGTTTACCATGATGATCAATTCTTCTTCAACTTCAGGATCAGAATCTTTGGCAGCATCATCAAGACCTTCGTCACCATTACCTAATTCTGTAATGAAATCGCCAGGCGTATCTGCAACATTATCAGAGACACAAGCTACATTAATAAGTGAAGGATCTTTTTCTTCATCGCCATTACCAACGACAGCAGCACCAGTGACCACACCGTCTTTGTTATCATCAACCTTGCCAAATCCAGTTGTGCTACCATCAATGACTTCATCTCCAACAATAGCTACTTTCTTTCCCAGACAGTCCACAGAAGTTGGACTCACAAAACCGTCTTTATCTTCAAAAAACTCGCCAGATAAAACAGTTCTGTCATTGGGGTCTTCATCTCCAACTACGACAACATATATCGCTCAACCTTCCATAACTTCTTTCTTATCAACACAAAATAAAACACTGTTGTCAACACTATCAGCAACGACGGTCCCTAACGTATCAGTGCCAGCTTTAAACTCCTCTAGATCCATCATGCCGGAGCAAAAAAAGTATGAATATTATAACATCACTCAGGAGATCAAGCCCAAGAAAGTACACACTATTAAACTATTCAATTGCCGTGGCAAGATGAAATGTTATTTTAACGTTACTAGGAAAAAATTTACTAATCCGTATCCAGAGAAAATTACCGAGTTACGACTTTCTGTCAAACACAGCTGCCAAACTGGTAAGTACCGGTGAGAATGGCTTAACGTGAATAGTACCACTGATTTTTTTTTTATTTGACCGAACGAATGGCCAAACGGATTTCAAAGGAAAGACTGCAACTGTCTCATCATCAATGAACTTTGATACCATATCGCCATGACCTCGACAGTACCAACCGACTTTATGACTGTTGTTTTACATGGCAAAAGAGGCAGAAATGAAACATCTTTAAAACGTCATTAACTATTATTTTCTGTTGGTTATTTATGGTCCGACCTCTTTAGAGCGAGTAAAATGGAAGATCTATATGTACTAGACAGCTTTAGTGGGTTTCAAAGGTGAATCCATGCTCCGAACATCTAGAGTTTTCCGATTTTAGTATTTCACTCACAAATATTTCACCCTGGATATTTCGAAGCTGCCGGCATCTTAAGTCACGTATGCATGCCCCTCGAAAAAATGGCACTAATCAGTGAAGTTACATAAATTTTTAAACAAGTTTGTTGTGAACGAACAATAGTGTCTCTATTGATCCTAGCTGAAAATGGCTACCTTCAGTGGGAAAGCTGGAGCGCGTGCCCAGACGTGTGCGGTATAACGTACCATCAAGTCAGGAGGAGGATTTGCCAAAATCCTACCACTACTACAGGAGGAGGTGATTGCTCCGGTCACAGATCAGAAACTCTGGAGTCAGGATGTTACAAAGAGTGTCTTGGTGAGTGTTTATGCTGTTGTACTTAAGTTTTGCAGTGTAAGCTACCCTCGATCACGAACCAAACCTGACCAGCCATAAAGACAACGATGAAACTGAGATATGGGTTTTCCCGGACAGTTGAGTCATGGCATTTGAGATCTAATACCATAACGAAAGATATCTTGATTAATGGTAGTCAGATATAAATCAAAATACAATCTCAGATATCATACTCAGATGATTTAAAAGAAATTAGACGTCATAATGTCTTTCTTTACGTTTTTTAGACCGCAATTCTACAACCTGCCATTTTTTGACAGCCAACTTATCCTGTCCAAATGGTACATTCATCAACATTATCAGCATGTTCTACGGCCGTGAACAGGAGAACGTTAGCTTTTGCGACAGCAGCGGTCTTCCAGATGGCGCATGTGTACCACCAGATGACATAGCAGACCATAATAGAGCACAAGTTTATGAAAGATGCCAGATGAAATCTAACTGTACCATAGCAGTTTCTAATGACACGTTTCGCGACCCATGTCCCGGATTTAGCAAGCGCTTGAAAATCAACTACACGTGCAGTCCTAGTAAGAAAATAATTCTACATTTTCGTACAAACCTCTTTCATAAATGATGATGATTATTTTATCTGGATGCAAATTAACGCTCTTAACCTCGTTTTCGATTGAATTATTGTATTGCTTTCTATTTTGACATGTCTACGAGGCCAGAAAGGTTAATTTGCATAAATACGAAAGGTCTCTAGTTGGAGCACGGGTTTATTTAAAAGGCACGTTAACCAATCGATGAAGCCGTTGACTATAGCGCAAAAAGGTCATCTTTCTGTTTTCGAGGCCTTTTCACAAAATGACCAAACTGTAGTTGAGACTTTCGTTGTTTTTGATACCGAAAAAATTATTGGTAAATGTCTTGAAAAGATTCTATCGCAGTGGTCATTGCTCAAGGGAAACTATGGAAAGTGGCAAAAGTTCGTGCCGTATGAATTTATCTCTTTTCATAGGCTTCAAAATTCAGGGAAAGTCTTGAGGATGGACGCTGCGAGCATTAATTGACTCGGTGTAATTATTTTTTACTTAGGACTTCACCAAAAATTAAAATAACTATTTCAAATTTGGCAATCTTCAGGATACGTAACACATTCCTCCCTGGATAGGTAATAAGTTGATATTCATGTGTCAATGTCTCTTCTTCTCTCTCTCTCTCTCTCTCTTTCTCCTCTTCTCTCTCTTCAGTATTTACGAGAACATTTTGCGACGCAGACAAAGCTTTATTAAGCTGTCCCGCTGGAATGCGAGTTGTTTTCCACAACACGCTCTTTTATGGTCAAATGAACACGTCAGAATCTTGTCCAGTAACAGCCTCGGGATCGTGCAGCTCTGGTCTGAAATATGGTGTCATGAATGAATATTGTTCGGGTGTAAACAAATGCGATATCCCGACGATATCGGCTACTGAATTCAACTTGAGACAGTGCAAAGACACCAGTAATTATCTCACGATTCATCACAGCTGCCAGAGAGGTAAGTGCTCTTCGTCGACAGCCACTGCTAATTTACTTCCGTTTTTCTTTTTGAGTTCTGATTTGCTTTTCAAGCGGCAAATGTGTTCCTGCAGTTATTTTTACGTCGTCTCGATCTGTAGATACGCACACAAAAGTATTGACTGAGAAAGATGATGATAATGACCAAGCCCCTTGGTGGAATACTGTGGGACTTAGAGAGAGACCTAACGGATACCCAACTATACTGGCCTCACATTCGACCGTATTCATTCTGAGCTTCCGCTACGTGAACCTCTAATTTTGTTTTCTTTTGTCCTCTTTTACGTTTAATCCTCGTTCATATCCTCTTCAATACTATGCTTTTGCCTAGGATCATACATCGACATTTCGATAATTTCGACATTTCGGCATTTAGTTTTCAAAATAGCTGTCATTATTTATACATCCCTCACATAAGTAGCAAATCCGAAAGCAGATTCGACTTGTTTCTTTAATGTTTTCTTCTCTGTCTTTTGGGCCAAAGCTTTAAAAGAGACTATAATTTTAATGTATTTATATTAATCCACTAAGATGAGTTAGGCCAGAAATGATAGTACCGAAAATTCCCCTTCCTCTGAGTTGCATATATCAATTAAAATTAAAAAAATCAATTGACTGGAATGTTTTTCTGTTTTCAAGTGGAAGCCATCTATACTCCTTGGGGTCCCTGGGGTCCATGCGAGGCCTGTGGCCTCACTACTCGTCGAATAAGAGAACGTAAATGCGTTAGTCCTGGTATAGAGTATTTTGCACCTCCGTGGGGCTGCAGCTACTGGTCCAATTTGGTAGAGCAGGATCACTGTTACCATGGTTGTGGAGGTCAGAACACCTGTTTTCTTCTTTATTAAATAAGCTCCTAAGTTTCACAGTTTCAATTTTAATAACCCTTTGCATCCACAACTTCGGTCTTCAGTCAGGCCTTCACGGCTACCATAGGGTGTATGAAGTTCCCACCGTACTTCACCATAACTGGCCATTTCTCAATTTGGAACGTTGCCCAGGGTGCTCGACGGAGACGTGGAAACTAATTTATTGAATTTGAAGTTTTACTTGAACTTGTTGTATAGTAATAACCATAGTTGTTATGTACCCGTAGATAAAACTGTGAGCCTTGATCATGGAGAGAATACCACAATTGTGTGTCCCGAGGACGACATTTACCACACTGTGATTGAGATCCGATCAGTCTTCTATGGGAATGAAAGTTGCCCATCAAACAACGGTAGCAAGATTGCTGTCATGAAAAGATGTCAAGGACGAAACGAGTGTTACCTCGAAGCCTCAACAGCCATATTTAACGATTCTTGTCCCGGGATCAAAAAATTTTTGAATGTAACATACAGGTGCCAGTCAAGTAAGTGCAACAGTGACTAAATAGAGAGCCATATTACCAGCATTTGGTCAAAATTGATAAAAAGTTTAGGCATTTACCTCTTAAATTAGGAGCCACGGAGATCGGTAAGTGCTCATTTCATTTTGAGCTCGTGGCATTCTAATATTATTGTACGGTTAAGAATATATGAAAGTCATATATTTGAACTGCGGATAAAGACATGAATGAAAGTGATCCTCGCAGTGATATGCACTACTTAGGCAGTAGTGAAAATAAGGCCTGAAAAAAATTCAGGCCTGTACGGGATTTGAACCCATGACCTCTGCGATACCGGTGCAGCGCTCTACCAACTGAGCTAACAAGCCAACTGGGAGCTGGTCATGATGGTGGTTCTAAATAAACCCGTGAAGTGATGAATGTACAGTTAAGAATATATGAAAGTCATATATTTGAACTGCGGATAAAGACATGAATGAAAGTGATCCTCGCAGTGATATGCACTACAAATATTCAAATATATGACTTTCATATATTCTTAACCGTACATTCATCACTTCACGGGTTTATTTAGAACCACCATCATGACCAGCTCCCATTGGCTTGTTAGCTCAGTTGGTAGAGCGCTGCACCGGTATCGCAGAGGTCATGGGTTCAAATCCCGTACAGGCCTGAATTTTTTTCAGGCCTTATTTTCACTACTGCCTAAGTAGTGCATATCACTGCGAGGATCACTTTCATTCATGTCTAATATTATTGTTAGCACTCTTTTGATTGCGATAGGTTTACACTAAGAAAAACGACCATCATGTGAAAAATTGCAATTGGATTCTCCCAGACTCGAGCATAAATAGTTTTAAATTTCAACCTTAAATCAAATAATTTACAAATTCACTATTTAAGTAATTCTTAGCCGTGCTTCTGTTACAACCGAACTCTTCAAAGCAAAACTTGAGAGTTATTTAACCCTTTAATCCTTAAGAGTGGTTAGCAACTAATTGCTCCCATCAATATCACCCCTAAAACAAACATCGAGGCCATGAGAATAGAGGAAATGATCACCAACTAAAGAAGCTCTTGATTGTTAAACATATTCTCTTTGTCAGTATCATAGGAAATGTATAGAGAACAGTATGGGGAAAATGCATACCGATCGTAAGGTGTAAGGGGTTAAAGTTGTTTGTTATCTTTCCTCATAAAAACCCTACAAGGTGGTAATTCGGCACAGTAAATTATTAGTAATTAACCCTTTACTCCCTAACATCAGTATGCATATTCTCCATACTGTTCTCTATACATTTCCTAAGGTGCTGACAAGGGGAATTAGCTTAACGATCCAGAGCCTCTGTGGTTATTGATCATTTCCATAATTCTCATGACTCTAATAATTGATTCAGGGGAGATATTGTAAAGAGAAATTAGATGCTGGTCACTCTTAGGGTGTTAAAGGGTTAAAAAAAAAGACAGGTCAACAGTTATCGATACTGTGGGTTTCACGTTTAGGAGTACTTTAGGGCGCGAGGTTACTTATCTTGTCGATGGTTATTTAGAACGTTTGTCAGAGGGGAGGAGATTAAAAAAAAGCTATTCTTCTGTTGACATCTTTCCTAAGAAAATTCTTTCATTTTCACAAATTTTATTAGAACTTGATTTAAAACTTACGTTGTTTCTATTGTGTTTATTTTTACCCCCATAGTTTATAGTATTGAGCAATCTGAGCGTTATACAATGGTACCAACTAATCTTAGTTGCTATGACAACATGATTATCGTAACGCATGCAGTCTCGTGGGATGACGGCTTTGGAAACTGCAATTATGGTCAAAGGGCAATGACAATCATTCAGAACCTTTGCGATGGCAGAAATTCATGCGTTGTGCTGAATAAAAAGTCTCTACTGGGTGGCTACTGTGGGAGTTATCTAAAATTTGTAATGTATTACAGCTGCCAGACAGGTACGTTAAGAAATTAGATCTGTTAAATTCTATGATGTGAACGCAAACTGCCCCAGAATTAAGCCGTGAGCTGAAAAGCAAGGGCTTGGTACTGAATTGAAGATGCATTGGCCTGATGGTCAGTACCATTAGGGTTCTGAATCAGCATGTGCGGGCTCAAGCTCTGGCCAGGTCTCTGTGTTGTTTTCTTGGGCACGACTTTTTACACTCGGAGAGCCTCTCTCCATCAAAGAATATGGATGGGTGTTCGTAAAATATAAAAAAAATCCTAAATAAAACACTGATGGGTGATTACCATTCCCTAGAAGGGTAACCGAAATAATCCTCGTTGCTAAATGATGTGGAGACTCGGATACGCTTTGGTTGCGTAGGCAACCTTGCTTGTTAGCACACTTATCTACTCGGTTGATATCACGGCGGAGCAATTTACTTAGACCAACCAGAGAGTGCTATCAACCTAAACCAATGTAATCAAGTGTCAAATTTATATTTCGTTTTCTACTTCCTTTTTCCTTTGAATTAACCGCAGCATATGGAGGTTTGGACACAGAATGGTCTGCTTGGAGTAATTGCACAGAATGTGGTCACACACCTGTAAAGAGAAGAATAAAGCCTTGCCTCAGTCCTATTAATAAGAATAGTGGAGCCCACTGTCCTTTGATTGAGCAGATTGCACCTTGTAACTTCCCATGCCCGGGTAAGTAATACGAAAAGTAAGCGTTCTTCCTTTCATACTAAATGATAAATCTGCAAGAAACTTAGGGTATATTTTCCAATGTGGTATCACTCTTCCATCTTCAGTACCAGTCATTAACTACTTGAATACTTATGTCTGGTTTGCTCAATCATTATGTTATTTCTCTTTCAGTTGATGGATTGTCGTTTATAGGCGACGATTTTTCAGTGGTTTTAGGTCAGAATTTTTCCATCCAATGGAAATTGAGACTAGGAACAAATTCAACCGGAGTCATCAGCTGGGGAGACAACAGTGCTAACGAGACAGTAGGCAGGTACATTATGGCAAACGCGAGCACTCCGTTCTCCCTTGTAAACTGGCACAATTACACTTTTGAGGGTGAATTTTGGGTTAAAGTGTACGCATTTAACTACTTCAGTAACCAGACGATTTACAGAATGGTTTATGTTCAAGTAAAGCTCTGTGGATTAAATTTCACGGCGCCAACAACGGTGGCAACGAACACGTCATCCCATTTTGATGTTTCATTAGAAGTTGTGTCCCTGAAAAAGCCTCTCGTTTTGTTTTCCTTTGGAAATGGAGTGGTTCTTAGTTCCACATGCTTTGAAACAAACTATACTTACCCCAAAGCTGGCGTATTTATGGCTTATGCGAACGCTAAAAACAAGGTGAGCTCCTTGACATCGACGCGCAAGGTTATTGTACAGGATCCGGTGAGAGGATTTAAGGCGGATAGAGAGATTTATTTTGTGACTGTGGGTCACTATGCAAGATTTTTGTTTTCTATAGAACAGGGGACGAACGTTTCAGTGAATGCCTCATTATATGACTGTGAACTTCCTTTCCTGGCAACTTGGTTGAACGGGCCAAGTCACTTAAACAGCTTGCTAACATGTGTCTTCGACAAAGTTGGAACATGCAATGGTTTCTTTTACGCCTCAAATAAAGTTAGCCAAGCTAATGCTTCGGCTTTAATTATAAGTGAAGTCGCCATACATGGATTTAACGTTACTGTGGAGTGCCAGAGTAGATACCCTTCTTGTTTTCAACATGACCGAATTGTCTTTCACATCAACGTTACGAATGGAACTAGGCCAAAATTTGTATTCCATATGGGAGATGGAAACGTAGTTATTTCATCAGAGAAAACCCTTGATTACTTCTTTAGGGTAAGTGGGTCTTTCAACGTCAACATCACAGCTCACAATAACGTCAGTAGTATAAGTATCTTACGGAAAATTGGCGTTTCGGAGCTTGTGCCAATGAGTGGAGCTTACGTAAACTGTAATAAAACCGTGGGCTTGTCTGACTTGACCATGTGCAGTTTTGGTGTCCAGCAAGGAACGGCATTCGAATGCTGGTTGGATCTTGGAGTCAATAACCAGCTCATTTTATTTTTCACTTATTTCAATCTGACATCTTTTATAAGTTACAATTTAACATCTTATGGGGAATACACTGTTCAATTCTTATGCAACAACACCATCAACTCCAGCAGCGCCAAAGTTGTAACCAAGGTTGTGCCTCGTTCACTTAAGCTCGGCATAAGTCAAAACGGTCCAGTTATGGTCAACAGAACCTTGACGCTGACACTTTCAGCGAGTGAAACTGGCTATCCCTCTTGTTTTACTCTAGATCTTGGAAACAGTCAGAGGATTGTGTTTGGATCGCTAAAATGCACAACTGGGGAACACCAAAAATCGTTTCCGTATCCCTCCTTGCAATACAACTACACATACACTAAGGCTGCAATTTATAACGTAACTTGGAGTGGACAAAATAATTTTACCTCTGAGTCAGTTCACTCCCTTATAATTATCACGGAATTGCCTTGCCTTAAACCGCAGGTCATTCTCCAAAACGTTGCCAGCAATCGGCTTTCACCAGCGGTAATTACACGTTCCAAGGAATTCATCGTTAGTTCACGATATCGAATCGATTGCGAAAGAGCAACAGGCGCGATTCTTCAATGGAAAATATTCAAAAATACCACAGATAAGGGCTTTGTTCTACAGAGTACAAGAGTAACGGAAAGATCTGACCTCATATTACTTTCAAATGAATTGGAATATGGATTATATTGCATAAAATTAACGCTGACCCTACAGAACGCGTTCGATATTGCGGGAACTGCTGAGGGGTATTTCAAGGTCACTACTTCGAAATTGATTGCAGATCTACAAGACGGCTCTGCCAACAGAAGGAGTTATTTACAACCAGTGTTTATAAATGCAACTGGTTCCCTGGATCCCGACTCTCCGGATAGCAGTAAGTTGGAATTTAAATGGTACTGTTACAACATTACTGACAGATTGAAAACCTTCAATTATTCAAAGATGCCGCTGTCTACTTTGGCGGATGCTCTCAGTGAGTCTCCTTTACCAAATGGCTGCTTTGGTAATAATGGATCAATGGCAGCCAATTCCTCAGAAATAATTCTTCCCCAACAGAAGGTAATCGAGAATGGACTTTACTTGGTTAAGTTAGTTTTGTCATCGAGAAATAGAGAGGCTTCAAAGGCGACAGTTATCCAGGTTGTAAACGACGAGATACCACAATTCTATATCAGGTTTGTTACATTTTTCTCATTGATCCAATTAGGGATTGTACGCGTAATATCCCTGTACAGTTCAGGGGCGGATCAAGGGGAGTGGCCTGGGGGGCCCAGGGCCCCCCTCCCTAGTTTTGGTTAAAAAAAATCGCAGAAGGAAGAAAAGCCGGCAGGGCAAGCAACAAAAAAACCAAGCCACCCCTTAGCTCAAGGTCTGGATCCGCCACGGTAGTTCTAGCCATCGAGCTCGGTCATTTCATCTTGGTTTCAATAGGCCATATAACAGAGCTTGTTTGAAGTTTCCAACCACTTTTGCAGTGAAGTAGTAAACCCGCCGTTCTATTGGTGGACGGTGCTGCGCATACTCTTAGGAAATAGATATGTGGGGCCAACGAAGGATCATCCACTTGTAGTGCCAAGTAAAACGGGGAACCATCTGTCTCAAAAATCGAAGCGATGGCAAATTTTGTAATGATTCTTTATAGATAGCTACACGGAGCTCCCAAAATAGAAAATGTTAAAAAAACTTATTCCTCTTGTTCACCTCTATTTGCAAATGTAATGAAGCAATATTTTCTTTAGATGTGTGGTGAACTGCAAACGACTAGTAATTACAACGGACATTCTGTCCGTTAGTAGTCACTGTTTCTCTGGAACTTGCGAAAAAGGGAAATCGGGTGTGTATTCATGGGAACTCTTCCATAGAAGCGTGAATGAGACAGATGGGAAAAAGTGGAACAGAGTCGCTGATCTAGAGGGCATCGCCTCATCCAACACAAGTTCGAAGAATCTTGCGTTGAAAGCTTATGTTCTACATCCCGAGATGTCGTACGTGGTTCGAATGTGGTACAAATGGTTGGATCACGAAAGCCTCGCAGAATACAGCTTTACAACAAGTCGTCCACCATATGGAGGAAATTGTTCCGTGAGTCCTTCAGCGGGCGAAGCATATCAAACCATGTTTATATTTGAATGTGCAGGGTGGCAAACCAAGAACATGCCTCTTCTTTACGTGGTTTCCTACTATGATCCATACACACAACTGAAACCTGTGCTTTTTAGGGCTGAGGAAGATCGATTTTTGGTCAAACTGGCTTTAGGAGACTCAAATGACAACTTCCGTCTAAAGATATTTTTTAGTGTAATAGATTCCTTTGGTGCGCGTATGGATACCCAGAGGCTTATACAGGTATCTTTGTTTTTCTTTACTCGTTAAAACTCATTCGACTGCGTGTGAACGGTACTTCTGAACTTTTTCGCTTTTGAGGGGTCACCAAAAGTCAGGGGAACGTGTTAACCTTATTGATTCAATTAGGTAATACAACTGTTATAATTGTAAGTTTTTTTTTTTACGTCGTGAGCGTCATTATAAGAGTCTTTATTTCTACAAGTAAATGCCTGATGGGCTACACTGACAAGTGGCGAGTAAACAGACGTATAACCTTCAAGAATCATGTTTTTTTTTTTTATCGATAACCGCTTTTTACAATTTGCCATGACAGCCCTGGATAAATCTATTTTTAGGTACTTCCTCGAAAAGTTGTCCCATTGAAACTTGATGAACTAATTTTGAAAGACAACAGCAAACTCAATTTCTACCTCAACATCGGTGACATTGATTCAGTCTCTGAGCTAGTAAGCGGTGTTATGTCCAGCCTTAATTATGAAGCAATACACAGAGGCAATGGCACAAGTTCTGCTGAAATTCAAAGCGAGGTGAGTTCAGGTTTTTGAAGTAAATCTACTGGTCTGATCATGTACTCCAATCTCAACAATCAATATTGAGGAAAGCGAAAAGGTCGATGCAGAGGCTTTTGAAGTGAGGTGAATCTTTGAACCGAGGGCTCGTAGTGACAATTAAGGTACATTTCTATGCAGGTTCGTTACACCATCATGCAGAAGATTTCCCGGATCCCAATATCAACAATGACAGATATCAATCAAGTTTCAACCATGATAGCAGCAGCATCAGAAATAAAGGAGCACGTCAACTCAACAGCTCAGGTACATACGTATACGCAGTATTTGCTTAATTTTGACTGCAATTTTAGCCACAGCTTTCAAACACCATGAGTTTCACAACCAATAACTACAAGGTAAAATTGGCTCGATCACTCTCCACAAACTAAACTTCAAAAACTCGTCTGACAATATCATCATCTTGCACTCAAGTTGTCGAAAAGTCACTCCCCGTCACGGCAACAGCTATCCTTTCAAGGATAAACGCTACACGGACGATCACGTTTCGCGAGTGACCATTTCAGTGTTATCGCTGATTACTTCTTTTTATGGTGCCGTATGCGTTATTTTTCTTGAAGGAAATAGCCACAAACAAGATTTCAAGCATGATAAATCTTCTGTTGAACAAGTCCCGACAAGACATTGGTGTGTCTGTGGTTACAGACGGAGCAGAAAATCTTGTGACTGCGGTATTCAACGTTTTGATGTCAGCTTCTTATAGTGCTGATTTCAGGCGGATGAGTGTCACGGATGAACTCGACCAAAATAAGGTATAAGTAATTGTTGGCTAACAGCATTTTTCATTTAGATGGTTTAAACCTTATTTCAGTCATAGGGAACTTAAGAAAACTTTGACTAAACTGAAATTGCATCATACAAACATACTTTGAGGAGAAATCTTCCGACAAATTCAACAGCAGGAGCCACGGTGGAAACAAGCAGCCTTGAGCTACTCTAAGCGTAAAGTTTCGATCAGAAACTATACATACACTGTGTCGCTACTATTAGGATAACCTTTCGGATGACTAAACGATGCAAAATGAGCTTAATTTACTTGTTATTTTCTACCAGAGTAAAACAATAGCTTACAAAAACATTGAAGCTTTTGAGAAAGTCACCGAGGCTGTTTCTAACAAACTGCTACCAGGCCAGGAGGACATTGAAATTCAAACAAAGTCGGCCATATTGACCTGCAGAAGAGCCAAGGTAGCTGCGCTTACAGATCATCCTATAAATGCAGGAAATGCTAGTGTGAATTTCCCGGATTTGCAAGAACTAATTGGCAATAAAACAGTTGATGTCCAGGTATGTTTAGTTCAACCCACACAGGTGGAATTTCTATCACATTCATCTCTTTCGTCATGTTTATGCGCCAATTTTGTTTAGAGAGAAAAAAAAGTTGTCGCAACTGCCTGTCCCTGTCTCGAAATGTTTCCACGGGAATACCCTGAGCCATCTTTATTTGTTCTCCACCAAAATGTTGCGGCAACTCTCAAGGCTGAGGTGACAAGCTACCTTGAGTCGAAATATAACCAAGAAGGAATAAGCTTTGGAATCAAGGCCTTTAGTTTGATCGTCGTTTGATGATCAAGAGCATCAGAAAGAGTTTTTCTCTTCAAGGAGCTAAATACGTTTCGTTGCTAAGTTATCTGCTTGGATGAAGATCGATCTTAAGCGTCATAGTTCTTTGGAAAGGGCGTAATAGGGATGAAGGTTTTTTCTTTCTGATTTTAACATCGTAGATTCAGTCTCTCGATCTATTTAAGTCCTCTTGTAAGTTTGGGATTAATTGAGTTATTTCAGTTGGCCTGATCTTGTTTTTTGCGTAATGAAGGTGATTGAAATACTCAAATCAGCAGTTCTTACTCTTCTGTAGCTGCTTTACCTTCCAAAGAATCCATATACCTGGGACAAGTCCAGCCAATTGGTGACCACCGCTATTTTAGACGTTAAGATTAAAGAAATAACAAGGAAGCGTCAAGTTATAGATATACTCGATTTGGCTGGAGAAATCGACCTTCAGATTCCTTTTGAACCGACGGTGCCTGAAGCAAACCCAGACATCTTCTACAAGCAAACAGACAATGAGAGTATACAGTATCACTCGTTTGAAATCAAGAAAACTAATGAGGCCATCGAATTCTATATAATACCTTTAGAGAATCAAGAACAGCTGACTATATTAATTAAATTTGAAGAAAAGCCGACAATCTTAGAACATGATTTGCAGATGAAATTGCCAAACTTCTCTAGCTGCTCCATTAAAGATACATTTCGTGTCGAAAATAACAATTGCACTGATAATCCTTACAGTCTTTTCCTACCGAGTACCTACTTAACAAAAGTTGGTAAGTATTTCATTGGCGTGAAGTATGGAGAGACGACTGAAAATAAGCCCAGCTCTTATTACAGGCAAAAGAGAGATTGTGGAGCTGGAAGAAGGTCCAAACGAGGTGTTTCTGATTGTATTCAGTACAAGGATCCCCCAACCACTCGTCCCTTAAATGGAAAGTTTGTTTCAGGACAGCAAAGCTATGATAATTCCAAACACAGTAACTACTCAATGGAGCAATTCGGTCTGGGGTGCAATTTCTGGAATCCTGCTGGCAACCAGTTTTCAGGCGGTGGATGTAGGGTAAGGCATATAAGTTTTGCTGTCGGAGCCACTAATTAATTTTTGTTGATGTCATGGAATGTTTTGAGAGATGTTTTGAAACATATTCTGAAAAGAGAAATTGGGTGGGGTTTCCCAGCAGTTGACTTCAGTGCAACTCAGAGGAGAATCTTGATAGCTACAGCACTATACCTTGACAAGGATTACGAAACAGAGATCCTATCGACTGACTATATTTAAAAAGATCATTTCAAATTGCTCATAGCAACAGAATATAAAGTTTATATCGTCTTGCTTGTAGTCGTGGTAAACTCCTTCAAAATATAGGATTTCTATGATTTGTTTTCTAAAAGCAGCTAATGACATAATTGCAATCATGAATGAACGTCAAAATGCTGATTCTTATTTAAACAATTGATTGATTAGAAGTGAAACACAAACAAAAACAGTTCTAGCAAGCCAGGCAATCTGATGTCATTTCTTCGTTCCCAGACTGGCCGACGGCGGACCTTATCACGAACCATGACCTGTCGCTGCAAGCATTTGACGTCCTTTGGTGGAGGTTTCCTCGTAAAGCCAAATCCCATTGACTTTGATAAAGTTTGGTATGCTTTCGCCGACATCCATAACAACGTTGCTGTCTTGGTTTCAATAGTCAGTGTATTCTTGTTATACCTGCTCGTCATTATATGGGCACGGAGGGCTGACAGAAAGGATCACTCTTCTCAGGTAAAGAGTATTCAACTCTCCCGTCACTGGATTTGTTACAAACGGATGAAACTGCGGCTGCTTGTAAACTTAATTATTAGAAATAATTAGCATAAATATCAAATGCCATACTTGATACTTCATTATGAATTGTCTTTGATGTTTAGGAAGGAGTACTTTTAAGACTAGCACGGATTAGCAAAATTTTTTTCTTTAATGTGGACTCTGCTGGAAACTAGGAGGGTCAAAGGATAAAAGCTTTTCCAGGATGTGGCGGCAAAAACCCACTAGTTGTTCAGAGATTTTTGAATTGTCGTTGCAGGGAGGTACATTGGTCATTGGGAAGTCGTCAAATGCTTATGTGTACGAAGTTACTATATCTACAAACAAAGGAAGGAATTCAGGCACTACAGCCAATATTACCTTTCTCGTTGTGGGAGAAAACGGGTCCAGTGGTACGCTTCCACTGAGCAAGCTCACCAAAGTGAAATTTAAAAGAGGGACAGTCGTTACAGTTGTGTTGTCTCTACCAAGTTCGCTTGGTCAGCTGCTATATCTACATATATGGCATGACAATTCAGGAGATAATCCGTCGTGGTATCTTGATCACGTGGCTATACGAAACGTTTTAACGGACGAAAAATGGAACTTTATGTGCAGAGATTGGTTGGCTGTTGAAAGTGGCGATGGGAGAACGGAAAAAGTATTATATGTCGCAAACATCAATGAAATGGCAAATTACAGGTACTTATTTTTGTCTCACAGTGCTGATGGCCTCTACGACGAGCATTTATGGATTTCAGTTGCCGCCAAGCCACCTCAAAGCAGTTTTTCTCGTGTGCAGCGTGCCTCTTGTTGTCTGTCGATTTTGTTTTGCACCATGATCACTAACGCTATGTTTTACGACAGCGGCAAAGCTGACACTTCTTCGGTATTTTATCTTGGTCCTATCAAGATCACCATGCGTCAACTGATGATTGGAATACAGAGCAGCCTAATCATTTTTCCCATAAACTTGGCCATTACACAACTGTTTCGCAAATCATCTAATGCGTCAATGTCTTTGGGAGAGGCTGAAAGAGCGAAAAGTGTTATATTCAAACGAAAACCTAAACTACTCTTTGATTGCTTTGATCGCCGCGTAAAACCGTTGTCAAAAAAGTACCTTCCCATGACATATGAAGCAAATAGTACAATCAGCATATCCACTCTTAAGTCCGCATCTGCAGATAGATTTACAGATGATGAGAGTATGTTCAACTTAAATAATGCTTACACTAAAATTTCCCAAGAGAAGAAAAGAAAAAATTTGTACATGTGTTTGTACTACTTTGCCTGGGTACTGTGTTTCGTATCAGTGTTAACATCGGCTTTCTTCACCTTGTCGTACTCTCTTCAATGGGGAAGCGAAAGGTCTCAGCAATGGCTTCTGTCGTTTTTCGTCTCTTTCATCCAAGATGCTGCAATCTCTCAGCCAGTTAAAGTCGCCCTATTTTCGGCTGTAATTGCCTTTGTCATCAAATTTACCCTTGAGCAAAAAGAGAAGCGCCAACAGTTTAAGAGGAAAAAGGTAACATTAAATGATAAAGGTGAAAAAGCTTGCTTAATTGAAACTCAATCTGAGGATAGTATACCATGGGATGATTCCCAGCCATTGCGGAAGAATATTTTGGAAAAGGCGAAAATGAAAAGGATGAAAGAAATCAAGTCCTCAGAAGTCATGACTGATGTGTTTTTTTACTCTCTGTTTCTCCTACTGCTGCTTATGGTGGCATACGGACACCGTGACCCAATTGCTTATGAGTACACTAAGCACTTGGAGAATTATTTCTCTATAGAGGTAAGTCCAATCTCTCAAATCTCTCGTATCCGTCGCCTCATTTAAGGAGCAAGCTCCATTCAAAGTAACGTGCAATGAAAAAGAGATGAAATGGTATAGAAACTACTACCATCAGACTGAGGATGTTTAGAAAAGTTGGGAGGGGTGGGAGAAACACAAAAGGTAGTGACATTTGAACAGCGAAGTTTTCGTAATTTTTGGCACATGTAGATTGGAGCTCTCATGCGGAAAATGATGCTCCTTAGATAAAAAAGGGAAAAAACTGTGGTATCTACGATTATAGCACTGTATGTTTCGAGACAGTAAGTCCAATTTGTGTAATTATATTTATCTCAGTACAATAACCCTGTTGCTCAATGAAATCATTACTACCGTTACATTCTCCTTAGACTCAACAATATCCCGAGGTTTTACGCTGGGTTAGATTTATCTTCATTCCGCAAATTTTTGTCGGCTCATGGTACAATGGGATGGCCCCTACGGATTCAGAAGATGGATATTTGCCTGATAGGACTTCATCTCTCGTGGGAATGGCTCGGTTGAGGCAACTTCGAATTTTGAATGGTGAGGCGTCTTTTGCATTTTCTGTCGCCATAACTCTCTGTCTATTCATCTGTGTACTGGTCTGCTTTTCTCCCTTCTGCTTGCTACTTATTTGCGTGATGGCTTGCCTGAGTATCTTACGTTCTGTATGTTTATTCGTATTAAGTCCATCAGTGACCTACTGTTATCAACCTCGTTGACAATAACAAACTGTTAAGGTTTTTTTTCTTTTTGAACTTGACGAAGCTCCAATAATGGGAAGGAGAATTTCAACATATACGTCACCTCCTCTTACCTACCTTTGATGTAAAACAGCTTCGCTATTCGAAGTGTAAATGTTTTTTTTTTGGTCTTCGATACTTAAGCAATGCTCTTTGAGTTTCTGCAAACGATATTTGAAGTAGGTTTTGATTTTAATAAATCAGTTATTTTGCTGGCCTAAAAATTTAGATCCGAGGTAATTGAAAACTGAACTTGTACGAAAATTGTAGTTCCACACGTATAGAATTAAAAAAATAATGATTTTCAGTTGACAATAGCACTTTCATTAATTTCAAACGTACGGAGATAACTGACATCACTATTTTGCAGATACATGTGGCAACTACATTCAATTGAATGAAAAACTTGGCTTAAACTGTTATGGACAATATTCGATGGATGATGAAGATACAAGCATCTATCAAGAAGAATGGGTACCGGTCTCTCCGGATATACCTATTGAAAACATTACTTATCACATGTGCCCCAGACCCTGGAGGTATCAAACAGCAATGCAGTTGAAAGGGGTTCCAATATGGGGTAAAATCGCCTTATACTCAGGGGGTGGATATGTGGCAGAGCTTGGTTACTACCCTGATAAGGCGATAGAGGTGGTTAGCGAACTTTTCGAGCATAACTGGGTTGATCGTCGCTCTCGCGCCGTTTTCGTTGAGCTAACTGTGTACAACGCTCAAGTGAATCTGTTTTGCGTCATCTCGCTTCTGATGGAGGTCATGCCAACTGGGGGAGTGGCAATCTTCCGTCGAATTAATACCATTCGAGTTTATAGATACATAGGAGAGCTCGCTAACTTGTCAATAGCCGCAGAGCTTATCATTGTATTGGTTATCTTGTACCTTCTTTACAAGGTCATCAAAAGAATATACCATAAGAGGATAGCATTTTTCAAAAAGTTTTGGAATTTAGTGGATCTGCTGCAAGTACTTTTTGCTCTTGTTTCTATTGGGTTGTATTTTGTCAAGATGGTGAATATCAACATGATCATGAAAGATCTCAGCGAAAATCCTTATGTTTTTGTCAGTTTTTCATTGCTTCTAACGTGGAACGAAATTGATACGTGCATGATATCGTTTGTTGTGTTCCTTACAACTCTTAAGCTCCTTTATTTGTTGAGATACAATAACTACATCAAACTCCTAAACCAAACATTTTCCAATATGCGAACGGATATACTTTCATTCATGGTGCAATTTCTCTTGTGGTTTATGCCGTTTGTCATTTTAGCTCACATTACGTTTGGTGCCCATTTACAACACTTCATCTCCCTTCCTTCTGCATTTCAAGCGATGTTAAATGCCCTCCTTGGCGCGTCCTACTATCATGATTTAGAGCAGGTTGACCGAGTGATCGGACCAGCTCTGTTTTTCTGCTTCAGTATTCTCATGGAACTCATCTTTCTCAATATGTTTGTATCTATAATCAACTCGGCGTTCGGCAGTAGAGTGGAAAATTTGGATCATTCCCAACCCGAACCAGAACTAGTTGAGTTTATAATGGCACGGCTGAGAGGAATTTTAGGGATCAACCTGCTCTCTACGAGAGTTACTCCCGACGAAAAATGGTACGTGGATGATTCCAGTGACGAAGACAATGACCTCAGATTATTGAGTACCAAAAACACTTTATCTGTGCTGAACAGAAAATTAACACATTTACAGACTAAATTTACGAACGTAACGACCATGGAGGAAGAAGAGGAGGATGATGTTTGGCTGGAAATGGTTCTTTTGCGGGAACACGAAAGTCTGGCTTCTTCACGGAGTGAGGGTTCGGCCACGACACAGACATCTTTTTGAACCTATGCCACGACTCCTGAAATAACTTGATATTATCGCTCTATTTATTATGCAAAAAGCTTTCAAACGTTTCCAATTGAGTAGCGATCATAGTCAATGACCAAAAGGGGTGAGGGGGAAGGGGTGGTGGGGGAGAATACTCTTTTTATAAGCTTTATAAGTATGCTCTACCTCACAGAATGTGTTTTTTTTTTCAATCTTACCAGGTCTGTAAACTGCTATAGTTCTCCATCGTCACTAGGCATTAGGCATGTTTTTCAGTCATTGAAGCCACTACAGTTAATACGCGTATTTTTTTTTCTGAACTCGATGTCTATGATAGAGGAGGTGAAAGAACCAAATTACATCATAAACAAATTGCGTCGAAGACAGGACACATTTGGCGGTCGTTTTAGATCAGGAAAATGCTACAAGTAATGTTGTTATAATTGTGAGTAATTAAATACACCTTGACACCTCCTACACACAATTAATCTTAGGAAAGATGCTATAAATAATATCCTAGAGATGTGTCATGGTTGCATTTTTTAAAAGATAGTGTTGTATGTATGAACTTTGTTGGATAAAAATGATAAAAAAAAATGTTTAATTAACATAGAATAAAACAAAAAGAAACAAGATTTAGCATATATGAGCTGAATAAACCATTGTAGTATTTTTCCAATTGTTTTGTTCGACTGTTATTTTATTAAGAAACAATCTTGGCTGTGAATTGTGCTTCTCAGATCCCCTTTCTGGACTCTTTTGCGATACAGTGGAGTAGAATACAATACAAAGCCGCAAACAAAGCTCTTCCCCTCTGTACCCTGGTGAAGTATAATAAACAGTAGTGACTACAAGTCAGGAATCAGGAAAGGGGCCGGGGAAGTTTGGAAAATGGAACAGGAAAAGACCAGAAGCTGAAGGGATTTGCAAAAATTTGAAGATGCTTAAATCTTGGCACTCTTGTGTTATGTTTTGGGCGGGAGAAAGGACTCAAGGCTAGTTGTGGGAGGTGGGAACAAAAAAAAGGGCCAATCTGACCCCCCACCCCCCACCCCCTCACCATACTACTTACAGATACACGCATCTATACACACTAAATTCAAAGCATTCACATCGATTTCAGTAGTCTTATAAACTAATAAGGCCTAAAGGAACAAGAATTTGACTTCAAGACATTTTGCGTGGCTAATCCAAGTCTGTGCCAAGAAAACAGTTCGCTCAGAATCGTGGAAGCACTGGACTAATTATTGAGAAGGTATTGCGCTAAAATCACGTGGCTATTCACGTAAAAAGAGACAAAAAGCTTCATTGCCGCTGTTTTCAACCAAACGATTTCCTGAGGCTATCGCAGACATAATATAATATATGCGTTGATTTTTTATCGGACTAGCGTTGACCATGGCTAAAGGTGGACTTCCTCGCTAATTTTTTTGATATCTTTGATTGGTAACATAAGTAGTAAAAAATTGACTTTGGTCTGTGATCGGTGCTGTTAGGTAAGCTGCATAGCCAATATAAGAAGACCTAAGGGAGTCGCGTTTATAATCATGAACAGCTAACACCTCTTTGGGGTTGTTTTTTTGTAAAGTTTACTTAATCAACGACTTCCAAAGCAAAATATATCTGTTTCCATTTTATTTCATTCTAAATATAGCTACCGTTCTAGTCAAATATTAAGCTATTAAATCTGTTCTGTGTGTTCGGAATAATTTTTCGTATTTTTCTGTCCTTCGATCTAAAACACAATCAGCCAAGAGTGCCTTTGATGATGATATTTGACAACTGAGCCAAAACTCATGTCCTCTTGATTTCAGTGAATGATTACAACACTGTTCCGAGACTAATCTATACCATTCGCAATGGTAATGTTCCCACGAAACCGTTTTTCCATGACGATCTTCTCCGAGAAGTTCTTCTTGACATCAAAATTGAAGCTGATACTGCCTCCTCGGAATTTTTACGGCTGATGAAAGTTCCGTGATGGTTCTCATCATTCAGGAACAATAGCAGCGCCAGCTGAACAACGTCACTGAAGTGGCTTTTAGTGTAGGTACCAACAACCTTTGTCCACCATCAGCTGTGTTATAGTGTTCACTTCTCGGCCCGATACTTTTCCAGCCACGTCTTTACTTCGCTCATGTTGTAACCCATTGGTCCAGGCCCACCTTCATAACGAACTTTTCTGTCCTGAATAATGTGAAACCGGATTGGAAGAGCACCATAAGCAATATTTGCCGTGTCAAGCATAGTATCTACTACCACTGGACATTCTGGAATTTTTCGCGCCAATTCTCTAGCAGCTTTACATCTTTCGGCTTGCGTTCTGTGTGTTCTGATGTTGTAGTTGTTCTGCAAGGAAAAGTGACAAATTCATTAAAGAAAGCTTCCAAAATATCACCTTCCAGTCTTGATATATTTGGCAACAGGCCAGGACTGAAAATTTAGTCCCTAGCCAAAGTCTTTCAGCGATGGAGAGAGGTCTCTGTCACTCTTTTTTTTCATTCACCATCTAAGTGATTGAGGCTTAGGTCAAAATGTCTTTGTGAGAAAATTTTTCGATTGAGGCAAATTATGTGCCACGAGTACAATGAAAAGGGGGTGTCCGTTTCCCGACCAGATTAAATAATCGGCTAAAAACCGGAAAAGTCATCTTACCTTTAAAGCCCAACCATCTGCGGGATGAGCCTCGTCGATGTAAACAACACAAAAATCTGCGATGTCCTTGAATTGGTCGACCATTTCTTGAAAGTCGTTCAACTGACTCATAAAAATAGGACAGGTACAGCTTCCAAAGTTCAAAACAAGGGGCCGTCCAGCTTTGGCCACCTCTAATAGCGGAAAACAAATTTTTCCAGACAATGTCACTACTGGGCTGTTTGGAGCGTCGCCTCCTTGCTTGGCCTTCTTGTTCATGTCCAAAGCCACGCTATGCCACACGTTCTGGAACATTTGATCGGAGAACAAGGAGTCCCAATATGAAGTAACCGGTAACTTTACCTTAGTAATCATGTCGAAGGCTCTGATGATGCTTTTCCGGAAGGATGGGAAAGATTTCAGGAGTGAACCAATTGAAAATACCAGCACTAGCATGCTGTAAGCTACGAACACTTGAGCTACTTGCACAATCTGGATGAACATGTTGACACCGCCAGGTACCGTCTGAAACTGAGCTCCTTAACAACTCTACACGGCGTTTTTAATCATAACAGAAACTGTTGTTAATACGTGATTCGTGCTAATTCTTCCCACTGATTACACGAAAACAATAGAATGCTCAAGTCTCTTGAAATCTCTCTGGTTCTTTCCTTGCATCATTGATTATGGAATTCAATCAATATTCCAGTACAGTAATGCGCGCTTTTCAATTCTACAGGAAATACCTGACCTGACCACACAGATTTGAATTGTTCAAATGATTACCAAATTTGTACCATTTTCATCCTGTTGTCGTCAGAGGAAATAATTTTTCGTCCCTTGAAAATTTGGCAAACAAAATATCGTGGCCAGGCCTGCCAATAAACCAATAGGGATCTTTTGTCTACAACGCGATAATATCAGGCGTGCACCTTAAAAACAGGCAATGTTTTTCAATTTTCTGTACACGTATTCCCAGCTATTTTCTATGCCTGTGCAGAGATTTATTCACACCGAGTTTTTGTTTGAGCGATTAGCCCATGTGCAGACTTTTTTCAGGGAAAAAAAATCATTCGTGTGTTATTGAATGTGTTTGTGTGCAGACCATACATGAGCTTATACGTTTCACAATACTTCAAAAGAATTACGAGTACATTCCGGCTGTATGATCCTAGGAAATTATTCCTTTGGGACGCCTTTAGGCTGTTTTGCAAGAACAACCTCTAGCTATCTAACTAGGCGCAAACTTTTATGCCTCGGAAGAAAATGAAACATCGACTTAGCAAGGCAAAAGGATAAACGTCCGAGTTTATTTTCAACAGTATTTGTTTTGTCAAGGACATTTTGTTGATGTTGCCATGGTTTTAAAACGATTTTTGCAACTCCCTGTTGTGTGACACGGCCGTAGAGTTCGTGATGCTACGTAAACACGCAGACACATTCTGTTGGAGACAGGTAGAAGTCCTGCGTAGGTCGTCCGTATGAAATCACGTACACCCGTTCAGGAAATGAGATTGGTGCATATAAACATGACTTCAGTTAACTTGTTATGGTGCAATGATTGTGTGACCTCAAATATTTTACTTTCTATATGCGCTCTCATTGCACGTTCTGTCACCATCCTATCCGTAATGAGGTAAATTATATCTTAAGACTTCATTTTTTATTTCTGTCAAAATGAAAAAGGATTACTAAGTTTTCTTACAACGCACAACTATGTAAGTGTCATTCGTGGGCACATTGAAAAAATGTTCCTCATTTTTGCGATGATAGGTCACTCTTAGCTGGTACATTGATAAGTGACATTCAAGATCATCATGATGCAATATTCTATTTTCTAATCATTAGTAAGGAAATCACGTGAAGGGAGGAACATGTTTTCGGACCGGGCTTTATCAATGGAAAAGGTCGATTTCCATTTCATCATCCAAAGTACAAGTTACCAAAGAGTATCATATTCTAGGTGTTTAAAAATCCAGCTCAAGACCGTCGCAATTCGTGTGGATGAGATGATGTGTTCGCCTGATTTCGTGGTCCTGTTAGTTTGGTATGACGTCAATGGAGAGGCAGTTCGTGTCCTAGAGAATCATCAAACAAAGAATCTTACTTGTTTCATACAGCAACTAACTGAAAAAAACACGCTACTCTGGAGAAAAGGCAAATGCTATACACACACTGCACGATCGTTGCCAAGATAACCTTGGTCTTACTTCTTTAGAGGACTCGAGTCTTCGTTGTCAGGCTTTATATATTATACCATCACCAATCACACACGTTACTCCTCTGTCCTGTTTGACCAAAAATCTTTCAAGGTGGGTGATTATGAGAATCGTGGATTTGATCAGCGCCTGGAATTTTTTACTTTTAAATTCACACTGGTGAATTGTAAGTTTTTAAAATCCTTGGGAAATCAAAATACTATACTGGCTAAATCTTACTAATTGCTGTTTATTTCAGGTTTGATGGCCAGCGACGTCTTTCGTGGCGTCCCGACCGAAGATACCAAAATAATATCACTTGTTGATAGCGCATTTCACTGGCTACACGTGATTGCGACGTGTTGACCAAATGGTTAACTAGCTGGCTTCACGGGTCTGGCATTGACCCGGAGCCGGTTCACTGATCTGTTTCCTTGAGGCGAACACGTAATTATCGCGATGAGATTCACTTCTAAACAAACGTATTCTTCGATTTATTTTCAGGGAATTTAACTCTGGCTTCATTAATTGTTGCTTGACTGTTGGGTTTAACTAGCTTGAGCAAGTCGCTCAAACGGAGGCACAGGAGTGTCTGATCAAGAACTTTTATTCATTCTATACTTAATGACTCTTACGGGCTCTTCATCTGGATAACTGAGTCTCTGTGTCTCTCTGTTTTAGCACCAGGTACACGCTCTTAAATATCCCATCGATAAGCATATTTGGGCTTACGGGACAACTGACGTTCGAAGCAAAATCCCAGAACTCTTTCTTTAATCATCACCGCAATATTTCCGATTTTAATTCTTTTCGTCGTGTGATTTCTAACATTGTATTGCGGTGTTAAGTGTACTAAGTATATTTAGCAAGTTAGTTGTTTCGATTTAGTCACTTTTTTTGCTTGTTATATAGCATTAACTCGTTAATATAACTAGTTATTAAAGTTGTTAGCTCGAAGGCATTAGCATTTGGGTATTGCTCAGTAAATTTGAGACTAAAGATAGTTTATGTATGTATATATGTGCAGGAGTATAGATTGAAATGTCGGGGAAATCTGACGAAATTTTTAGGACAACCTGCTGAGGAAAAACATCTTATTCAGAGAATGTAACTCGGTTCTAATCATTTCAAGCTGTCGAAACCGAGAGGAGCTTAGTGAATGTTAATCAGTGTTTCCTAATTCAAGGGGACAAAGAATGAACAGGGAATGAAGTAATTAAAATCAGATGCAGCAGAAAGGGCCTGCTCATTCTCTAGTGGACCGCTGACGGGTCTAACTGTCAGGGAGAGTTCTGATGACTAGTCTTGTTTTCAGTCCGGCACAAAGGGACTTGGAGGTCTACGTTTGCTGCTTCCTAAGGACGAGATATTTATCCATTCCATGTCAACTCTTCCCGTACGATATCGATAGGATATCGATAGGTTAAGTTGTCAGTATGTCGGTAATCATCATAAATCCTCATTAAAAATTGTACATAATTTAAGATAAAGCACTCAACTCAGCAGAAAAGAGTTTTTTTCTCACAAACATGGAACAATTACTTCTCACAAAATGTGATTCTGCAATGCAACCTGGTTTTGGGAAAGGGGAATTCCAGGGGGTTGGATGTGGGAGAGTGGCACTTAAGTATCAGTCTGGCTGCCCTGAGGTTCTAAATGTCTCACAGGTCCTTATACGCCACCAATCGTTTTCAAACACTCGCGGTGAGGAAACGCGGTAGGAAAAAGGTTGATGGGAAGGAGATTACTATACAACCCCTCACACCTTGCTTCGATGCCAATTGAGTTCACCGCCCACGTTATCAAAAAGACTGGGGCTGAGTCAAAAGTGGATGTCTTAAAAATATATTTTTCAGAGATCATTATGGCCAAATAAGTGCAGAATTTGGAGTCGTTTTACTTTTCAAATTTCCTTTCGACCAATAAAATTTCTCTTCAAATGAAAATAGAAAAGTAACTACATGTCTAAAATTTTAAAATCTTTCAAACACGTGCAATACCGTGTGGAGTTTCCAAGTGGATCAGAGAAAAGTTATTTGACAATGATAAAAATAAAGTATTTAAGCACGGGTATTAAGTTCTCTTTCGCAATCCAACAAAGGTGACTTATGCCAATGTCGCTCTTGTGTCTGAAATAGATGCACGAAATTCATTGTTACTTAAGCCGCACTTAAACACACGAAATAAGCAGCATAAAGAAGTGGTACACATCAATATAAGCGATGGGTACAATTGGAATTTTATATTTCAGTTGAAAAACCCTCGGCATGGCATGTCTGGTTTTGTTGATCCAGGCCTGGTCTATTACCAGACAGAGGTACTTTACTATTTAGTTATTATTAAAAGGCAACTGATCCTTCCTTGTCATTAAAAGCAAAGATCTTAAGCCCTAAGACGATTTTAAAAGTTGCATAATCGACAATTTGAAGGCCAATCATTTCCGATGTAAGGCTATGAGAGATATAAATGGAAAGGTTGAGAGGGATTTGTCGGCTCGTTTGTTCGTATTCATGTTTGTTCAACTGAAAAATATTTTAAAAAACTTATTTTGAAAATTCTATAACATACTCAAACATAACAAACATAACATACGTTTTTTGAGCCATGTTTCAAACGGCCGTAGTCTCATTGATCAGTAAGATATCAATGAAAAAGCTGCTGCCACGTGCTCTGAATTTAAATTATCCCATACCCCCTCCTCCCAAGGGTCTTGCGACAAGCTTGATTGGTTGGCCAAAGATCACATGACTTTATTGGCTTAAAAACCCATAGTATAATCGTTGTAACATCCCTATACTTGCACGTACACGGTATTAGAAAGGCCCAGAGTCTTTCCAAATGGATCATTTCCACTGATATTTCTCAATAATAAGCTTAATTCTTTTTAAAACAACGTCCTACCTGATCATTGTTCATTGGCGGTCAATGGCTGCCTCTGCTTTATTTAATTATACTTTGATATTCTAGAATTTGCTCTTTTAAGACAGCTTAGCAGAATAGGATAAAGCTCCAAATAAGAAATACCAAGAGTTTTTTTGGTATTTCCTATTTGGAGCTCACAAGCCATAAAACAAACCTGGGAAAAGACCCTGTGACTGCAATGTGAAATTAATCCCTGCGAGAATGTCTTCAACTTCAACAAGGTGTCTATTAGCTTGCATATATTGCCTCAGTAGACAGCGAGTTTCTTTATTACAAAACTATAAGCTAAATAACTTTCATTTCGCCATTTACATCATTTATACATCTTGAAAACTTGTACCATTTGTCCTCTAATAAGCTGATTATTCACTGAGTATTAAGCAATGTTAATAAAATTTCACGCTGAGCTGGGCAACAATGCTAAGAGAGTGGTATTACCATCACGAATTTTTTGAGGGCTACACTGGTGTGTTTGATATTTTGAGAAATTTTTGAGAAACTTTACCGCATATTTTGAGTGCACTCTTTATAAACTTCCAGCTTCAAGTCCACAGTTTTCATTCAAATCCTTGCAGCATTCGCCTGATCGTTGTCACGTACAGCTGATTTAATGGTCTAGCTAATTCATTCACTTAAATCTCACTATTAGAGCGGCCAAACTCAGTACTAGTCGTAAGGAAAAAACAGTTAGATTCTATCGGCGAGGACACCCGTCCGCGCAAAAAATTCACACATAACCCCAACCCTCCCAGACTGGGGAGCCTTCCTTTTTGTTAAGTGGTGGTCACTATGTTGCATGGTCTAACAGATCTGTCGGGCTAATCCTAATCCCGAGAAACATCTTACTTACAACGATTACTGCCCCAAGAAGCCGTTGTCAGATTGCACAGGATTGCAATTCGCACGGGCTCAACGAAAAAAGCTACCCTCTGATCTATTTAAACTTATATGTACTGAATACTAAATATCGACCGAAAACACTTCACACAGTAATCACCTTAGTTTGTTCCTTGAAGCAAATGTACAGGTAACAGATAATGATCAGGACATTTACATATATTTGCCAACGTCGTTTATTCATAATTAAGTAACGCATAAACTTGAAAAAATTCTACGAATTTGAGTAGGTAGTGAAACGCCACCGCCAATATTCTTCACTATCCAGCTGATACTTTTACTTTTTTTACCGTTACGTAACCTCAGAAGCTCAATTTTCCTCTTTCTCCTCACCTTTACTCTCTCTAATGCAGAGATAATATCTTTAGGTAAAAAGCCCACAGCCTTTCCGCATGCTCATTTTTATAGGATTAGTTGTGATAAACAGGGAAGCCGATATTAATGATGTTTATCCCATTAACAAAGCTGATAGAATGGGCGAGAATCTTTGAAGAGCACGACTTCCGTCAGAAAAGAGCAAAAGCTTGAGACAAGCCAATATCAGAGTAGTTTTGTTTTCATCTTCTCCATATACACCTAAAAATTTTTTAGTTACTCAAAACTTATCAAACTTAGACTTTAGTGCAGCACCTATTCCAAGAGAACATGCTAGTTTCCTTACAAACCTTTAAAGAAGAAATTTGATACCAAAATGGAGTGGCTCGTGATACTGTTAGTTATTTTGATTGTGTACATGTTTTGTACACGTGTTGAAGAAAGCAAAAGAGATTTTTGCAATAGTCTGCACATGCGCTAGTAAACTCTTGGGAAAGCTATCTGTGATTTCATGTCAGATGTAGGTGAGAATCAGGTAACCAGCAGCGCAAGTATACAAAATAACAGCTTCTGCTGCTAAAGACGCGAATGCCTCTCGAACCTTGCAACGATTGTGAGATTTAACATGAATTATTCTTCAAATGAGACCACCGAAAGAGCTTTTCGCAACAAAATACAGAGCTGATAAGGTCATCTGACATGGCGGGTGGCTTATAGGTAAGGGAAGGGAACAAATGGGTTTGGTGATATGCATACCGAAGAAGGGAAAGAAAAAAAAACGTGTTATCTTGCATCATAAACCTTCCTTTAAGTGAACAGTTTCCTGGAATTAGCAGCAGCAAGTATCTTTTCTTGGAACCAGTGAAATTAACTTTGACGCCATAGTTGGGAAAATACGCTGGGAATGAGGCGCAAAATATTGTTCAGCCGTATCCAGTACAGGCAATATAACAGTAAACAATGGTTATGCATCATCGGCTCAGTATCCAAACAAAAAAATCTTGTGTTTAAATTGTTTTCACGACATTTTTTTCATTCCTCCCACGCTCATAGTCCTAAAACCCCCTTTTTTTGTTCTGCGGTACATTGGGGAAATAATGTCATGTAAAAGGAACAAGGGGTCGAAGCTCAGTGGTGCTGACTTCCCCGGTAACACAACACAGCCAAATAAGGTGGAAGTCCCAGCACATTGAGGTAATCAGAAGCTATATGTATCGTCCGTTACCCATAATCTGGTTTTCTGCTGGATTTGCCCATCATCCGGCTTTGGTAGAGTATCGGGTATTGAGAACTAACCACACCAGAATAAACTGAGAGAAAATAAAATTTAATAAATATCTGTGTTTGACTCTCGCAAACACATGTAACAGGCGGTGGATTACAATTGGCGTTTGTAATATAGGTATATTCTTAATTTAAATTACTTTTATGTTAACGATTTTTTTCTAGACTTATGAAGGCGTTTCTGAAAGAGTCATAATTGTGAGTGTTTGAGCAGTCACATAAAGGGCCTTACAGAAATATTATTCGATAAAAATGATCAGTATCAGTCATTTAACAAGCTTAGCATAAGCGAGAAAATAATTTGGAGTATATTAACTTTGATGATGCTCTAGTGAGAAGTATGATGTGATAGGATTTGATCTTATCCGCTTCTAAATGTCCTTCATACAAGTTATTCCTAAAATTTCCTTATCTACGGACATGAAATACGCGAACGATGCCGTAACATGACAGATAATATGGGTCGTATTATCGTTACAGTCATATTTTGCAGTTTTTCTTGGATCAGAATTAACATAATGCAATTACCGTCGATCGTAAGTGTTTTCGTGATGATGTATCTGATAGTTTGCTCAAGTTTCCACAGAGATTATCTCGAGTATGTGGGCAATTTACAAACAAACGAAAGATAAAATTAAACGTTTGACGAGTTTATCATTCATGGTCTTCACTCATTGTCCTTTGAACGATGAAACATTACCTTGCTTAAGTTTAGGCAAGGACAATGCCTCTTTCTTGCTTCCTTGTGGATTATCCGAGAGCGGCTACGTCGCTCTTCACTTGATGCGCGATCGACTATCATTTCACTTTCAAATTCACCGAAACTGAAGTTTGTCGCTCATCCGCACTTACGTTTCCTACTCTTAAACTGATTGCCTTGCTCTGAAGCGTTGCAGCCATTCCTTGACCTCCTGCATCCGGTAATTCATGGGACCTGCGCCCCCTTCGTATGCAATTTTATTACTCTGCACGATGTATAAGCGGATTGGAACAGCACCGTATGCGATATTGGCAGCATTTAGCATGCTGTCTACCGCCACAGTACAACTGCAAAGATCCAAGGATTTCGCCATTTTTTGAGCGGCCTTGCATCTTTCGTCCAATGTACGGTGCTTCGGGATGTCACTGTTATCCTAGAGATAAAACCAAAAAATAAGAGGAAATTGTCAGAATTTGTTTGGTTTCTCATCGTGGTACTATATCATGGCAGTTCTCCAAGCCCCATTGAGTGATTTCGAGTGACCGGAGACATTCATGGTAGCAACTGTTTATATAGCAACTTGCATAATCGGGTGAAAATTCAAAACAAATTATTCAAACTGTGTCTAGTGATTTGGATTTAACATAAACACAATACATTCTCCACAACTTTAAATAGCGTAACGTGATTTGGTTTTTCACCTTAAATGCCCAGCCATCGACGGGATGAGCTTCTTCAATATAGATCACAGCAAAATCGGCCATTTCTTGAAACTCCTTCATTAGCAGTTGGTATCTTTTCAACATTTGCATAAAAACAGGGCAGGTTGAACTTCCGAAGTTAAGCACCAATGGTCGGCTACCCTTTGCAAAGTCTAAAATTCTCTGACAACGTTGGCCATCGATGGAAACGATAGGGGAATTGTAGGCTTTGTTGTTTAATTTAACCTTTTTTCCCATATCGGCGAGTAGGCAATAGTACACGTTCTGCAACATTTTCCAGGTAAATAGCGAATCCCAGTAAATTTCTGTCGGCAAGGAAGTGTCCGTCATTTTACACATCGCGATGCTGATCATCGACTTGAAAAATGGCAAAATTTTTAGCATTCGTCCAACGGTGAAGAGGAGAATAAGCGAAGAGTAGATGAGAAACCTCTGGAATACTTGCAGTTCAAAATACATCTTGGCAGCTAGGACACTTACTACCGCTCGGAAACGAGCCTTTCAAAATGAACAAATATTTTGTTTGTTGCCCTCTTTATATCCTCCTACGCAGGGTAAGCAGAAATCCGCTTTCGTTGAGTGACTTAAAACAATGACTTAAGTAAATCTACGGGGATGCCAGTATATAATTACCACAATTAAAACTGACACTCAACTCATTCCATGGTAAAACAAGTTTTGTTCTGGAGATGAAACAGTTCTGGAATGTTCTGATGAGACATGTTTAGCGGAGATGAACTTTATTAGGTCACTTTAAAAAATGTTATTCTCTGTATTTCTTCGTGGCTTGACCATTGAAAAGACCTACAGTGCAATTGTGTTAATTGCGCCATTTTGCAGTATTTTGTTACGGCTCGGCGCGCCGGTGACTGGTACCGAAACATAATGCTGCCTGAAATTTGGTGGCTGTAAGAGTGTCACTGCAGATTAAAACAACGCGAAAAGTTCTAATTATAACACCAGTAACAATGTTTCGTTATGTTTTGATTAGAAAATGCAACTTGTGGTGTTTTTTAGCTTTCGTGCTCGAGGTGTGAAGTCACTGAACAATTATCGTGATTGCCTGGATTCAAATGAAGCCGCTAAAGCAAAGTTTATCCCATGGGGCACCCACTAATCTGACGCAATTAACGACAAAGCGGTCCCAACTAATGTACCGCCATTACCTGGCCGAACAGTACAACACAGCGGAGGTGTGCAAGCCACAAAAATTTAGGGTACTTTAAAGTGTCATTTATGAAGATTCCGGTCTTGGTGAGCTGTTCCGCTTAGAAATAATATCACCAATGAAACACTGTCTCTCACTTTCTATCATTTCCGTCTCTCGATATAAATTTACACAAGATAATTTGTAAACAAATGCCGAGCGCACGAAAAACTTTTAACTCAGGCCTGCTCGTGGACGTCTGATGCCTTGCACGCTCGATTCCGGTTCGAGATGTCCCGGTTTCAGCCCTAGTTGGGTGGATCATTGCGATTGTTTGCTCGTTTCGTGACGAGACCAAACAAGAGCTACCCTTCTCCTTCCAAAATTAGAAAAAGTTACGACGACCTGTCTGGAAAATTGATGAGCTGGTGGGGGTTGGCTGACATGAATCAGCATTCTGTCCGGGGGGTACTCTTGGCAAAAATCTTTAAAATTGTGCCCGGCGTTCGCTTCTTCAAAATCTATCCAATTTTAGATCAATTAATTCCATTTTCCTCACTTGTCTTCTGAATTCATACCCGTTTTCGGACCTGTCTTCTGAAACTTGAAATTGGTTTCATAATTCTGCTCGAATGATAAAGTTGGTTACTTTTATTTCTCCATTCGACGGTTGGAGTTGAAAAGCAAAAAATAAGTTTATCTGATGATACGCTCTCCTGGTTTCCCGAAAATTATACCTAATTTAAAGCCAAAATATGTACAGTTTGTATCCGTTTTCAAACTAAAACGACACAAAAATCATATCCTTTGCTGCGGCTCATACCGATTTAGGTTAATAATACATATGGAAGCTTCTGCCATATCAAAATTGTATTTCTTGCACAATTCCCTGTAGATCAGTCACTAAAAATTAAGAGTATCATGTGTTACACCCCAGCCTGAGGGCGAGCTTTGTGCTACCTCTCAGAGCTTTGTTAGATCGAGTTTAGTAAAATTAAAACGAGAAGCCAATCAGATAGGCCAATTAAAGAAAATCGTACGACGAGAAGCTTAAGCGAACTCAAATTTGCAAAAACAAGGAAAGCAAAGCAGAGGGCGCAGGAAAAAACTATGGATCAAGTCACGATTGGTTCTTTGTCACTTATCTGATTGGATTGTTTGGGAGGAATGAGTCTTCTAGATCAGCTTGTCTAGGGGCCGAGACACAAAATGTACTATTTGCATCCCAATTAAAACAATAGTACATTATTTTTCATTGTTTTCCGTCTAATTTTTTTTCAATTTTCATTTCTACTTTTCCATCCCTGATTGGTCTCTTTCTACTTTGACCAGACAGACATTGAAAGAAACGCAATGCAGTGTCTTCTAAAGAAGACGACGTAAGATGAAAATAGTTTTTGATGTGAACTTTGGCAGACGTAATCGATGCAACATTTACGCCGTCTACACAAAATATTCACGAGGAAGTTCGAGAAAAAGTTCTCAAAGTTAATCCCTTTCTCCACCCAACCATCTACTAAAATGCCCATTTAAAGAAACCAGGAGCAGCAAGACACAAGGTTTCATTTGAAAACGTAAACGAATACGTGTGCATATTTAATAAATTACATCTTCACGTGAATTTTGTCATATGTTCTTGCGTGAATTTTGAAATTTCGATGACGTCAACCTTAAAGTGCTCAGAGCTGTTACCATATATAACCATGCCAGTTTTTCTCTAATATGTCGTGACTTTGTCACGCTCAAGGACCATAAATAACGATTCATTGACGTCACTAGTCTGGAAACTTCAAGTTTGTTTTCGCTCAGTCTAGTTTGAGGATTATTTTAGGAGTAATCGCGTGAAATTATAAATGAAAAAAAACTTGATAGAAAAAGTTAGTTATTCTGTATGCGGGTTCACTTGAAATGGTGCATCGAGGGTGTCCGATACTATTCTCAAGATCTGGAACTGTAATTCCCAAACGAAAATCCTTTTTGTGTAAACTGAAAAAAATATATTGCGTGACAGTCCAAAGGTACGTCGCTCTAATCCTTTGAGGAAACTTTGGGTGGCCCAGCATGATGATTATTAAATAATTAGAGTCAAATTGCAAATGAACTTTGACTTCGAGAATATTCATGATTCTGTTTATTTATTATTCTGAGTAGTGAATAGGAGGTCCAGTCCCCTCGCTCACGTTCTTGGCATTTCTCAGGCCCTTATGTTAAAATGCCTTTTCAACATTGTTTTTCCTAAGAATCCCTCATCTAGGTCTTTCCATGAAAAGGGGCTTATATTTCAACTCAATGGCTCTACGGATCTCCCCTCTAACACCTCTAACATTTAATTGCTGGGAGTGATCATACCCTATGAAAAAGCGAACTCCATCCCCATCCCCTCCCCCCCCCCCCCCACCGTCAAGTTGTAGTTCAGGAACTTGAATAATTTTAATTTGAACAAAATATGGCGGCACTTTCAAGTAATACTATCTTAAATAAAATCGTCAGTTTGTAGACATGAAGCCTGTTTAGACTAACTGGAAAACAACACTAGTATTTATTGGTCAAATTGTTAATCAAGTCAAAAAATTTTTTTTCTAACTTCCTTCTCTCTATCAATTAGTATACCTCCAATTTATCCTTTTTCGATCAGTTCGATAGGCGCACGACGTTTAGTTCTGCAGTTCCAAGATTTTCGACGATACCTTGATTGACAGAAACCCCGTTACGCTTGTAAACACTCTGATGAAAGGGAATTTTGAAAAAGTTGCGGAAATTCTTCCCAGCAAACTCACAAGTTTTGATCCTTTCGCCAGCCGGCACGATTCAAAGAAACTAAAACGTGAAAATCTCAGAATGAAACGACCGATCATGAAAATGGGAGAGTTGTAATACAGCATATTTATCAGTTGAGTAACATTTTTACAGCTGAAAGCTGATTGGACAAGAAACATTGTATATCATGTCATGCTCTGCCTCTTAGTGATCTTCTGGTCTTTTATCAATTTTTGATTTTTGTGGCGTTTCCATTTTGTGACAAATTTTTAATGACAGCTGCTTCGAAAATCCTGGATTCCTTTATTAAATTTAATTCAAGCTGAAAACCCGATAAAAATTTTTTTCTTTCTTTTCTTCGAATATTAATTAAGAAAAATTAATTTACTCTTTTTCAGGTCAGAAAAGGTTTTTCACTGAGAGGGATTTAAGTGATTAAGTTTTCACATAAAATGGATTTCCTTCGAAGCTCTTCACCTTGTAATGTAGTTTTATTTTTTGGAGACTCAGAGTCAATTGATTTCTATCTGCGATCGATCTGAGTCGATCAGAATCCATTCTGGCAGCTATTGAAGAAAAGTGTTGCGTGCATCAAAGTGAAGATGGCAGAGTGTGTAGAGAGAAGTTCACTTGGAAAGCCATTTCCGCGGCACCTTTTAGAGATTAGATGGCTTAAGGCGATAAGAAAGAATGGATGGGAAATTTCGCAAGCGATTGAGATCGCTAGCTTTATAACATGCATGAATGGCGTCGTGAAAGCCCCCAGCGTCATGGCTACCAATCAACTCTTAACCCGATAATCATGACATTTTCCAATCCTAATGTTTATGCAGCATTTCATAATACTTTCCTCCTCCTAGTTTATTAGCTGTCGGAGCTGGTCAGAACCGTAATCTCTAAGGAAGAAAAAGGAAAACTTTGGTGACCTCGATCGCGAGCAAAACTGTTCTCAAAAACTTCTGTTCTCCCATGGACGTTGTTTTAGAAGGTACGTTTCAACCTGTCGAAATCCTATTGATAAATTTTTTCAAACGAATATGAGCAAAAATTCAAGTATTTTAAATGTTGCCACATTTTGTGATAGAAAAAGTTAGAAGCTGTCAAAATATTTTCCTCTATGTTTTACATCATGTGAGCAAAACCATTAGAAACTGTGTCAGTAATTCTCACACGCTAACAATACATGAAAATGTGATGGTGTGTTTCTTCGCCATTAAAGAGTAAAAATAAGCAGTCATTTTTTAACTATATGGCTGCCTAGAATAATGAAATGGTAGCAAACCTCTCTACTAATTAAATTTAGGAATTAGACTTGAAATAAAGAATTGCTGCTGCTAATTCCGGATATATTGTGATGAAAATTCTAAATATCACCTGGAGGCAATCTTGACCTTGTAAAGAAAGCACTTCTTGTCCTCGTTTCATAAATCTTTAGCAAAATTCTTGGCACATAGAGTCGGGTAATTTTTTCGTATAGGGATTTTAATAGCGGAAACAGTGGGCAAATCTATTTTTGCCTTAAAACATCTTTAGTACATTCATTTCTGACATAAATTCGTGCTTTTTTTCATTTCTTTTCTTTTTTTCCTCAGCAATGCTGTTTTCGAACTTCTGTTGTTTTATTTTTTACATAAATAGCTTTTGGCATCTATTCTCACAGGATGCATTGACGATAAATGGATGGTAACCTTAAGAGGAAAAAAAAAATTACCCTTTGGCAATGACTGAAACATTTTTACGAGTCTGAACGAAGAAACATCAAATGAAAAATAAAAGAAATAATAATAAAAATAAAGTGGATAGCGCATTTTAAGCTTTTCTTGTTTTAAGTACAATGATAAAGTGACAGATTGCTTCTCATCCAAACTCAAAAGAAAGAAAAAATAAACAAAAGAAATGTGGAGATTAGAAAACCAAATACCAAACAAAACCTACACAGTTGTTTTTGTTTTCTCTGGTCAGACATGGATTTTATTATCTGAACCAACCAATTTAATCTGCATTTTATGTATTTTTCTTCTGTTAGTTTTTCTTTCCCTTTTTTCGTCAGGGCTGGACATTTACAGATACAACGAATAAAATTACATGCTGCAGGGGGTGGGGGTGGGGGGGGCAGCTCTAGATCTACACAAACGATGCCATTCAAAACAGATGGCTGATTCGATTTTTTTCTAAGACAAACGTACAAACTAGAGTAACAAGAATGTAAATATTAATAAAGTAGGAGGAATTTGGATGTCAGATATTGTGGCTAGTAGCCATGACAACTTTTTTTCAGTGGTCAGTGCAGTGTTAAAATTGCTAAGGAATCGGGGCAAGGTTAAGGAAATCTCTTAGGCGACTAAACTCACTGTCGGTTTATCCTCAAATAAGACGTGGAAAACCCTGATATACATCCAATTTCTAGCATAACGTACATAGTTACCAGACAACTCAGCGAAGAAATGTATATATATTTTTGTTTTGCAATTGTAACATGTTGTAACTGATGCTCAGAATCTAGCCAGGCCGTCATTTTCGGCGTATTGATTTTTCTAACTTTAGTCGAAGATGAATTAATCAATGTTATAAGCTATTCCCGTTGTGGGTCTCCTAATTGAAATTTGAGCTTACTTCCTCGATCAGGAAAAGGAAAAAGAAAAGAAATTTTGGCAAACGATAGGGTCCTATTTGATTTACGATTTCAGGAAAAGATACTGAGTGGTTATAATTCAATTTTAAATTACGTGTCTGGTTAAAAACTCGCAGGAAACAGTTACTCCAAATTTAATTCAACTTCAGAATGGAAGACGTTTAATTTTTTTTTAAAATTACTTTTATTGCTACATAAGCCATAGGTAATGAAAATGCTCGGAAAAAACATAACACAACCACCGGAGACTTTATATCGTAACCAAATTTTAATCTTTATTTGACTTTCTTCACCTCAGATATTGTAAATCATTGTGGCATTAATATTAACTTTCGTGATAATTTGTCAGTGTCTTGAATTTACAGTCTTTTTTTGGAAGGTAATCTCTGCTTACCCAATATAAATAACTCTATTTATACTTTACACGTTGAAAGAAATGACTACGTTTTTCGAGATAATGAAACAAGCAGGGTATTAGTAGAACAGATCCTAAGAATAAATAAAAAGAAAACCTAATTATTTGTTGGTGTTGAATTTAGCGATTGCAAAGATGGTCAATTGTAAGACGGTTATTTATATGCAACGGCTTTTATTCTTGGTGCAGGTAGAGGAAACTAAAAAAGGTGATAACACTTTCAAAATCAGAAAGGGAAGTCTAATTTCCAAGCGATAGAGAACGATAACAATCGTAACTTTATCAACACCTTACCCATTATGGGATTCATTTTTTTCGCAAATAATATTCATGATTTTATGTGGATATGTTTATTCAATACCTTTAATATAGCTTAAGAGCTTTTCTGCCGTCAGTCACTTTACACCGGTCCGTCGAACTACAACAACAAATCTTCGGCAGGTGTACAACAGCTTGATGCGAAGTTAAGTTACCAACATGACTTGCGGAGGTTTTGTGGGTATGTTTTGTGATTGTTATATTTGGAGTTGATGATTGGACAAAACTTTACTGGTAGGATAAGAACACGTAAGGGTTTAAGGTAATTTTTCTTTTGAAATCATTCCGAATCCTGACTGAACGGTATAATAATCGTGGCTAGAAAGATATGTTAGTTTTAGGCGGGGAATTAGCTTTGATCACCGTACATTGCTTCAGGATTCTAGATCTGCGCTATTTAGATTTCGAGCGATTGGAAAATTGATCTTTTTGCCATTCCGTTAATCGTATGACTGAATGACATTCGAACTGGACGATTAAAAATAAAATCTTTTTGCAATAGCCCTTTCCAAAAAATTGTACTCGGTTTTGGTATTCTATTTTAAATGCTTATTATTTCCCGTTAAAAATACAGAAAAAATAAAAATAAAATGTCCGTGTGAATAAAATATTCACCTCTTTTTCATTCGAACATAAATGAAACGTTCTGTCGTTCGGAATTCGGATTAAGTAACAGTAATTCGTCGTTTGCGGTAGGTCATCAAAACACAAAACCGCTTAAATTTTACTTAAAAACACATTGCTGGCCGTAATATCAATAGTAATTAAAACACCAGACCGATTCAACTAAACTTACTTTAGAAATAATTCGTTTGAGAAAGCCGAAGCTGATTTGGAAATTTATCTTTTTCGAATTATTGGTTTCTAAACCTTAACTGTTCCCTGCTGTTTTGGTAACAAGAATCAATCGTTTCAACGAAACACGAACCATTGTAAGGAGCGTGTTAATTATGGGAGGTAAAAATATGTAAAGTTAAATTGAGCTTTTCGTGAAGCTGGTCTGAAAACAACGAACCAATTAGCTAAATTGATCACAAAAACACCTCATGTAAAAAATTTTTTTCCGGACTTTTAGCAACAGATGAATTTTGAATTTAAATTTGAATTGCATTTATTTATTTATTTATTTTTTTAATGAAACACCAAAATTCTGCTCCAATCATAAGGTAGAAATAGATTTTTTTTTAACGAAACATCCACCTGCATTGTTTGTTTCGTAATTAACAAATATAAATTTTTGGCTCACGCGATTTCTTGGCAATTTCAGCCATGCATTACCACTCATAGGAGTCACTTGAACGAGGTAACAATATTTTGAAGCAGCAGGAAAATTCTTAGGAAGCCCAATTATGTAACAGATGTACGACTCATTGGCGCAGACTGAATATATTTAAATTGGGTAAGCTTGGAAAACACAGGCTATTTTTTTTAGTAGTACTGAAAAAGGTTTTGATATTTCGAATTCACGAAGCCTTCCTTGTGTAGTTATTTCTATGTGGGTTTGACCATGGCAATTCAAAACCACTAGTTTTACGTTTAAATGTTTAAGGCTTATAATTCATCTTTTAAAACAATGATTACCTTGAATACCCTGAATTAAGCCGCTTTCACCCAAAGTCTCTTTTGTAGATATCGTGGAGATTTCTCAAAATAACGATGGTCGGTTTAGCTCCTACTTCTTAAAACACTTTTTTTATCTTTTCCGTAAGTAGCTAGATTGCGGCGAAATATGCAAAAAAAAAACGTATTTCATATTCATTAATTTTTGCAACATGAGAGTGTACTGTAGGGTATTTATTTCAGTAAACAGATCTTTCCTTGGTAAACAAGGCTGGTGAAACAGTACGCAAACCAGAGCAAATACGCAAAGAGGTATTTTCATTCGGTTTACTTAGAGATTAAAACAAAAGTCTCAAGTCTGACTAACAAATCAATCAAAAAAGAGACTATCGCAAGCTGAACTCAAAATTAATAATCATGGAATATTCGGTTGGTGGGAAACTCACCCGCCGGTTATTTACACCAAGGAAATTAGAATTTTCTGAATTTAATGAAAATCATATAAAAATGTCAGGGAAACACAATTAAAAAAAAGACTGGCCAATTTTGTTTCCATGCATTATGGTAGTTATATATAGTTTATGTCACAAAACTAAGGCCAAGTTCCGCGGCGTTCAAAAAGTGAATCATTGGATCTAATAGCGCTCTTTGTTGGGAAAAATTTTCGATTAATTTTATCGGGAAATTTGGAAATTTATCAAATGGAAGGAACAAATGTCATATTTGTTAAAACAAAACGAGTTCACTTATCTCAGATTCGCTTTGTTTAAACACACCCTCGCGGATATTTTGTCTTTTATGCTGTACTGACAAAATTTTCAGTTAGCAATAGGCGAACACCATCAAGTTAATCTCTCTGGATTAGACAACAGATCCGTAAATTGACTAATTGCCATGGGTGGAAAGATTTTTAATTATGAAGATAAATAAACGCTATGTTCCCAAAGCCTCTTGATAAATGAACGCAGCATAACGTTTCATTTTTGTTGGGTAAGGCAGAGGAACGTAGGAGACATAAAAAAACAACTTGGAAAAAGCATTGGACTAAAAGTACTTAGCTATCCAATGCAACAAGAAAATACAAGGTAAATGGAATAAGAAAATCTCTGTTCACTTTCATGGACAGAGTAGAAGTCGAGATGGATTATAACGCAGCAATCTTTGTTTTTTTTTTTGTAAAGAAAGGGGCTTAGTTATAACTGAAATATTTACATCCTAAGAGTTCTTTCAGTCAGTACCTCCTCTTTAAATTTTGGCTGTAAGTATGAAAAATATATTTAAAACATGTGGAGTGAAGAGAGAGACTTTGCTTAAGTTTCAGGGCTAGATATATGCTCTCACGACCATAGAACAGCTAAAAATTAGGATTAAATTGGCTGATGTTTTGTGCTTAAGTATGAATTTCATTTCTTTAAATTTTGTCCGTTTACGATCTGTATGAGCTTTGAAATAGAGTAGGACTAATGCAATTTTATATCCTTTAGAAGGTCGGTCGTCTTGTTTATTAATCACGTTTTTCCGTGTAAATCGATCGCTTTTATCTTGGCAGATGCAAAGTCCGTCTAGAGCTTATTACCCTGGCTTGATACCTTTGTCCGTTGAAATAGATAAGGCAAGCATGGCAATCAGATAGTCCGAAGAAATAAAAAACTTTGTGTTTCGAATGGACGAACCAAAAAGTTTTCTTGTAAGAATATGCAGGAGACCTTTAAACAGACAGCCTTTGAAATTGAATGACACAGCGGAGAACTGTCTATTTCTTAGAGTATTGGACTACAAGTTTAGGATCAATAAGTTTTGACGCTTTCGCGTGTAACTCCGATTATTATACATTATACTTCAGACTTACTGCAGTTTGAAGTCGACATTATAACCCAATATCTGCGGCAGATATTGGGTTATCATGTCGAATTCAAAGTCTGCTTAGCCTACAAGCCTTTCGTCTCAAACTTCTGCAATTGCAGTGTTTTATTTGCAGATTGTTCAAAAACTGTTCAATAAAACAGCTTTTAAATTCGGTTTTCATGAATTATCAAACCTCGTATCGTCTGCTTCAGCCTTCGGCTTCGGCAAATAACTCAGCTCAACTCGACATTGATAATTCATTGATAATGCACGATTTTTGAAGACAGTCGGCAGTCAATGTCGTAGGCACTATCAGGTCTGTGACCGACCCTTTGCGCCCGCGGTTTGGAAAGTGAAGATTGGGAAATAGTTATCTGCCTGCAGTTCCACCATCTTTGGATTAGTAAATATTTCTTCATCTGCGTAGAGTCATCTATGATGTTTGTAACTTTAGCTGCGGCTTATTTGTTTGTTAACTGAATGTAATTCTCGGAATTTGTCTTACATCGATCATTATACAGCAATCACGTTTTGTGGTTGTTCAATCAATAAACCTGTTCATACAGATATCCTCCATAACCTGCAAGATGAATTATTTGCAATCCGGCCGGAAACCTTTACTGAAAAGGTTCCTAATTATCAATCGTAGCCTTAATTGGTAACAATGAATGATGTTGAGGCAGAATGTTCTATCCCTAATACATATTTTCACCGGATCTCGCCCACTGTACTTTGGACATCCGAACAGTGGAGATGCTATAAAACACCCTAATCGAGGTGAAAGTTTTTATTCCACTCTAATCCGAATTCTGTCAGTATTAATCTTTACTTATGATTGTTAATGAACGGGAGGTATCACTATTGAATAAAGAGCGACATAATTTTATAAAATAATTATAACGTTGGACTCATACAGAGCAAATAAATGGTGTAATTTACTTTATTGATTTTCTTCGCTGTTAGTCAAACGGGGTCCTAATTTTATTTCATGAGCAACTCGCAGTAATCAACGGTAATGTTTTTCCTTCCTTGTTTAGTGTTCCTACTTGACACAAGATCGAAAGAATTAGAGACTGGAATATTTTAAAATCTTTTTCGAAAGCTTTAGTTTGCGAGAATTTTTCTGCGATGAAAATTGGAAAAAAAATTGGTGGGAAACCACAAGATGTTATCATGGTATGATGAAGTTCACCAAAATTAGAAGAAACAAATAAAGGAAAAAATTTTAATTAAGGATGGAGAAGATTGAAAAGGATTGTGAATTGTACACTTGATAAAATATAGACGAAGTTTTTCAAGTCACAGAAACCAAGATGTAGCTGCCAAGCGGTTGAGTAAGCTCCCACTGGGAGTGCTTGAATGGCGGGTTTGTAAATACAGTGGTGCATGGTTCGTTTGCTGGGTTTTTTCTTTCAAGTTCAGATTTATATTAACTAAAAATAATCAACTGCTGCTTTGCGAACCCTTACCTTGCGTTCTACGTTTCAAGAACCTCTCTGTGATGGATATACTTTTATCAGTTTACGCTGGATTCTAAATCAAGAAAATATTTAACCTCAAATGTTTGAGACTTAACGAGCGCTCATGGTTTTTAATCATCCCGACAACAGCCAAAGATTATAAAGCCAGAGCATCGTCTGACCTTTCCTGGCCTTGATTCCTCTTTCCCAGAATCGTTTTTTTACAAATGTCGAAACATCTATTCAGATGAGATTAATACATCTTCGTGTTAGACGATCCTGTTTTCAGGGAAACTCCTACAACGATATTGACCAATAAAAGGGTGGTGCTTCAAACTTTGACGCAAAAAATAACTCTGATTCTTGTTCTAAAAGAAGTATGGGTTTGAAATTATACAGAAATCTTCTCATTTGACAAAACAGGATAATTTTTCATTTTTAACGATCGTGCTACAGTCAGATGTAGCATGTTCTACTTAAACGGAGAAGAAATGAAAGTCACTAAATAATGAATGACTAATTAATCCCCAAGGAAGCTTTTAAGCACTTGAAATATTGACATACATTTTACTGATCTGTTTTAGAAGCTTTTGGATGAAACGAAAGTAGTTTAAGGCAAACTACCCAACGGGTTCTTAGTATTTCGCTGCAGAGTACTGGAAAGCGGTCGTCCGTCCTTTTGACGTGTCGATACCTCGTGACGTTTGTTAAGGTAACACTGTTTTTTTTTTTCTTTTTAATTTACCTATGCATGCCTAAGAATCGGTATCCTTTAATAGAAGGCCTTAACTGGAGGCTATGAGCTTAGGTCTTTATTTCCAATAAAGTTAACACATGTTTAAAAAAACACAACTCTTTTCCCTAAATTGAAAACCAATTTGATAACCTCGCTCTGAGTTTTCATTCGGTGACAAAATGTTGTCTGAAAGCCAAAGGAAAATCCTACAGGCAGAAATCGGTTGCCCAGCAGTCGAGTTCATGCATCTGATGGTATTTATAACCAAGATTAAAACAGAACTTCGAGAAATGTTGATGTTGGTTTCATCGAAAGAGCGCCAAGCGCGCTCGGAAAAAAAAATCTAAATTACCTAAAATTTTTCATCTCGTGATATCGAACTCGAATCGAAGGAAACCCTTAAGAGCCCAGCTCTATGGTAATGTAGAGCGGTAAAAAGTAAAGATATGAAGAAAATTAATTTGTGGTTGTAACCAAAAAGATCAATCTGCTCTCTATTTTTCGGCTTAATAAACGAAATAGATGATGCCAAATTTTCCCTTTTTTAAAACTGTTTTTCCTTTTAATCATGAATATAAATTGCGCTTATTACAAACAAACAAAATCGATGAATAAAAAGCTTAAATTGCGTCCTTGTGTGGCCCAGTGACTGTATCAGAGTTTCGTGCGTTTTTCCATATTTTTTTTATTATTCATGTAAAGAACTGAGGAGAAAGGAAAAAAAAACCTTTTTGATCTCAATCATTTTCGTCCCGAAGCAGGTTCGTAAATAACATCAGCCAAGAAACGTTGTATTCTAAATTTGGTAGCTGTCAAGCCAGTGAACGTATGGGAGCCAAGTTTGCCATGAGATTTGCCTGTCGATCAATGTCAGCTTTCATAATTTGTAGCTTACGCAATCGAGCTATCTTAAGCTAACATCATAATCACTCTAGCTAGGTTGAAGCTCAGCGATGCGTCAGTGATGACTGAAGGATGTGCAACGAAAAGTATAAAAGAGGAAATGCGGTAGAAGATCTTCCAAAAAATAAAATATCATGGTAAAAGGAGTCGTCTCAGATGTAAACTGTTAGTTTAATTTCGAATTATATTGATCTTCAAACATGGGAAAGTTGCTGTTGCAATAACCAATTTGAGAGATATCATAACTTGTTTCGAGGTTTCAAAAAAGGAAAAGGAAATATCAGTTATAAATATTTCATCAAATAAAGCAGCTGAAGAATAACCGCCCACTAAGTGGTTAACAAATTATCAACTTGGCGACGTGTTGTCCTTTTGTTCATGATTCACTCTTTAGAAAAAATTGAAGTTCCAGACTGAGCGACTCAGGCGCTTTTTCAATCAAACCCTAATTAGATTTTTAAAAAGGTTACCGAGAGCATGATGATTTTCCCTTCCATAAACCCTACCCCCTCCTTTCGCCCCAATAAATTTCTCTCACGTTCCTTATCCAACTACAAAAACTCCTGTTACCAACATGTTACACAAAGATGATGCAAACGGACTTTAATCTGTTGCGTATAGACCAATAAATCGTGCAAGTAAAAACTACTGCACAACTAGACCACCCAATTCGTCGGCCTGTCACATCTGATTGTCGTTCAGCGCTAATCGCAAAGAGAGTCAACGATTTCTCAAAGTTCAATCGTTAGATATATCCCTGCCGGCTTTGCTCACAAGTTCCGCCACCGGCCCAACCAGTCGTCATTTCCCCACTTCCAAAAGTATTTTTGGCCCCTTCCTTGTGATTTCGTTCAAATTAAAATCGTGTTGTTTGCGCAATTATTGTGGCAACCAATTGATGACACGTCTAACGTCAGCGACAAAACGGAGACAAGGAAAATGATTTCCTGAATAATTTTTGTAGAAAATCTTTTGTTCAGTTCATTTTAATCAAGTCGGAAAAACTACCTACTGATCTTTACGCCAATGGAAATTGGCCAATTATAAGTCTTAAAATTCCATTCTTATTGGTTCTTGACACTGATCAGAACTGAATATACAAGACCGTCGCCTAAAAAGTATTTACTTTTCATTAAAAAATTAAAATTCAGCCCATCAGAACGAGACAGAAACACTGCGCAATTCTGAGGACCTTAAAGACTATCTGCATTTTAGTCAGACTAAATAAGCCCACTCACTAATTTAGTAAACTTTGTATTGGCTTGAATTTCGTAAAAGTCCATTATCACCTGCTTACCATTATAAAAGAGGATCGTGTTTCAACACTGTTTGACGTGAGGTAAACTTTATGTAATACGTTATGATAATCCCGTGTTCAAGGATAAAAAACGAGAGTTCTCTCATCTTTGCATCTGGAGCTGGTTTAACAGTGAGTACCTAGTTAAAAAAGCGCAAAGAATAACAGTAAGACTCGTATTAATTTTAAATTTTTAGTGTGAAGATATTGCTCCAGCATTCAGTCTACTTCTGGAGTACATCCATACTCCTATGTTCATATTAATATCAGCTTGCAGCTTGGAGGATTATGCTTAAGTATACACAAACGCTAACATTTGTTAGCTTCGGTTTAAATCACTGGAAGTTATATTGCTGTTTAATTTCCATTTTTTAATCATGAATTCGTTTGAACACGTTTACTTCTTCTACATTACCTTAGCAGTAATAATACGCTGACAGTATCAAGTCGAAAGGCACACGTACACATTTCGTTTGAGGGGACCGTCAACATGGGCGACTTTAAGACTTGTCTCTGCTATTAGCACCTTCGCAACTGCATGTAATGTTTTTACGTGAATGAGATACCGCGCTCAGGGAATGTGATTTACAGCCAAACATTATCGCAATGCAAGATTATTCACTAGCAGATGCTTCCTATGGCAAGGAATTGAATATTCGTACCTTGCTCGATAGGAAACTCCTGCGATTTTCAGACTTCGACTAAAACGTGTAAGTGTCTTCTTAGCTCTCTTAAAATTTCCTAGCTTTCATATATTGAAAAGAACTTAGCCGGGGCACTTTATTAAGCGGAAACCATGAACGTAACAACCTGCATCCTTTGTAACTTTTAACAGCGGAAGTTGTTCTTGAGTAAACTCGATCATTCAACACCACTTCGATTGTAGAACAGGAACTTGGTTCACCTCTTCCTACTTTTTTTCTAAGGTCTAATTTCTTCCAATGTCGTGTTATCGGCCTACATCTAGTTTACATCAACTACTGAAAAAAGATCCGTTTCAAATAGGGCGAATAGCACTTGATGATTTTACGTCTAGGATGTTATGTTTCGGTCATTAGCCTCTGTCAGAGGCGTTTACAACGTTGATTCCAAGAGTTATTACTCAACGCGCGATGGTCTTTGCGCTTCGCCGCTACCATATGCATCCTTTATTGGTTGGTTCAAAAAGCTGAATGAATGCAATTGGGAACTACCTGCATGCACAGAGGGTCTGAGATGATTTATAACATGCAAAATTTTGCGAAATTTAGTTGATTAAGAAAACTGATGGGAAATTCCTAGTCAATTTCAGCATTGTGTTAAGAGAAAAAATTTACTGAAAAGACTTCCTTGCATTTTCAATTAATTGATAAACATGAATTCAATATGATTTAATTTGAATGATGCCACTCAGAGCCTCTTATCAAACAGACCGCAAGGCACCAAATGAATTGTAATAAATATTAATGTCGTTCTCTGTTAACAATAGAGCTAAAATGTTTACATATCAAAGTCGATCTTTTAGGTATATTGTAAACAAACTTGTGAAAGCTCGAGTCGTGTGAGTTTTGGGTATGTCAAAGTATGTTACGCCAATTAGAGAAAACGCCATATATTTAATTTGTCCTCATAAGGTTGTCCGATAAGGTTTTGAAACCTAGTTGTGCTCCCGGCTAAATGATTGAAGAGGGTGATGGCCCCAGGGTGACAATTAAGAGGGTCCAACATAGGTTTGGCGGGATACAGGATGAGGCTTAAAATCGAGGCGGGATGAAGGATATGAGAAATTTTAAAGGCGAGATGCGCGATGAAAGTAGGCAGACGAGACCGGGATATGCTTCGTTTCGATGGCGGAATAAGGCATAGGAGGGGTATAGGCGGGATCATAATTTAGCTCAAGTGGCGAGTCAATAGACTTCAGAGACACTAAAAAGTATTTATTTGCTTTATCAAAACGAGCTTTGTGATTCCCAAAAACCGCGGATAAAAATACATGAAATTCCCATGTTTTACTAATGTTACGTGGTTTGTTGCGTAAGTAACACGTGACGTAAGTTAATCATAACCTTAACCAGGAAAAGGTGGTCAAAAGCCGCAGTGAGCACGTTGACAACGTTGCCGGTTCATTCACAACAGCGTTATTTCCGTGACAGCGACACCATCAATATCGCTAACCTCACGGAAAGTTCAATATCAACCATAGCCTAAAAAATTTCAGGAAGAGAATGAAAACTCAATTCAATCCTCCGTAGGTGACGTTTTTGTGTCTTACTCTTAACCATTTTTTTTAGCAAGTTTGTGCCTTTCTCCTTAATGAGAGTATATGGTCAATATTGCAAAGGCTATATCAGTTAAAATAAGACAGTGAATTAGGGCAACTTGGATTTAACTAGGCGGGTTTGGGATAAAAATGTTCATCGCAGCGGAATGGCGGGATGGAATAAAAAATAGCGGTGTTCCTACTTCACGAGCTATCCGCACACGTCCGAGAAAATAGCGGTGGTCGTATTTCACGGGCTATTCGCACACGTCCACGTTGTGCATTTCATAGTGTAGACTCACCTCCAAGAAAAAAGGCTGGTGTAAATCTAGTTTTCTTTATCAGCTAGAATCGAAAGATATATGCCATCTGCGCTTAGAGTCCGACTCGGTCACGTGTTACAGGTAATTGTGTCACGTGTACCTCGCAGTTCATTACATAGCTACTCAATGATTCTTAGCACAGTCCAGCTACCCCTGTTGAGAAAACTAACAATTTCAAATGGCCCTAACTCAGACAAAGCGTCTCGTATATTTTACCTATCTTTTGACCACTGACGAGAAAGAACTGACGGGGAGAGAGAGATGATATGCAGAGTAACCTCCATTCAGGGGTTCTGGAACAGGGCCAGTGTCCCCTGAATAGAAGTGTCCCATCATGTATTTTTTGTGGACCGCGTCGATGTCCTTGAATTCTCCATTGCAAGCCCTCCGATCGAGAATAACTTTTCTTTCCATGTGCCGGACTTTTTTACTTCTTCATCTCCTCTACTGATAAACCGTTCATTACATTGGCCGGATGAAATTTCTCCGCGTAAATTTTTTGGTAAACAACAATGAAGAAATTGAAATACATGTAGATATGATTCTCTTTACCTTATATTTAAGGCAAGTGGAAGTCATTTCTGTGCACCAAAGATATCCTCACTGAGTCAGCTCAGTTGTTCAAGTCTGACTGAGTTCAATTCATAAAGAATACCAGAAGGGGGAACAACTTTACTTAACAACCAGTGATTGAGAGAAAGTACGACTGTAAAACTTGTATAAAACGTAGGTAGAATGGTTCAGTAAACGTTTGATTTAAGTAGCCTATTCGTCTCATTACATAAGGTTGAAAAGTATCGACAGGCGTTCAAGAAGAAATGAAGCAAATAAACGAGCAAAAATTCACAAAATTTCAGAAAGAACGGTTATGCAACCAAAGCTAAACTCGTTTTCCTTCTTTTTTTTTTGTTGACTTTTTACCAAGGTTTTAGTTTAGGCTAATGGTAGTTCTTATTCTCTTCCGTCAAACGTGAATACGTCAGGGGGTCATGCAAAGTCACGCGCTTCTTTTCATCGCTCGCTCAACAACCTCGGGATTTGTGTTTCTAATGGTCCGTTAAATTGTTTGTAATTTAGTTTATTTTGAGAAAAATTTTTGGTTGGGAGTTCAATTTAAGAGCATTAACAAAACGCTTAGGAGAATCCGGCTCATAAGTTGACATCATGGTGTTTTTTCACATTTTATGTAGCGCCGATATTGCTGCATTAATCCATTTGACAAGTTGGTACGTGCTTGGTTTTATGATCAATTTCGTCGTCAACCGTAGAGTCACATCCGGTGTTATTCACTGCTGCGTTACTCACGCTGCGCTAATTATTATCTACTATAAAACTGTACACTCTAAGCCAGCTTTCAGCAGGTCTTCAAGCTCTGCTGCCTACATCTATCATGTGCGATTGAAGATCGCACTACATAGTCGACCGAGCGGTGAGTTTGTATGATATGTAAAATCCTTACTTTGCCGGAGTAGACTGAAAATTCGTAGAGTTCTGATGTCGAGGCTTGATTAGAAACCGGATTTCGCCGGGCCAGAAGCAAAAATTGAAGAAAACTGCAGTGATTCAGACAAACAAGATGTCAAAAACTTTCAAATCACAGAGCTAAAATGAGATCCGATACAATCACAGCGAAACAGTGTTGAGAATGATTTGTTGTGACATTTTTTTTTGTCAGAATTTTATTTGATAAAGTCGATTTGACAAAACAAATTTCGCACGAATATATTAAATGGAATCAATGAAAGAGAAACCCTACCTGTAGGAATTGTGGTTAATAATTTCGGAAATTCCACATTTGGCTTCTCGAACCAATGTTGAAAGATGTTGATATTTTTATTTCTGGTTCGTAACCACAAGCATTGCTTTCGATATTCATTCCTATAATATCTAAAATATCCGTCAGATATCTATTAACAATAATTTTTGTCGTGCCATGTTTATAATTTTGCGAAAATAATTTCCGTCGCTCGTCATTGTTTTGCCTAGGGATGCACTAATGAATAAAAATAATAAAAGAGAACTCTAAAAGATTACTTGGATTAGAAACTGAATAAAACAGGATTCAAAGCAATCAAGTAAATTGAACTTAGCCGGGGAGTTCAGATTATTCATTTTAAACTGCTGTTTTTTAAAAAGTACTTTCACGAGCTCGCAGCATGGGGAAATGATTGTTCTCTTCCTGAAAATGTAAACAGCCTTGAAATCAATTTAAAATAAGCATTCAGCCTTTTGCGAATCGCCGCTTATCTCGCTGTTCAAGGCTATTCACTGATTTCTTAAGTATTGCAGCTGGAAAATGGAAGGAAGTGTTAAAGTTCAAATTCTCAAAGCAACCGTCAGATTAAAAGAATAAAAAGAAAACACACAACTTGACAAAGATTAATTCTCTAATTCCGACACGTCTAAGCGGTGCATCAAATACTTTGCCCCAGGCTGAATATAATAATCACTGACAAATTTCTTGTTTAACAATGAAAACGTGGATTTTGTTCCAAAATTTGAATAACGTAAAAAAAAATTTTAATATTCTTTCTCCTTTTTTCGAGGTTTTTCTAAAGTTAGTTATGTTGATAATTATGAACCTTCGCCATTCCACCCTCAATCTGCATTGCAACTTTCCGTGCTTTTTGCGCCTTCATAACCGTTCGTGAGCGTTTTAGGGCTCAGTTTGATGTCATGTAAAACTCACCAGGAATTGTTCGGTGGCTAGCATGTGACTTATATATGTTTGATGAGACTAAGCGGGGAAAAAGTTCGCTCGATGACCAGCATATGATTTGTTTATAACCGATTCTATTGATCGGTGAAACTGGCAAACACCCAGCGCTTTAGTAGCCAAGTAGACACGTGGGATCACGTAGAACATCGAAAAAAATTAAACAAGACAAAATAATAATAAAAAAAAAACATGACAAAGAGTTTTAAAGCAAGATAGCAGAGTTAATCAAAACAATTTAAGATTTATTCTTGAGTGTTCCCGATTGAGATTACACAATAATGTAGAATTGGATTACTTCAATCGAAGGACTGAACAAGAGAAAATAAAGGATTTTTACCATCATGTTGATAATAAATTGAAACCGGTTTTTAATCGAACTAACCCTTTCAATAGTTGTTTTTTTTTCCAGTCGGGGGCTTTGAGAATCGCACACCAAGTGCTAAAATACAATGTCAAGCGATTAAGTGATGCGTCAGGAATCTTTATCCCTTAATTCGATCCGAGCGTGGGGTTATTCCCTTTAATTCTAAAAGGGCCGGCATAAAAAAAACTTTAATTTTGTAATCGCTTTCGTAGGTGTGGTTTTCAGTGTCAACTTCATTGCTGCAAAGTTCCCCACTCTACGGTGAATTTTGCACGGGGACGGATAGCTTTACGAGCATTACCGTACCGTAAGTAATAGTAAATCTATTAGTTTCTTTCAAAAGCTGCTTTTGATGTAAATCAGTTTAAATGTTTTTCTTGTTGATCGACAAAATTTCAGGTGGCTTAATTTTTTTTTTTTTAACGCAAGTCGAAAATCATTTAGTGGTTATATCGAGTAGGTTCATTTAATTTGACAAGGTAGATTATACTTTTTTATCTCAGTTTTATAACAGTTCGATCTGATTTTCGGTCAGGGTGCAAACGAGTTCAGCATTTGACAAAGCATAGCAAATACGACAAATTAAAAAAGTTGACAGTTTAAAGAAGTTTAGCAAATTGAACCAGATTGCGAATGAGGTGTTTAACTTATTCATTGCCTCAGCGAAACTGACAAAGACAAATTGTATAAATCTTGATTTTCAAAGTGTGTGACGCTGTAAACAACATATTATACCGGCAAGTGGTAATTTTACTGACCGCAAAAGCATCTTTTCTGGACATTTTTGTCATTAACTTAGGGACTATGACGTACATCAGGAAGTCTTTAGACATGTTCTTCTCTCTTCGTTCTTTTTCTTTTAGTTGAGTCTTTAAACGTTAAAAAAAATCTTTTTTATTTCGATCTTCAGTGTGATCCTAGGGTTGAGTTTGGGCAAAATAATTTTTTTTCGCAAAAAAGCAATAACATTTTCATAATTTTTTTTGGCGTAAATTCACGAAAATATCTATCAAAATTTAAATTGAAAAAAAGATTGAAAATGCCTCCCAAGTGTGAAAATTAAGCTGTTATAAGAATGTTCTTGGAAAGGGGACAAATCAAACTAGCACCCTTAGATTACGATTTCGAGCACGTTTTCCAATAACCAAGTCTACCAACAGAAATCTCCCCCTCCCCTGGTTGTAAAGTCGCGTAGAAGGGAAATAATTCCAATATTTTAACTCACGTCAGTCCGAAGAAAAATACGTGGTAAAAAACCATTTATCAGTTATTAATGCAAATATGTGTAAGCCCTAAGTCGACGAATATGTTTTACCCTGCTGGGAAATATTAATATTAAATTTGTCGGGAAAAGATTAAGGTGATATTTACGAAATTGTTTTTTTTAATTAATTTTGATTCTCGAGTGTGTCAGGAGTGCTATAATTTGAACAGAAAATAACTTCTGTGGCCAGTCGCACGGGTAAATTATCTCGGAAGAACGATTTTTTCATTATTGAAGAAGTGGGTTGATTTAAAGGGAGAAGATTATTTGTGGTCATTTACACGGTAATAAATTCATATGCAATATCGGTGAGCTTTGGATCAGCTTTCAATTCCGAATGACGGAAAACGATTGAGAAATGTTAATTGTGACATTCAGCGTTAAAGAAAGTTTGCGAGACCACCGGGTTTTGTAAACAATGGCAGACTTAAGATAAATGATCCTAAAAATATTCATTATCAGTAAGAAAGACCATAGCGAAACTTTGCGGCTGGTCTGTTGACCTGCCAATTGGCTGGAAATTTCTACTTAAGCTCTTTTTACGACTCATTATTGTGCCAACGAAAAAAATCTCGATTAATATGCTCGAACATAAGTCGACATTGACGGGGAGTGTATAATTTGTAGCCTGCGCGCATTATCAGAAATCTCTTGTCACAAAAGTAAGAGCCTGGCATTGTTTCAGGATCCAGTCATATTGATAGGCGCGACTTTGCCACGGCAAATATGAGATAGCATTTAACATGGACTTTGACTGCATTGAAAAAGCGAGCGAATGGAACCGGCGCAACGTGCAATATGGTTTTACACAGGATTCTTAACTGTGACAGGTATGGTTTATTGCCCCAACTGTATTTTAAAGAATGGAAAAATAGAAAAAAGTCCACAGTGGGGCAAAGTTTGGTATGGAATTAGCTTCGAAGTGAGTGCTATGGTACTGTTAGTTTGGTGTGTAGAATTAGCATGCGATAGAAAGACTAAAGAATATTTTCAAGAGCTGTAGCAAGATGTAATAATTTATTTGCCGACTCGAGTAGTTTCCGAGTGTTTCCTCTGATCGGGTTTCCTCGATACTTAAAATTTACGCGTAGGAAAGCGTATCTCTAGCAACTAAGTATTACGAAACGCGCAATTTTGAAATCAGGATCGCAGGCAGCCTTTTTTAAAGACGAGTGCGCCCTCTGGGTACAGAACCCCTAAATTGTGAATGAGCTGATAGCCGTATCTGAGGCGAGCTCAGCATACTGTTCGTTAAGAAGGAAAAAAACACCTCATTGGAAATTCTATATCGACCAGCGCGACTCATACAGAAGTGTTGGTGCATCACAAGAAATTTTCGTTCACCTGCTTACCCAGCCATAATCATATGTTAAATCTAACAATTTAGGATTGAGAAAGACTTCTGCGTCGAAAACGATAAAAAAATAATTGCTTTTAAATCGAAATTTAGATTTTTACAAATACATTTACTTTTACTTCAACTTTCTCGGTCGGTGGGTAAAGCAGTGTTGTTAAATGATCAAGAAGATGAAAGAGCCATAGATCGTGGTATATAACTCGAGTTAATGATATTTAACCAAAACTCAAGCAACAAAAGGAGAAATTTGTAGCAGATTGTATCGAGAGCATAAAAACTCTGGCAGAAAAAAGGGCATCTTACAAATAGTTATGCAATATATCGTTGTGAATTACATAGTGTTATATGATTCAATGATAAATATTTTGATCTTCATTTTTCTTCGAGGATTTACATATTTCATTCGGTTTGGGCACCCATTTTTGTCGATCTTCTTTTCATATTTCAAAACCAATCATCATCGTAATGACTGATTTCCTCTCTCATTCTCTCTTTTTTATTTTTTTTTTATAATTCAAGTTTGGAAGTGCCGCGTAGTTCCTTCCAGGGGCTCCCAGAATTTAGTGCACCTGCCCCCTGACATGCAGCTTAACTCGGAGCTAATTCACAACGACAATTTCCTTCAGTTGACTATGAGTTCTGGGAGAGAAATTTGATTTGCCCCCAACTAAATCTTTGTCAAGGAAACAGTCGATTTGAATTCATGCAGTTATTGCAGCAGGAAGACAAGCGGCGACTTGTCGCTGAGTATGTTTGGATCACAAATCTTTCATCGCCAAAATCTCTTTTAAATTCCCCCATCCGTCTGCCACGTATTTCTTGGAATTTTAACGGCGAGAATTTGGTGTCAAATCAAATAACATTGTCTGCTTGATTTTATTTTATGTCTTCTCATCGCCATCATTATTTTGATAATTGTAAGGAGAAAATAAGTACCGATCACCCTGGGAGTTAGCAGTCGATGAAAATCACCCAATCCATTTTGTTTTTTTCTCTTTTCCACGGTCCTAATGTATCTTATATGCACCACAAGGTTACCCTTTAAGACTGTGATTACCAGCTGACTGATTTAGAGATCATCAAGTGTGAGGAACGATTCGTAAAACTTCAGCGAATTACAAAGAAAAGATTTAAGCAAAGGTGGACTGTAATTTAAACAACTGTAGAAGAGTAGCCGGAAAAATTCCGGCCTTGATGACATTCGAACCCAGGCCTTCCAGGTACTAGCTGAACCTCACTACCAACTGAGCTCTGAAGCCACATGTTAGGAGAGGAAAAATTTAAGAGGGTGTTTGCTTGATTTTCATCCGCAGGTCATTTGAATCTTACTTCATTTAATTTGTGGAAAAGGAATTGTAACAGCTAACTTTTTGTAAAGCTATTAAACTGTCATAGGACTTGTATTTCTATCGTTTTTTTTCGGTCATGGAGTAATTAAAAATGTTTTAGACCCCAGAACGAAGCTATGTAATGAATTGAACGTTACACTCTCAATTGTGTCGCACAGCATCAACATTGTGACTTACAAGAGACAAAGTATTGAAAACAAAATTGTATCGATCGCGTGCTCTGGCCACAAAAAGTGATGAAGATTTTAATTTCACATAAATAATTCGGGAGAAGATTGTGGAAAAGCTTATTTCTTATCGAGTAGCTTTTTAGGACCTGGATTATTCGACCCTGTGTCTGTTATGATTCATGATAGGAGTCATGAAATAATGAGAAAACTCAACAAGGAATTTTTTTTCCTTCGTGGTATGGTTAAATTGCGACTAAAAGAACAGATTTTTCTTGCGGAAGCGTTTGGCCTGGTAATGTCGATGGAAAGATATAACAAGTACTTCCTGGACTAGGGGGGATGTTACGAAATATTTATCAGCAAAGGAGGAATTTTGTCAGCTGCTGTAGATGACGTGATAGGGTCGACCTTCTGGGAAAGTGTGAAGGATTTTAAAGAAATTCTTTTCTAGCACGTAATCTTTTAAAGATTCTCCACTGAGTTCAGTTAAATGTTGACCTGTGCCGAGAAAAAGTTCCTTGTGTCAACAAGCCGTAACTTTAGATCAGGAAGCATAATTTGTTATCCTCTCCTGTAACTATTCTTTCTGCCTGTTTTCGTCATTTCCTCAATTTTTTTCAACATGAACGCCGAACGTCTTACCTAGTGACCTCATTTGCATCATAGATTAATCTCTTAATGACGCAAAGTTGAACAGTACGAATGGCTATATTTCCTTTTGGTGATTACAACCAAAGTTGCGCAACATTAGTTTCGTGCGATTCTTGTTGTAAAAAAACCAAACTTATTTTTATAATTGATAAGTCTTATCGAAGTGACGCAGAGATCAGGCTGTCAAATCCTAAGCCCTTTTGAGGTCAAAACCTCCGTCGGAAGAGGCAAAGTTTTCATGAAAGATGTAAGATATGCTCCCTTTGCTGCAATTTAACGTATATAGTATTAAAATCGAAGCCGCACTTTACACGAAGGTCACGGACGGGAGCAGCTTAGTTACCTCGCCTTTGGGAAGCGGTAAACCGTCGGGGAAAAAAATTTTCGTTTAAGTGGCAAACTTCCAGCATTTAAACCATCCCCTCGACCGGTTTCTTAGTAACTTCACATCTGGTAACGGTTCGTTTATAATTTTACGGCGCTAGTAACGAACAACCCTTTGTGGCTGACAAAGCACCGACAAGGTGAGTTGTGTTATACTTGACTGTCTCTCTCGATGTTTTCTTTGGCTGGTAATGCCAATTTTTGTGGTACCTTATCCGTAAAATCCTTTGAAACGAGTTTGGCGTATCGGGTAAAATATTTACACAAGTGTTAAGAAAAAATAACAGTAGATCTTGAAATAATAGCTCTTTCTGGAATTGATTACTTGTTCTAGAGCGCGAACTCTTACGAAGGCTTCTCTGTAGGTGGGTATATCAGTATGATTTATGTCCTTCCGTTTCGAAGTCGAAAATTCTTGTGAAACCGCGTGCTGAAGGGAAAAATACGTGTCATGAATGAGATGTATTTATTTCACGTTCCATTGCACAAATTATCACTATTGTCCGTGACCGTAGAGGAGTGGACGTCTATGTTCACCAAATGTTCAATTCTCTGACTGAGTGACGCCAGGCGGAAAGAGTACGTTTCAAGGACTTCTCGTTCCTTTTTCAAAACTTCGCGGTCACGATTCGAAACTGTAGGGAAAATAGAAGTTCAGGCGACTTTCGCTGACAGAGTTCATGAAATTCCTAGGATTTCGATAGATTTTATTTTTGGACAGAAGCATGGTTTACAATAGGGCGAATGTAATCCCGAACACAGACTAAACATCGATAACAGACAGCTTAAATCTGAGATATCTCGGATGATAAGATTCAACCGAAGGTTATCGAAAGATTACTTTCATGGATTGTTTTTCTGCGAAAGGGAAAACTCCATTCACAACGTTTTATATGTTGTATAGTCAGCAGATAACTTAGAAGAAGATGCAGGAACACGCGAGTATTTGTATAATCGGAAATGGATAGGAAATGGAACTCACACTTACGGAAAAAGTTCTAAACTTTATTCACGTTTAGAAAATTGTAATTTGTTATGTGTAAAACTGTGGATATGACTTTCGTCTACTGTCAGTTAACGAATATATATAATTACGTTCTAACACTAACCTTTTGGGTCAGGGATCAGTCATTCTTCAATCACCCACTAAGGCTGTATGCAATTAAATATCAAAGCAGTTTAATTAAGTGATCATAGTAATGATATCAGCGTTCAAAAGTCTATCAAGTTGCTTTAGTCTATCGATGAACATGCCGCGGCCTTGTTGCTAATTTCAATAGCTGAGAAAAAAAAACTCATGCATTAATTTTTCTTGGCAAGAAGCCTGAAGAAATGTTTGCCAATATCTGAAGTCAAACCCGTTTTCTTTCTCGTACGGATACTTATTGGCGCGAGTCGTCGTTCGTGCGCGTCTTTCCTTCTTTTCCATTACAGTTTTATCTGATCTAATCTTATTCAAGGAAAGGGCGGGGACAAATAACTTGGACGTTTTTCGACAAATTCGCACGTATTTTAAAGCAACTCCTGTTTTTGCCATAATAATTGCGTTGAGTAAAATTTTTAGGAATGATTTCATGACCCGTATGTTTCAATTAGTCTCGACTATTCTTGAGCACTCCATATTGACAGATATTAACACAAGCTATCCGATAGCAACTTTAAAACTGTTCAAACTCACCTATGCAATTTCAAATTCAAATATCCCTTTTTGTGAAAAGAGAGAATTTTTTTGTAAGCAATAGTCATATAGAGTTTGTGGAAGCTTCTGAATAAGTAATCATGTACGGATTTACGGAATCATGAATTATCCGTCGCGAAGGCAACATAGTAGTTGCGCAATTTCAAAATTCCATAATTTCAAGTTGTTAAAAAGATCGTGTCAACGAGAGTTTTAAATTCAAGATTAAATGCTTCGTTGTAGCTGTTCAAAGACGTTTTCATAGTTCTCACTACTGTACAGCTCCGCAAATGATCCCGGGACCGCAAATGATCCTATGACCCTACAAATTTATTTAAGATAAATGCATTTTCTTTTTTTTTCGTATTCGTAATTTAAGGAAAACTACACTACTTAGCTAGCGAACACAGCTAATTGATTGAAATATTTCATTCTAGCAAAATAATGGTAGAATCAGTGGAAACACATGGACAGTCAGATACATATATTTTCCGGTACGAATCAATTACTAAACACCTATGTAAACAAAGGAAGTTTAATAATACAAATGTCAACTCGACAGACTACCGCTCTGCTCCCGAAATTATCCACCACGGTTCGAGCCGATCTAAGACACTTAAAACCTTACAGGAGAGCTCTGTGATGAATTGTTTTCTTTCGTTAATCAAAGCTTTTCAAGGAACTTATTTCCGGTAATGTTTCAAAATAGTGATTAATTTTGTTTTGTATAGTGGCACCCTTTTTTTCATTTTTTATTTCAGGTTCATCACAGTGGCCATAACAAACATTTTAATGAAAATAACCTTGCAATTGTGAGTATGTTTCATAATCGATGAAGCTCACATTAACCAAAGACTTTGTTTTTCCTTATCCCATGCAAACTATGCTGTGACATCTTTCTAAAAAAGGTAACCTGGTAACATATTCTTCCAAATGATTCAAATGTACTTAGACGCTTCCTTTGGTTGTAGAAGCAACTTCGAATGGAAAAAAATAAAAAAAATAAAAACAAGGCCAACACTTTTTCTTTTCAGGCAATTAGCGAATGGGCCTTATTGGAAGTGCTTTTGACACTCAAGCTCATTATTGCAAATAAATTTTCCCTGTAATAAGCGCAAGTGTTGTTCAGGTGGCAAGCCGATATTTATCTTAAAGATCTTTGATAATTGCATGTCAGACCGACGCCTCTTCTTAGATTGATACGCAGAGGAATCAATACATTTCCTTCATGTACCACTAACAAGAAGAGTGTTGAACGTGCCTCGGTGCTTTCGTTTGCCAAAATGTTAATTTTCTTACTGAAAACCGTGGGTAGAGCATTTTTAAAGCCAACAGGGATACAAACTCGCTGTAAGGTTTGTTCGTTTCTTATTCTTGGTATTTTTTGGTTTCCTCATACGGAATCGACTGAGTCAACCCAGTCAGTTTTGATGCAGTAGGTTCTCAGTATAGAAGCTATATTGTGCTTCAGTAGCGAGTTATTTGTTTTTGGCGAAACACTCCCATAGACTGGTAATAGTTGTTGTGAGAGTAGTTTATTTTGACAATTAGCTCGCACGCGTGCCTTTGACTTCATTGGGATGCCTCGCGGCGTTTTTGAGAGGTCTGTACGTCTTTTGTCAGTTTTGAACAACTTATTTTAAGTCACTTGTACGAAAACAGTCACGGAGATTAAGCTTGCTTATTTTCTTTCGCCTTTTTATGTCAGCATGTGAAGAATGGCTCTTTCATGGATAAGCCGCCCCGAGATCTAAACGATCGAAAAGAAGTAGAACACATACGGTGTAGTTATCATGTTCTTTCTGACAATTTTTTCGCTGTCGTTCCACGTTAAAATTTCAAGTTCTATCGATTGCAAACGAGGTTGCAAAGGTATATTTATTTGCTCGAAGAAATGACTATAATAAAGAGAAAGAACAGTTGTTCATCCATCTGACTTTTTATTGTAGTTACTATAGAAACCACTCCACGGTAATTAGGCTGTCAGATGGGCAAATAAATCGTCGCGATAAAGGTAGATTACTACCTGAAACTATAAGGTTAAAACTATGTTTCTCGTGAAAGTGAGAGGAGGAAATTCATGGCTCGAGGCAAATTATCAATTTCCGTCTTGGAAACTTTTTATCATCGGGGATGAAGCTGATAAAGGCGATTGTTTCCATGCCAGTGCTGTACAGGCCTCTTTTGTATCAAACAAATTTGTGTGTGTTAGCTGGCGAGCGAATACCGTCGATATTTCTTGAAGTTTTCCTGTGAGTTTTCTTGCTGTGCCGTAAATGTTTTGATCGTTACCTTACAGTAAGAAACTGAACCATAATGTGTGGAATATTACGTTGAAAAGCCCTGCTGGTATTGATACCTAATTATATTCAACTGAGATCTAAATGAAAGACCATTAGACGAAGCCATTGTATCTGATATTGTTCCAGTGCTTTTTGTGTGTGGGTTAAATTTTTCATTTCAATTTTTCTGAACTGAACCGTAAATATGTCTAACTAAAAATCTAGTATTTTATCCACCGAGCGAGCCCAACACCTACTCGCAAAGAGGCTTATCGATATTCGGCTTCCAGGTCGAATGGTAACAAAATAATTGTAATTCTCGTATGTTATGTTCGTTATCTACGTTCTGATGACACCACCAAATCATTTTAATGGACAATGCTTTCAGTCCATTGTACATGTGCGAAACAACATTCAATGTCCTAATTGAATTCTTTTATTATAAACTTTCGAACGCGTTCATGAAGTTCGAAGAATTTTTCCTTTTATCCTTAATTGAATTTAGAACGTCATATATGAAACGCCTTACGTTCCAAAAAGATCTGTTCTGGGACTCAAAGACGTTGATTTTGAAGTTAACAAGAACTCATGTTGGTCATGCCTAATTAAGATACATTTTAAAGGGATTAGCGTCTGTGGTTTAATACAATTGTCCAAACAGAGATTTTTACTTTGGGAGGCATGTGACGCACATATTACCTAAATTACGAGGATTGTGTTTTTGAAATAGTTTGATGTATATGTTTATCAGGAAGCCTTTTCTCATTTTTCATGTTTTGCAGGCAACACTTCGCAAAGATCCACACTCTGCGAGTTCCTTTGACGAGTAAGAAGTGCTTGGTATCAGTTTGGAACGCAAAGGTGATTACACTCGTGGACATAATCACTCGCCTTAAAAGCATTTTGACGTCAAAGTAGTGTGTCTCCTTGGTATTTACATTGCGAATTGTCAGCTTAGTCTGTTAGTCAGATACCAACCACTTCGAAACCACAGTTTCATCTTAGAGTGTAGTGTATTCAAAGAAAGAAGTAGAAAAGATTTAAAAAGGAAAGCTCTGAATCTTGGAAAGGATTGCTTAACAATTCATCCATCGATTTCTAACTAACAAACTACCAAGGAATTTTTTCTTTGGAAAACTAAAGGACAAAGACTGCGAGAGTTAAAGGTCATAAAGAACATGGCAAGTTCAGGGAACCAAACCAATCCAACACCAAATATGGAACTGCTATGTCAAGAGAAAACGAAACTTGAGTACATTTACCAAACAGCATTTCTGATCCTTATCATGCTGGTGACATTCCTGGGAAACTTCATGGTGTGCTTGACTGTATACCTTCATCATCGGCTTCGCACGGTCACCAATTACTTCATCGTATCTCTGGCCGTGTCAGATTTGTTGCTCTCTCTTCTGTACGTTCCCTTTCGTATTGACCAAACGATTCACAATAGTTACTGGTGCCCAAGAAAGGAATTATGTACAACGTGGATCGTGATAGATTTAGTCTGTGCTGGTGCATCAATCTATAACCTGGCTGCTATCTCGGTGGACCGCTACATCGCCATTGTGCATCCTTTCAGGTACCATTCCTTGATGACCACAAGGACTGCTTGGGTAATCATCGGAATCATCTGGGCCTACTCCATAACCTGGGCGGGTCTTTCCGGCATAAACTGGACAGACTCTCAGCAATCACCATATAATTGGTTTCCAAAGTGTTATAAGCAAGATAAGATATTTTACACTGTTACTACGGTCACGGACTTTTTTTTCCCACTTATGGTCATATTGATCATGTACGGACTGGTATTTCGTGTGGCCATGAACCAAGCTCGAGCCGTAGCTTCTCTGCAACCTCAACTTTCTAAACAAGATGGCCGCGGTCGAAGGTTTTCTATCAACATCGTTAAAGAAGTCAAAGCTGCCAAGACCTTGGCCATTGTCATCGGGGGATTTGTCGTTTGCTGGTTGCCTTTCTTTGTCTTTTTGCTGGTCAGTCTGTGGGACATAAATCTGTTGAGGCCACCTAAAGTCTCGAAGGAGGTCCTCGACGGTTTGCGTGCGACATTTTTGTACGTGTTACCGACAATTAACAGCACGTTAAATCCCATTATATACGCACTATTTAACAAGGAGTTTAGGACTGCATTTGTTCGATTGTTGCGGAGGACATGTGGAAGATCATTGACTAATTCGGATGACATCCATTACAGCATGAGTTCCAGCGTAATGAACGGCAGCCCCAAAACTAAAACGAATGGCAGATCGAAAAAGACCAGATTCCACGAGGTACAAGGCGATGAGGACGCAAGTTCATCAGACGAGCCAAAACATGTTTAGAATTGCTCTTTTCCCCACTGGGACCTGATTTTCATGGCCATTCGGCTTGGGTTCCGAGATAAAGAATTGCCACCAGATAACCATCAGCTGAGAGACGATGAAATCCTTTGGAGACGAACCCTGCGAACAATTTAAAAGTTTGTTTTTCCGCAATAAGGATCGTCGGGAAGATTCAGCCTATGAACTTAAAGGAACTGATTTAAGTAAGTCAGGAATAGTTACACTGGTTCATCCTGATGTTATCCATGAAAGTCTTTGATTTTAGAGCAAGTTACTCCTGTCATATAACCATTTTCAGTGATGAAGAGTGTAACTAAAATCTCAAGAGAATAGAAGTGCCGTTAATTCCCTCTTGTAAAAACAAAACGATACAAAAATTAAGACAATTCTCAGTGTATCAACAAATCATTCTTGAAAAGTAGCAGATATTTCTGTGATAGATATTTTACCCATCATGCATTGGTCGGCTTCGAACTGAAAAAATGAGGGCTCAATGCAACTTGTTCGTAATTTGCACCCTCTCTTAAAGTTTCCAAATCGCACATGATCGCACAGTTTTTAGGACCTTTCCATCGGCGCGTAAGATGGATAATTTAAATTTGAGTACATATGTTGATTAGTTACACGTTAATTAGGAAACATCTTGTAGATTTGTTCAGTCCACTTAGGAAACGAACGCTCGTTGGATCTATTTAAAGCACATGTCTGTCGTTTGTGAAGTTTTGTACATTCTACCTTCTGTAACCCATGATTCAAATGTAAATTTGTCCATTCGCCACAAGGCGATCGACTGACGTGTAGAATATCTCGTTACATTTTGAAAATCGTCGTTTGTAAATAAGGCATCAACGTAAGTTGATTGAATAACTTTTTTGCATTTAGTGCAGGCTAGTAAGACATAATTTCCATTTCCTTGTTTGAAATTGACTTATCCGAACTAGAGTTCAAACAAGTTTTAAAATTGTTTGCAACCAGATTACACTTGCAAATGATTATTGGTCTATTAGATTTATGAAACTTTTAGGTTGTGGTATCATATGACATCGTGTACCTCTAGGGCTCTGCCGTATTTGTTTCAAGTCGTTGTGTGTAATAAACGGGTTCTCCTTTTTAATGAACACAGCGATTGGTTGCATATATGCTTTTCGCGACTCAGCGGTAAAAGCACAGCCAGAAGAGATTGGGAATGGCAGTTGAACCTCGCTAACTCAAGCTCGCTTCACTCAAACTCCATTGTCGTCGAATCAGACTTAAGCTAAGGCTGCTAAAAGAATCAGACTTGAGGCTGTTAAAAGGGCATTTTCGATCATGTTTACTTTCAGATAAGCCAAACCTTTCAGGCTGTATCTCAAAGTGTTTGTTGTTTTCGTTAGAATTCAAGTCAGCGAGGTTTCATTGTACTGGTCAAACGTTCTACAAGCCAGCGCAAAAAAAAAAAAACTAAAAGTGTTTAACAAACGGGATCGGGAAAAGTGCATGATCTCTCCACGGACTTTCTATTTTGTTGCGGATCACAGTCTAGTGCGCTCATGGAGTAACAACCGTAAGAAATCAAACGAACGCGAAAGTGGAGGATTGAGCGTTGTGACATCCTTGTTCTGTGCGCCCGCCTCGCTCTCTCTCTCTCTCTCTCTCTCTCTCTCTCTCTCTCTGTGTAAATAAAAACTGTAGATTACGCAAGATTAATCGGGTAGAATTGATAGACACACGGTTGTTTACAGCTTTCAAGTTCCCCCCTAAAAATTTGCTCTTTCTCAAGAGTAGGTTAATTTTGTGTTGTGTGAATTTTGTTTCCATGAGAACTGTGAAGTAAAGCAAATTCTATATCTCGTCCCTTATCATAGGTGTGCTTGTAAAGGAAAAGCAACGTCGACGTACATCCTCTCACCAGATAAGGATCGACAAAGCTTTTTATGCGATATTGCACTTGATACACCAAAAGCCAGCTGTTTCACCTCCCAATTTGCACCTACCGTGGACATGGCAGATTCTAGAAGGTCTCACCTTGAACAACTTGAAATTCAGTCAGAACTGGATCGTTTGTGATGAGTGCCGTTGATATATGTTTTCGCGCTCATCATCTTTAAGGCATTAGGCAAAATGAAGGAACGGTGTTAGTGGCATTAGTCATTTATTTATTTCTGGGCTGCATGATCATTACAATTGAAGAAAAAATACTATACACTTGCATTCTGATTCCCTCTTCATTCTTCCGTGCGGTGGATTTTGGTTTTTGACCAAAGCAAAATAAGAATAAGTCGTTGTATAAAGTAAATCCATAGGACCTCTTCCCATAGAAACAAACAACAAAAAGCCAACACTAATTCAAAACCGTTTCCACGGTCATAACTAGATACTTAGTAAAATCCGTCATAATTTGTTTATGTCATTAGCAGAGAATAAGCTTTTGTCTTGCTAAGAGAATTAAGAAATCCAATTAACTCGTAAAAGTCGGCTTATGAAACCGTTAATTGGCCTAAATGACGCAGTCATAGCCAACAACATCTGTCACCCATGCATAGCAACACACGTACATGCAACGCTATAAGAAGCAGAGAAGATTTTTATGCGGTTGTCTGAAATGCATAGCTAACCTCAGGTGTCCGAAACGAGAGCGATTTCAAGTTTGGCGCTGTTGAAACGAATGAAAACAATTGTAGCAACCAAGCAGACCATACGAATTGGTCAAGATGTGTGTTCTTGACCGGACCTTTACCAACATGCTGAGTTCTGATTAAGTCGCGGTCGCCATTAATCATCTTAGATCATCTTACGACGTTCTTGACAGCACAGAAGTTCGAGAACTTTCAGTTAACGATCAAACTATTTCAAGGCAACATGGGAGCAGATCCTCAGAATTGCTGCAGTATCAGTTACAAAGTTGCTCTTCGCAAAGACCAGCATCCTATCTCTCATCCCAGGCTCCTCGCCAGCCAACCCGCGAGCGCAGCCGTCTTGCTAGACGGCGAACGATGCGAAACAGCCTTTTTGGTAGACTACTTTTTAGCACGATTATCTCTCACTGCTCCCTGCCCCCTCTTCAGCGCACGTGAGAACCCTCACCCAGGCTCAATGCAGTTGAATATAAGTAGGAAAGAGCCAATGAAAATTTTGAATTGTTGAACACCGTTGTCGCCTGACCGTGCATGCATATTTACCTAGTCAGTTAATAAGATTTTGTAAATTACCACAGCATTTCCACGAACCATTTCAAGACCCTGCCCTTTCACGCACTTTTATATATGACGGCTATTGAAAAGGTAGGGATTGGAGCAGCCTGTACCAAACTCAAGGTCAGAGCAAGCGAAGAAAATAGCGGGTAGACGACACGTGTTACTAGTTAAAGGAAACGGCAGAGGAACGACATTCCCACAATTTTTCGTTCGCCCAATGTTTTCGCCTGTTTCCACTGGCCGGGGGAGCCTGGCACAGGCTAGAACTGGACACCCTTAAAGAGACGCGATATATAAGCGGTAGCCATTCCTTGTAGTTCTTTACCAAATTGTATTTTTTGTTCCAATCTACTCCTCTGATAGGTTTCCTTTTTTTACAAGTAAAGAAGAAGACGAGTTTATCGGCAGTTTACCGATTTATACGATTGTCAGATTTTGCTAAGATTAATTCTAACCATGACACCTAACCCCTTACAAAAGGACATAACCCGCACAGCTTAAAGGACGGATTTCTTTTTTTACCTAGTAGTCGAAATGGATTAACCCCGATAACAAAAAAATCAGTCAGGTTTTTTTTTTAATTTTCTCCTTATTTAAAAAAAAATTATGACCTCAAGAGGTTTTCAGAAGAAGCGACGCAGCCAAATATTGTTAGTTTATAACAGACGTTAGGGCGGGCCGCAATTGAAAATGGGAAATACCAAAATACAAAAGGTACAGTACTAGGCCTTGAAACTCTTCACACTTTACCCTCTTAAATCAGTATGTATATTCTTCATAGTGTTCTTTATATATTTTCTAAGATGCTGATGTAGAGAATTTGTTTATCAATCAAGAGTTTAGTTGGTGATCATTTCCTTTTCTCACGTGACCAATATGCGTGTGATTCAGGGGTGATATTGTAAGGAGAAATTAGATGCTAGACATCATTAGGTCCTATCAGTGGTCAAAAGTTTAAGAAGAAGAAAATCGTAAAATACGAAATTACGTTTAAGACCAAAAAATGAAAGAATCTGATGGAAACGAGTGCGTTTTGTTTGGTTGTTTGTTTGTTTTTTTCACCCGTTTTGTTCAGTTATTTTAAGAATAATTCCAATAAATCTTTTTATGCGTCGCCGATTATAATAATCCTAGAAAGTTCTTAACTTCATCAGGCGTTTCCTGATCAACCATCTGTGACCCAAGGCAACATTAAAGAATGCAGACTACACTGAAGGGGATGGGAAGCGTATGGTAATTGTTTCAACGGTGCGTATTTCTTCATGTAAGGGATGTTCAGGGTATAAGTTTAAATTTTGCTCGGTACTTTACTTTTTTTGTTGTGTTGTTTGCAAAATTTTATGTATTGGCAGAAATTTCCGGTATGAAAAAGGTTAACAAACTTTCCTAGGCATCCCCTCCCCCGAATCTTATTGCTCAAATCAATTCGGTGTACATGCCCAGCGGTTAACAAAAAAGTTCGAAAATGGCGGTCACCAAGCTATGACTACTAGTAGATCTACAACACGATTATACGTCGATTCAGTCGATTATCTGTCGACCTCTGCCACCGAAATGCCATACGAAGAAGTGCCCCTCAGTAATCTTAAATCGAACGGTTACAAGAAGCTCCGAAACAAGGCGAATTTGCGGGCAAGTCCTGAAGACGAACCGGGATACGGATCGACCGACGATGCTCCGTTAATGGTAGACGAGGTTGATGATGATTTTGACGATGATCGTGGTCTCTCCGAGGGCTATCAGTCGTCAGATAGTGGAGATAAGGACAGGAGAAAAGGTAAAAATAAACGGAAGAAAGAGGGGTGCTGTAAGCGTTGTTGGAAGTTCTGCTGTTGCTGTGGGTTTTTGTCGTCTTTTCGAAGGTAAGAAAGCTAAATCGTTTTACAAATTTTCTTGCTGAGAGGTCATGTAGACGCGTCGTAAATAATGCAAATTGAAAAGGTACATGGACTGATCTCATTGTTAAAACTTCACACTAAAAATTCATGTAAAATTTGTTCGTCGCATTTGTTAATTTTTTATCACGGGCTCACATAAATTTTAAACTGACATGCAGCTGTACAGGACATGTCGTAACGTACACCTTTGTACATACAGGTGTCCTTTTTATTTGTCGCCATTTTTCACATTATTTTTCAGCCAATATCTTTCTATTTTATCATAATAAGATTTTTTTATCAGGATATGATCTGTTCTAATCTCTATTGGGTTATTAAGGCTAGAAGTTAAAGGATTGATCGATCTGCTTTTTTTTATTTAATAACTAAAGACGAAATAATCTGATCACTTTCTTCACTGTTTTCAAGCTGTAAAAAAAAAGAAATACAGAGAGGCCTTAGTACTAATTAGTGCTATAGTATTACAAATTATTACCCTAGGCATGGCGTCTTAATCCTTTACACCCTAACATCAGTATTCATATTCTCAACACTGTTCTCTATTCATTTCTTATGGAACTGACAAGGAGAATTTGGTTAATAATCAAGAGCCCCACCAGTTGATGATTATTTCCTTTATCCTTATGACCTTTGCATTTGGATAAGGGGTGATTACTGTAAGGACAAATTAGAAGGGAGACACTCCAAGGGGTGAAACATGATGAGACACAGTCATTGACCAAAGAGAGGGTAAACATCCATTTCTAAGTGATTACAATTTAAATTTTTATCACAGTTACTGTGGGGTTTAGCTTTTAAACATTGCAGTTTTTTAACAGTGTGTATTTTTTCAAAGTTGTTTTGACAGTCTGATGGGAAAAATTGAAATGAAGCCAAGGACGGTTGTTTTAGGAAGAGAGGTAGAGTACACACTTAAATTTTATCACAGAATTATTAGCATGTGATTTTACAACTTTCCCTTAAAAATGATTTAAACTTTTTTATGTTGGAGTAAACAGGCAGTGGCTAGACAAACAATAGTGAGAGGTCCTATAGGCTGTGGCAGACCACTGGTGACCAGTTTTTATTGAAACTTCTGAGCCTATGCTTCGTCTCAGTTTATATTTTTGTTGTGGTTAAAATTTATAGGGGCTAATATCAAATGATATGAAAAATATTTGAACTACTTTTTATTTTAGAGTGTAACCGTCAAATTCATAGAAGTGATCAATGTCTGCGTAGTTCTCCCTATAATATCCATACATAATCCACCAAGCTGGTTATGAGAATACTCAAACATATCAGGAAGAAGTTATAATCTTGATCAAAGGCCAAATTATTCTTTAGTATATAATCAGCTAGAAAATGTGTAGCAGCTAGACAGGAGAATAAGTAATCAGAGTTTGGGAGTTTAAGGGTTAATGATGCCAATAAGACATTGTTACAAAAAACGCGAAGACCAGTGGAAGTAGTGTGAGTTATTGGCTGAATCATGAATCCCTCTGTAAAACGTTTTTCAATTAAGAAGTCCCAGTTGTCAACCTTAGTTCATTGGTTAGCTAATTTTAATATGTGCTTGTGTTTATTTTTCAGTCTGCAACTCAGAAGTTCCCTCGTAATGTCATTTGTAATCAGAAATACAATATCATAACTTTCATTCCTCTGGTTAGTATAATTATTAAATAATTGTTATTAGGGGTGAAGTACATTTACATGTAGAATCTATTATCACCTATACATTATTGTCCCTCAAGTAATCTTAGCATTACTTGTTGATAAATTGACAATGAATTTTTTCAAGCTAGTGTTATCCTCTCTCATAAATTTCAATAATAACAGTTTTTGCTGGAAAAAATGATAATCTCTTCATATGTGTGCAAGCATACTGACAATGAGATGAGTTTGGAGTTTGGCAGTGGACATTCCACAAGGTGGCTTTTCTTGTCCACTGTTTCCAGGTCGAATTAGAATTTGAAATGTTGGTTTTTGTGGGGAGGAAAACTGGAGGGCTGTGAGAAAAACTCATGGAGCATGGAGGAGAACCAAAAACAAACTCAACCCACATGTGACACCGGGTCTGGGAATCAAACCTGGACCACGCCTCACCCCCCACTGGTGGGAAGTGAGGGTCCTCATTATTGTGCCATACCTGCCTTGATTTGTTAAGCAATCTGCAATAGAAAGACTTGTCTTTTTGTGACTTGTCAATGAATGTGTAAGCAGCATTTCAGAAACCAAGGTTTGCAAATGTCTATACAATCCATGTTTGTTGGTAACAGAGATGATTTCTTGACAGTTATCCTTCTTTCAATAATGATAAACTGTGTTAAATTATGTATAAGCAGCTAATTACTTAAGGTACTGTAGGCGGCAAGGATGGAACTTTTTCTACTGCTCTGCTATTTGATCAAAAATAAAATGTTTATTAATTTTCAGACCTTATACAACCAGTTCAAGTTTTTCCTGAACTTGTACTTTCTTATGGTAGCCTCTACTCAGTTTTTTCCTGTACTGCGGATTGGTTATCTGTATACATACTGGGCTCCACTGGTAAGTCTATAATTTACAATGGACTTATAATTTTGTTAGTATGCATGAATCACATCAAATTTGAAAAATGATTTGAATAGACTGAGATAGAATCTTAAAATTAAATTAAAATTAAAGCAAGTCAAAAGCTTCACTCAGTGCAGAAGAACCACATAATGTTAAACTGGAAATTGTAATGGTCATGATTGATTGGTAACAGGACTTTTTGTTCAATGTCCAATTCTGTTGGTAATCATACTCGTGATTGGCAAATCGGACTCTCACTTAGTGGTCGTCCGATTTTGTTAATCACTTGTATGATTACAGACCAAATTGGACTCCACTCAGTCCTATTACCACTATGTATTAAGTAAATAAAATACACCAGTCCAAGTGTTTCACTGATTACACCAGAATACAGAGAATGTTGCATTTCTATTAAATGTTGGCTATTCACTTACTGTTTAACCACCCCACTCCCAAGAGTGACTTAAGAGGAATTTCTCCATACAATTTCCATTAATTTTGAAGGAGATGAGAAGTAAGCTAGATATCAACAAAAGGGATATTATTCGATTCATTACTGAATTCTCAAAATGATGGTTATGGAAAATCTATGACAGGAAGTAGGGAGATCTGATCTATAGATCCTGTAAGGAAGAGGGTTAAGGAACACTAAATAACCTATGTATTGAGAAAGTATCAGTTTACCCGTCAGAAACTATGTTAGTTCTAGAAATAAAGTGAGTAGTGTCAATCATGCCCAGCACAAAGTTTTGCCATTTATACAGTGTAAGAATGGGTCTTTGATCTGTGGCTGCAGTTATACATGTTGGTGATTGTTGAGTCAGTCTAGACTTCAAAAATGTCGTTCGGAATGAATAAGTAATGAGAGAGAACAATAGCCTGAATATATGAATACTTAACAACCTCAATTTTTGAGGTTCACATTTAATCCGCTATAGAGTTGTAATGTTGAAATTTTTTATGGTTACTGATAAATGGAAAGCATTTTGAGTTCATCTAGCAACTTTATTTCAATCAATTTTTCTGCAGGGTTTTGTTGTGTTTGTGACAATGTGTCGTGAGGCGTATGATGACTTTGTTAGATTCAGAAGAGACAGAGAGGTCAATTCACAAAAATATAAGAAACTCACTAAGAAAGGTTAGTTATGTCTAGAAGAGGCTGTTTGCAAAATTTTAATATTTGTGAAATGTAAACTTTTAGTGGCTCATCAATTGTGTGCGTCACATAGTATTACTTGTACTTTGCCTGCAGAGTTAAGGTAAGTACATGCCTTTAGAAAAATAATTTTTTTATCATGGTTGTTTGTTCCTTTTCTAAATTTCATGAATCCATTACATATTTTGTGAAAACTAAGATGATAAATATATCAAAAACATGAAGCAAACAAAAAAAGAGAGAGCACTGAATTTCTGATCCAAGCAGTAACAAGCAGTCTGACCTGCTGCATACCAGCCAGATTTATCATGGTTTGCCTTAAGATTAATTTCACTCTAGGGTTAGTGAACAGCCACCCTTCCAGCTGGCCTCTTGGCAGTTGGGGTTTGTTTGTTACGAAAAGTAGCATTGATGGAACAATTAGTGTACTGCGTATCTATAATTAAACTTAAAAAAACTTTTTATCACTGTTATTTCAGTAGCTTTTTAAATTGATTTTTTTAAAAAACAGGTGTTGTTACCATTCCAAGCTCAGTCATTAAGGTATCAGACCTTATCATAGTCGAGAAGGTATGTACTCAACTGTTGATAATATGAGAATATTCTAAGATGTATTACCATTTTTTGAATAACGAGTAGAGCTGTCGATAAGAGGACAGCCAAATCTGCAGACAAGAGCCAGCCCCACCCCCTAGCAAAACACATGAAGAAATGACTTAAACTCCTGTTGTTACAGACTCTTGCTATTACAGAAATGCTGACACTTTCATGCCACCCCTCCTCCCCCAGTGCATTATTTCACTTGTATTTCTCGCACTATAGCCAACACTGAATTGTTTTGTCCAAAATCCTGACTCACATAATATAAAGTGACATTAGGATAAAGAAAAATTAAAGAAACCATTCTTCAATTGGGTGTGAACATGAGCATTTCCTGCTTGGGGCTAGATCTGTTTCTGGTCTGTAAGACCATGTTAGAAACTTTGTTGGTTAGTTACATTTTATTTCATATATTTAGAGGCAAGACAACTTATTTTTCTCTTGTACCCTGCTATTACAGACTTCCACTATTATGGACACTAAATTTCCCTGTGAGGCAGGGCGTGAAATTGCACCCAATACAGGCACCAATGCGACTAAATTTTTCACTTTGGCGACCAAATCCTGAAAATTAGTTGCCAAATTGGTGACTAGAATGCTTCATCATAACCTTACTTAGAGATAAAGTTAATTAAATTGGACATCCTAGTGTCCAATTTGTAGCATGTTAAAGATCTTTTTCCTAACTTAATTTTGGAGGGTCTATCTATAACACTGACAGCATTATAAAAAGGTTTTATTTGTCTTTAAATATGGCGACCAACTTTTTTTTAATTGGCTACCACTTTGCAAAATTTAGGAGCCAAGTGGCTATCAGAAAAAATAATTAATTTCATACCCTGTGAGGATGTCTGCAATAACAGGAGTTGACTGTACTGTGCCTTCTTTAGCTAGCCACTTTAGCCAGCCACTTTAGCTAGCCACTTTAGCTAGCCACTTTAGCTAGCCACTTTAGCTAGCCACTTTAGCTAGCCACTTTAGCTAGCCACTTTAGCTAGCCACTTTAGCTAGCCACTTTAGCTAGCCACTTTAGCTAGCCACTTTAGCTAGCCACTTTAGCTAGCCACTTTAGCTAGCCACTTTAGCTAGCCACTTTAGCTAGCCACTTTAGCTAGCCACTTTAGCTAGCCACTTTAGCTAGCCACTTTAGCTAGCCACTTTAGCTAGCCACTTTAGCTAGCCACTTTAGCTAGCCACTTTAGCTAGCCACTTTCATTTCACTTAACCACGAGGAACCAAATGTACAATTCCTGAAATACCATTAAAGAACAATTGTCTTTTTAATTTAATGATCTGGGCTCCTCAGTGTGATGGGAGGAAACAACATTTTGTCCACAATAATCTGGCTGTCCATTGTGTTGTATTTGCCTTCTACTTTCAAACTTGTTGACAGCCTAGAATGAGTATGTGTATTTCCTATTTTTAACCACTCTTCACAACAGTTGATGTAAAAATTGTGTGGGAAGTTCAAAGGTTATTAGCCCTGTCAAATCCTCTGCCTTTTTCTTCTCACACAGGATCAAAGAGTTCCTGCTGACATGGTGTTTCTTAGAACTTCAGAAAAGAATGGTAAAAGGTTTTAATTATAATAACTGTGGTTATTAATAGTAAAAAAGGTCTTAGTGTAAATTTCATACATATCACTTAAGCATGGTGCAGTATTTTGAAGTCTTTTCTGTAAGAAGGCTTGTCTCTATTTTGTCATTTTGACTGAACAGTGCTGGGCCTGCACCTCAAAACCCTGTCAGAAGGCCTGGGGGTATCCAACATATGATGATTTGAAATTTTGTTTTTTGATTCCAGGAGCTTGTTTTCTAAGAACAGACCAAATGGATGGGGAAACTGACTGGAAGCTGCGTTTGACTGTAGAACCATGTCAGCGACTGCCTAGTGATGCTGTGAGTGTTTAAGGCCTATTTGCCACAGTGATTTTGTTAAAAAGCAGGTGTCTGTTACCCCTGCTCCCCCCCCTTCCTTTAGTTCCTTCTTTTTCCTCAGTGCACATTGTGCAATATCTGGTGTTTGGATGCATGGCTGAACTGCATATGCAAAAATATACATTGTCTCAATATTTTTTAGGATAACCCATGATGTCTTTTATTTTCTTGTAGGATTTGCTGAATATCAGTGCCTCTGTTTATGCAGAGAAACCTCAGAAGGACATTCACAGTTTTGTTGGAACCTTTACAAGGGTGAGTTAACTTTTCAGTGGTCCCAGCTAAAGAAAATTCCCTGTGTCAGTGCCAATTAGCCTGTTTGGTAATAGCATTAACATAAGTATTTTTTATTTCTTCACAGTATGATGGAGAGAGGAATGAAACTCCCCTGAGTATCGAGAATACCATGTGGGCCAACACTGTGATTGCATCAGGTACTTGAGAATATTGTTATCAGTTATCTGCACAGGGTGTCTTTACTTGTAACCCTTCAGTAATGAGTACAATATTAAAGTTGAGTGAGGCCTTAAACTACTGTTAAAATTAACCCTTAAACTCCCAAGATCTCATCGGTAATTCTCCTTACTGTCTACCATACAGTTCTTGTGATGTTAGTTTGGAGAATTTAGTATTGGATCAACTTATACTCCCCTAATCGATATAATTGTTCTTTATTCTCATCACTCGTCTGCTTGATATTGTACTGATATTGTATGGAGAAATTCTGTCTCGGTCACTTATGGGAGTTAAAGGGTTAAAAGGGTCTCGATACTCGACTCGAGCCTCGAAGTTATCGAGAATCGAAGATCGAGGTTCGAGGGAATGTCACTTTTTAGCGGTATTGTTACTAAAACATATGCTAATGTTCTCACCACGTTTTGTATCTTCTAAACAGTAATGCACAGAAACACCTACACAGTGTTTATTTGTTGTGCATGATAAAGGAACTAGGAAATATGATGTTGTTTCGGAGTCTCCTTTTTTGAGTGATCAATTAAAGATCAGATTTCTAAACCACTCCGTCTCACCTGTCTCTTCCCCCACCCCCTCCCTCTATCAAGGAAATCGGGGGATCCCAGAGTCTAATCTTTAAACTTTTTTATTGGCGCTGTTCAGGTACTGCTGTGGGTTTAGTGATTTATACTGGGTCCGAGACAAGAAGCGTGATGAATACCTCAAACCCCGCGACAAAGGTAGGTTAGGCGCGATATGGATATTTGTTTGTGCAGTAATTTGAAGCTGGGATTAATAGTCATTCTTGGATGTTTGAGAGGATTCCAAGGGTTTGACCTGGAATTTGATAATTTTTAAGGTACTGCTTTTTTTTCCCTTTCAGGTTGGGCTTATTGATAAGGAAGTAAATAATCTGACCAAACTGTTGTTTGTGGCTACTGTCAGCCTTTCCTTCGTCATGGTATCAGTTAAGGTACTATTAAAACTGAAAAACTACACGAAATTTTACACTCACTTATAAAACGTATTTTTGATCTCTTTTATTTATCGAATGAGTCAGAAAAGAACTCAATAACCTGCACTCGACCTACCCCAGTCAACGGTCAGATTTCGAGGAAGTCTGAGACGTTTAACATAATGAATACAGTCTTTAATACAGACGATGTTAACTAACAGCTTTGTTTTCTCGAATAGGGCTACAATGGACCTTGGTATCGCTATTTCGTGCGTTTCATCTTGTTGTTTTCCTACATAATTCCGTTAAGGTAAGTCAACTTGGTATCGTCCTCTCCTTTTAGAATCTCGACTGATCGCGTGAAATCAAACGCAAAATACTCAAATCCCGCAACGGTGCATGGAAATATTGTAAGGAGCCAATCAAAACTCGAGATAAGTACACGTAACCAGCCTCTAACAGAGAAAAGTGCGTATAATCATTTTGTGGTTGGTTTTTGTGAGCGTCAGATTAGTTGTGTGAATGGCAAATTATTCTACAGAGCCAATCGCAAAGCGCTGAAGAGAAGCAAAGCCAGTGCATTCCGGGATAATTTCCTATACTCCAGTTGATAACTGCTTCGTTATCAAAAGAGGTCGCTGATATGAAGTCCTTCATGCAAACCCTTTCTATCCATGGCTTTTTGCGTAACTAAGTTACTTTTTCCTTTTTTTTCTATCTCGTAGTCTCCGTGTCAGTCTGGACTTGGGTAAAGTTGTATACTCGTGGATGATGATGCACGACAAAGACATCCCCGGGACAGTCGTGCGTAGCAGCACAATCCCAGAGGAACTGGGGCGAATAGGCTACCTATTGTCTGATAAGACAGGAACGCTGACTGAAAATGAAATGGTATTGTTATTTTTTACGCTACTTTATTTCGGTTTTTTTTTCTTTTTAATACAGTGCCGTAAAGGTTAGCGGACAGGACTCAGGAATAAATCTAGCCCTGGTCGGCTCATTTTGTTGTGGCTTTAGGCGAGATACTTTCCTCTCACATTGTATCGTAGAGTCTCGCCTTTGTTTTTCAATCTGATCGAAGAGGGGTGGTAAAAGCGTAAAAGCGGTAAAAGCATGCGTTGCCGGTTGTGCAAACGAAATGGTGCCTTTGAGAAATATATCCCTCGCTAAGCACTCGAATCAGTTTTCCCCTTTCGCTCCCCTTTTGCACGCTAGCCGCGCAGAAGAAAACATAAAACTGATGATCATTTGTTCCAATGAATTTACAAGCTTACTGAATATTTTACTTTATTTAACAGGTTTTCAAACGTCTTCACTTGGGAACAGTATCGTTTGGCACAGATTCTATGGAAGAGGTACACTGAACTCGATTAACTGTCCTAGGGAAGACTGACACTAAATCGTACTGATGACGTATGCTGTGTTGCAGGTTACAAGCCATGTGAAGACTTCTTATGCACGCAGTAGTGGACCCACGTCCAAAAAACCTGTGCAAGGAGCGAAGGTTTGTTCTATTGCCCTTCCTAGCAAATGTATTCCATTTGTTCTCGGGTCTGATCAGCTCTACATTAAAAATAAATGAAAAGAAGGTTACAAAAAAAGAGTAATACTGGTTTTTAACAGTGGAAGCGCGTAATTTGAAGTACTTTTTAAAGCCCAAGGCCAAAAATAGTCAGCTACCTGCTTCAGGTGATATTTTCGTCTCCGATTCACATCCAACGTGTATCTACGGTAAGTTATATGTGTTCATTCCTCTGCACCTTAATATCAACAACATATTTAGCTTGAACGTGTTTCTTCGGAAGCGAAAACCTACAGCAGCTAAACGTCAATATCCTCTTAAATTCTGATCTGAATTCCTGGTTCATGGCACCGTATATGACAGGGTTAATGCAGGACGAGAGTCCTACAGACACGGTGTAAATCAGATAAACGTATCTCGGAAAATAGAATTGTCCCTTGAAAGCTCCTACGGTGTCTATGATTACAAATGGCGTCCAACAAGCAGCGAAGCTCAGCAAAATGACGAAAAGAAGTTTAGCTAGTTTCACCTCGTTCACGCCGAACTTTCTAGCTCCTGGAGCACTCATTCGTGTCAACAGTTTTCCCCATATGCTATTATGCTGTCTTACTGTGCGGAAAACCTTGTAATAGCATACTGCGGTCACCCCAAATGGAAGCACCGAGAAGCCGATAATAGTCGCGACGGCGTAATAAATGTTAAGGTCGTCCAGGTCATAAAAACAAAACGCTTTTCCGGGGAGAAATACGAATCGGTGTCCAGTTGCAAGGTAAGGGATAGGCGTTATGATAGCCAGTGCCCACGCTGCAACGATACTTCGCAAAGCATTTTTAGAGCTGAAGTATTTCGGATAATCTGTTACTCGAACAATTCTAACGTATCGGTTGACAGCTGTGAGTGTGATTGTCAGCAGCGACGCGACACCAAGCACAGAGCCAGTATAGCCATGATATTGACAGATAGCCTCCCCAAATACAAAGTCGCCCGCTATCAACGTGACCAAGGTCAGCGGCATTTTCAGCGACATCAGCATGTCTGCGATCGAGAGTGAGGCAATGTAATAGTTTGGTACCGTTCGCAGTTTCGAGTTTTTTATGATTGCCAAGAAAACCATAAAGTTTCCAAAGAAAGCCACAAGGATGAGAACTGCGTAGATAGAGCATTCGGCTATCTTTAGTGAAAGTTCTCGGCTAGAGAGCTCCATGGCCAGAATTTGTTCCCTCGATGTAGAATTGATTGCCATGCTTTATAACTGACTGGAAATGATGAAATGATCCCAGCCGATGACCTGACTGCTCCGTTGTTTGGAGCTCTGAGTTTTCGTAGGCGATTTCCTCGTCTCTCTGCTCAGTATGTAGCAAGGATACCTGTTGGTAACAAAAAGAAAAGTAGAGAATTCCGAATTCTCTACATTTAGCCCTATTTTGGTTATCGCTCGACTTTGAGCCAAGTTTTGTGCGGTGTGAATTTCAGAGAAACGTATTGCATAAGAATGGAGGTATTCAGTACTTGATTTCAGAGTAATCTACTGGAATCTGTTACACGACGAGCCAAAACAATTTTGTTATCTGTTAATTCGCCAAAGCGAGGGATCACTTCCGAAATTGCCATCAAATAAGTATGACATTCGAGTAAATCAATTTTCGAGGTTAATGCAAAGCGAAAGACTACTTATAAACTAAATAAATTACGGACAATAACGTTATCTACAAATAGGGCAAGTTGAATTCTCAAAAGTATTTTTAACGTATATTTCTTAGCTAAATTTGTGGAAAAGGTTCCTCAAACCTACCTTACGTAATCAGAAGTAGAAGAATCCTGTTGTCGAGAGATGATGTTGCTATAACCTCACATGACTTGTGATTTATGAAATATATCATTTGATTGTTATGCACGAGTGAATCTACACAGATTATTTATTATATTATTTTAGTCGTTCACTATTTATAATTCAAAGCGAACACAATTTATATTGAGATGTGAAATGAATATCTTTGTCCATCGCGTGAGACTGAATTATAAATTTGCGACCGAATGATATCTTTCTGTCTTATATACTAAAGGTTCTTACAATTTACGTTTTTAGCCCTTTTTTTGAACGCGAATGGCGTTTTTCTTATTATCAACCTTTTTACCTGTTGAAAGAAGCAATATCTGAACGAGATCATGCGGTGCAGTGATCTGTAAGCTCTCCTTTTGTTCAGTTATAGAAACTATTCAAAACGAAACAAAGGCATTCATCTTCTAGGTGGTCTGCCGACAGATCAAAGACCTTAACGACGATTTACAACATATTTGATATGACATTGATTAAAAATATTGAATGCCATTTATTGCTATTGTGAGAAATATAGATATATATATATAGAAAGAAATATGGAGTGATGTATTATCTCTTAAAATGAAAACTTTCGTTTAAGTCTTTTTTATTTCCTTGGTAGTTGTACATTCTGTGTTTTTGAAATCGAAAAAAGAAGGAACGACAAAAAGGGTTGGTTTAGTTTAGAAAAAAAACTGTCAATAATTTTTATCTTCCTGTAAAAGAAGAGAAAATTTTGAAGAATTTAAGGTATTGAACATCTCTTTAGAATGTAACCACACACTGCAAAGATGCGACAGGACAACGGAAGTTCACAACACTAACTAGCCATCATGTCCGTAATTTATTTAGTTTATAAGTAGTCTTTCGCTTTGCATTAACCTCGAAAATTGATTTACTCGAATGTCATACTTATTTGATGGCAATTTCGGAAGTGATCCCTCGCTTTGGCGAATTAACAGATAACAAAATTGTTTTGGCTCGTCGTGTAACAGATTCCAGTAGATTATTCTGAAATCAAGTACTGAATACCTCCATTCTTATGCAATACGTTTCTGTCTGTTCTCAGCCGTTACGCTTCTCTCGTGGCATCTACGCTAAGAGAAATATAATACCATCTGGCATTTAGGTTTGTAATACTTTTGCGAAGATTTCTGACCTAAAAGAGATGTTTTTGTATTTTCTGAGACAGTAATGCCACTACGTCTTGTCCAACGCCATAAAAGAGATTGCGCCCCAGTTCCCTCTCGGATGATAAGTATATTGGTCGATTCAGAAACAGTTTCATCGTTTCAGAGAGTTGTTTTGCCTCCTCGGTGATACTCCACTATTATAGGAGAACGATGATAGGTGACTCTGTGGTCACCAATGCACTGCATGCGTGTGATTTATTACGAAACCACTGTAATTATAAGAATTTGAGTAGTTACTCTCCCTTACAGTTGACGTACTAATTTTCTCGCAAGGTAGTAAAGACAATTTTGTGCTATATCGTTTAAAAATTCCTAAGCTGATATTTTAAGCAGGAGGTTCAAAGTTCCAAGGAGGACCAGAGAAATTAGAGGAGATTTGGGCACTATTGAGGCCTCTTATCGGAGTACTTTCCAGCAATTGAAGTTTTCGACAAAAATTAATACGGTGAAGAGTTTCAATTCTAGTGTTCCAAATTTGTCTGATGTTTTGAACAGCAGCTTTCCACCGAGTCTTGAGAGAAAACTAGGAGTGCATTGATTTTACTCCATAACTCCGTGAGAGTTTTCTACACCAATAATAAAGGCTCTATCACTGGTGTAGAAAACTCCTACTAACACCCCCCCCCCCTGCCATCTCAATCTGGTGTAAAATTCAAGCCGATTGCGTTATGTTCTCTTACTTTTCTGTATAATTTCTCTTTCCAGTTCTCTTCTATCTCCTTTTAATTTTCTTAGTTTTTTTTTCATTTATTTCACTGATGGATGACTTGTGAGCATGCAGTATTCGTAATGTAGCCCTCGACCAAGCTAAAGGACTTTGTTTCTCTTTAAGGTGCGTCGCACGGTTGTCACGCGCACTCACGAAGCTGTCAAGGCACTTGCGTTATGCCACAATGTCACGCCAGTTACGGACGAGACCGAAAACAACCGCCAGAGTGCTAGAGTGCGTTTGGATAGCGTGACCAGCGAAGACAGTGACGTAGATGGAGGGGCTGCTAGGGATGAAACAGATGTGAAATATCAGGCATCCAGTCCAGATGAGGTACATGACCACTGTAGTTAAAAGTGTAGTTGCAATGACAAGTGTTTCCTTGTGTAATGACCAGGTCCAAACTCTGACGAGGCAGTTTTCTATCATTGGTACATAATGACGAGATTTTCTCTGCAAATGACTTGAAAAAAAACTTTGGGCGACTGTTTTTATAGAAGTTTTAAGGAGTTATATTGCCCAGATTTCCGAGGCAAGAGCACTTTGGGCACTTGGTAATTCTCCCTGGAGCACAGCGCTAAGAGAAATTCTATATAACGTTGTCAAGTTGCAAGTTGTCACGCAGCGACAAACTTCTCCTTGACAAAGTCGTATGCAAAGCCGGGAGGAAAACTTGCTAGGCTGAATCTGGCCTAATTTCAACTTAATACAGATGCGAAAATATACAAAATTTTGAGTTTTAGTTTTTCATTCGTGTCTTCTATTTTCCGAATCTCAGCCGCACCAGATCATACTCGTTTATAACTGCTCCACTAAGAGTTCTTTTTGCTAATCCTATTGTTTGTTGGTAGGATATGTCAGTTCCCTTTATCTCCGGGAAACTCATAGACCTTGTTTTAGAGGAAGTTTTAATTTTTGCGTCAATCGTTAATGACACAGGTTGCCTTGGTTACGTGGACGGAGAGCGTTGGACTGACACTGGTTCATAGAGATTTGTCGAGCATGCACCTGAAGACTCCATATGGTCAGATACTCGTGTTTAACATCCTGCAGATTTTTCCATTCACTTCAGAAACCAAACGGATGGGTATTATTCTCAGGGTAATAATAACAACGTTGATGACTATGGATTCGCTACTTTTTTTTTACAACTCTTACTTACCCTTAGATTGCCCCCTTACTTAAAGTTTTTAACAATACTGTTTTTCCCACGGCTTGCAAAATGTCAGTTCTCTTTTTCTTTGCTCTTTCTATTTATTGAAAGGTTTTCCATCACTGACACATGGTATGATTTTGTCGATGCCGATGGCAAAATTATTAATATTGTTTTGTTTTGGCTTCGTTGGGTTACCTTGCCTCGCTGATATTTTGCTAATTAGTTATTCTTTGGTATATTTGTTGTAAACTAATAAACTGAACTAATAATGCTAGCGATTAAGTTATGCATCAGGGCAAAACCAAAAGCTACTTGAATCAATTGTTTTAGATGTCAAATTGTACAATTTACCATCCAGAATGGAAGATTTTGTACCATTTCATCGTTAACTTCAAATGGCATTTGTTGTTCTACAAGCTCATAAAAACTGTCTCCATTGTGAATAGGGCCCACTGCAATAGGCCATTTTACAGTTGTGTACGTAGTTGCCAAGCCTTTGATTTGGAAGGAGGCTGAAGATGACCTTGTTGTGATAGAAACCAGTATCCAGTTAGCACGATAACAAATTATTTGCAAAACAAGGTCAACCTCAGCCTCACTCCTGTTCAAAGGCTTGGCAACCAAGCACACAACAGTAAAATGGACTATTTACCGAATTAAGTTTCAGTTTATTCTCTGTTGGTGTCCCTGTAGGATACGGCGACGGGAGAAATAACATTCTACATGAAAGGCGCAGACACAGTCATGAGTTCCATTGTACAATATAACGACTGGCTTGAAGAGGAGGTACTGTATAGTAAGGAGCTCCTCGTCAATTTACACACAGGAGGAAAAGGTTTTGTTTGTAAAAAGGGGCTGTTTATGTTTCAGTCTTCTTGAGTCACCGTGATATGCGAACCTCTCTCTTGACAAACCTCAGGTTTACCACACCTATTCTTGACCAAAAACACAGCAATTAGTAACGTTTCTTAAGAGGGTTGGTTTCCTTATCCTTTACTAACTTGATTCATGGGGGACTTGGTTGCCTAAACGCTTGCGCGCTGAATTCCGGGTGAAAAGGATTAGGTTTAAGGCCTGGCGTATCGTGTTGCGTTTTTTTCTTGGACAAAACAATTTACCTATTGAAGTTTCTCTCACCGCTCAGGAGTGTAAGTGGGTCTCGGCGAGTTGTTGGAGAAATCTGAAAAAATGCAGGGGGTTGGGTAACATTCGATGGACATACTTCCCATCCAAGAGCAGTTGCAGTATTATTGGTCACTCTATGCCAAGGACACTGGGACGAGCTCCGGTTACTTTGCTACTCAGTCCCTCCGGTTGACCGTTTCACGAGTGTGTCTAACTTTTTGTTTTGGTTCTTCTCAGTGCGGTAACATGGCACGTGAAGGTCTCAGAACTCTTGTTGTTGCCAAGAAAGTCCTGACTGAAGAACAGTATCAAGACTTTGAGGTTTGTACCTACATATGCTTATATGCGACTTATTACCCTGAAAGGTGTTTTCTTGTTTGCCTTCGTTTTGTGTTTTACTTCCTTGAAGTATTTTTTATGGTCTCAAAATTGCAACCTTACAGTCTCAAGCTTTAGTGCAATTCATTTTCTGACGCAGTGTGTTGAATGTGTTGTTCTCATTTTTACTCTTCTTAGAAATGGTTATATTTTGAAATGTTTTCGTTTTTCTTCACAGCACCGATACAATCAAGCCAAACTAAACATTTCTGACCGAGCATCGAAGGTAAAATCTATTTGTATGCTAATGTTTCTATAAGCGACAGTGATCATCAGTGCATGTCAAGTTGAACCTCACCACAACCACCTCCTTCGGGCCAAGGAAAGGGGCTAAGGTAGAGAGGCAGCCATTATGGTGCCAATATGACACCTGCTTTTATAAAGGGATGCAACATTTTTATTTTTAACTCTCCTTTTGTTGCGCAGTACGGATCAAGTCTCATAACCTTTCACAATGAAGAATAGTGGACTTTGTTTTGTCTGCTAGAGCGCGCAATATTTGCCATTGTCGTTGAGTTATCTGATTTTGAGGCAATCGTATCAATTTTGCAGGTTATGGATGTGCAAAGAAGTTTAGAGCACGACTTAGAGTTACTCTGTTTAACCGGAGTCGAGGATAAACTGCAGGTAATAACTTGTAGAGTACATCGAAAATTTAATTAAGAATTTCGTCATTTATTATTGACAAGCTGTGTCTCTTTTTGAGGTTTTATTTGATTGGTCACTTACTCGGTGTTTGAAAGCTAATGGCCGTTGGTTTTATTTTGCAGGTTGATGTTCGTCCTACCCTTGAGATGCTTCGGAATGCTGGCGTCAAGGTAACGTGACTTGTAGGAGAATCAAAGAACTGTCTTACATCGCTTGACTTGATCACAGAGAGTTGTTTGTCTATTCGAACATCCTCTAGCATAGATGTGGGTCTCAATTGACTTTTAAGACTGCTGATTCACAGTTCAAAGATTATGCCGGGATATTAACGTTTGAAACTGGTTATTCTTATTTTTAGCAATTGAAGCGAGCTAAAGCGACTGACTGACTGACTGACAGAAAGATGGACCAACTGACTGAGTGACTGACTTACTGACCGACAGACAGAACGACTCGGACTGACTGACTGATAGACCAACTGACTGACTGACTGACTGGTAGAGCGACGGACCAAGTGCCTTTTGAAAAAATAGTTTTAAACGCATGCGTTCGTTTCGTAATTTATTTTCAGATATGGATGTTAACAGGCGACAAACTGGAGACAGCCACTTGTATCGCCCAGAGTTCACGGCTTGTAGCGAGAAATCAAACTATCTATACATTTAAACAGGTTAGTTTGGGATTTTGCATTTTCGAGCATTTTTGATAGGTTTTGGTTTTTCGATTTACTGATGAACCTTGTGATGTCTACGTGCATACGATGGAACCTCTATTTAGGAAACATGCACCCTGGGGGCCAAGAAAACTATGGTAGAGGTTTTCCTTCAATGACGAGAAGAAACGTAGCGGTTGTACAATAAATCTTACATTCCGCAGTCACCGTTAAGGGTAGAAACATTCCATTGACCAGAGGAACACATTGCTGTTGACAGGACCACAGTGTTTCACCCTTAAATGGAATTGTTCCTTGAATAAAAGTTTCTGTGTATTCTTTGTGACGCTACTTTTTCTGCTGGTTAAATTAAAAATAATAGCGGAGGAAGAAGCCTCAGGGTAATTTTATTTTATTTTTTTTTTCTGTTTTTAGATAAGCAATCGTTCTGAAGCACATTTGGAGCTAAATTCATTAAGGAGAAAGAATGACTGCGCGTTGATAATCAAAGGAGATTCTTTGGAGGTGAGGTTTTCATAGCCTCGTTCGGAGAGACTTGAAAGCGAGGCTGAGGATTTTCACTCATATTTCACTCCAGTAATGACAAATATTCTCCACAAAACTCCTCGAGGAAAATGTTGTGTTCTGCCATATGTAAATTGCGGTTTATGTATAACACTGAAGTATACAATCTTTGCTTCAACATCTTGTTCAATCAATAAATCTCTAGATATGCTGCAGGGATGCTGCTAACAGCTCGCAATCTCCAACTTAGAAGCGCTGTGTTAAAGTCTATGAGTTTTTTTTTTCACACTCTTTCTGAGGGAATCCCTCTCAGTAACCATAAAATCATTTTCCGCCAAGATCTTCTTATTTCGTCCAGTTTTTTTATCTTTTAACATCAGGGACTGAATGAACTGCACAACAGAATATACAACATATTAAATGAAGTGCACAACAGATTATACAGCAGATTAAATGAAATGCACAACAGAACATACCACAGATCAAATGAACTGCACAACAGCATATACATCGGATTAAATGTGCTGTACGGCGAAATGGCTCGTTTTTGTTTCCAGAATAGTTATATTTGTATCAAGCAAACGTCCTTTCTTCTTGAACAGCTTTTTCCAAAACAGATTTCAACATAAAAGGGGTTTTGACATCTTTTCAAATTTTCAGGTCTGTATACATCATTACGAGCAAGAGTTCATGGAACTGGCCTGTCAGTGTCCTGTTGTGGTGTGTTGCCGCTGCTCACCTCAACAGAAGGCGGATATAGTCAGATTACTCAAGAAACATACCGGCAAGAGGACATGCGCAATAGGTAAGAGTATAACCAGTGGTGTAAGAGGTGGAAAGATTAGTGAGACGTGAACTCGGTAGCCCCTCTGTCTCTTTGAAATTTCATACTTTCCTTTGTAAATTGCCTTTTTTCTGCAACATCTGGAGATGTCGTAGACGATCTCTTTCAACTGCAGAGAACGGTCTTTCATCTGTTTTAACGGGAAGGGGCTTCACTCTTTTTTCTACAGTAGCTCTCCTTCTGGTACAAATCTTTAAACTTTGATTTTCTTAGGCGACGGCGGAAATGACGTCAGTATGATCCAGGCAGCAGATGCCGGAGTGGGCATCGAAGGAAAAGTGAGCGAAATATTGATGATATAACTTCAAAATAAAAGTACCTCAGCATAAAAAGTCGAGGAATTTGTTTTGTATGGGAAGAGGGCAAACATTGCACTGGGAGAGGCTGAAAATGTTTGAATTCTCTCCACCAAGCCATGAGAAAATAACATGGAGTTCCACTGATTATTGATAATTCTTATTTTTTGTTGTTTGGACCAATCGTTATTTTGATGCCCACAGGAAGGCCGACAAGCCTCTCTTGCAGCGGATTTCTCCATTTCACAGTTTAGATATGTTGGAAGATTGTTGGTGTGGCATGGTCGAAACAGGTAATCAAAAGGGTTTTGTTTTCTCTACAGCAGGTGTTGAAACTGGAGCTGTATCAGTTTTGCCTTGCTTCTCTGTGTAGTTTGTTTGGAATACCAAATTCAATTTCTCAAACAATCCAGAACTGGTCACTAACAATTTCCCGGGTTTTAGGCTGTTTACTTTGTTTCCTTTATTTTCTTTTCCTATTTGTTTTTGTTTGTTTGTTTGTTTGTTTTTGTTTGTTCGTTTGTTTGTGTTGATAATTGTGTTGACCTGTTTTTTTCACTTGTAATTTTCCCTGGCTATCTCGAATATTTGCGCTGACTTACCGTTTTAATCTTTTGATCGGCGGTGTGCAGTTTGAATTTTACCTCTATCAATCCAGGAGTGGCCTAAATCTCCAGTCGTTGTGAAAATGTACGTAATAATTATTTTTTATCAATCATGATTTTGTTTTCCCTTGCTTCGTAGTTACAAGCGATCGGCAGCTCTTAGTCAATTTGTGATTCACAGAGGCCTGATCATCTCTGTGATGCAGGTAAATGATTACTCGGTGACATTAAGACAAATCAAGACACGATTTCCTTGTATCGAAAACTTCCGCCTACTCAGCTTTGCTTTAAGAGGTTCTCAGGTCGGTTAAACCTGTGCTCCGTTGTAAGCTTTGACGTAATATCGACAGACAACTTTCTCAGACTTCACGCGGACAGTGAAGCATGAGAGGTCATCTAGGGACTAGGTTGCCGTTCAAAATCTGCCTTTTGGTATAGTGACACTGCATTTAGTTTCCTCATCAGAGTTTTTTCATTTCAAATCTTGGTAGTGGGAAAAGGCGTGTGATGGAGTACTCCAATTGACTTAATGACGGAATCTTCTCGTTAAGACTTCTTGTCATCGAGAGCTGATGTTTTAAATAGTATTAACTTTTTTTTTCCTCTTTATCTTGCAGGCAGTTTTTTCTAGTGTGTTTTATTTTGCGTCAGTCTCGCTTTTCTCGGGATATTTGATGATTGGGTAAGATTTACTACAATAGTGCCTGTCATGCCTGGAAAGCGCTTATTTTTTAGAGTGTGAACATTGTTTGCAGCACTGGTTGAAATTGTTAGGCGTGCAGCAATTTGTGGGAGGTGTTGAACTGTGGATCGTTTGGTCCAGGGTGGTGTCCTCGTGCCGCGCGACTCTCTCCATCTTGAAGTAGTAATGGATAATGGCAACTACTCGGTCAAGCTGACTGAGTACTTGGCGTCTTACCACAGATTAGTATCCTCTACGGGGGAGTAGCAGAGCTTTTAGTCGCTCCATGCTACCAAAATCTAAGTAAGCTGTGGCGATTCATTCCCCTTAACTTCTACGTTGCACCGTTACGTTAAGTTAGGATGAGTTTCCGCCGGCTAATCACCTCTTACTCCAATAGGTACGGTACCATATATACTATGTTTCCAGTATTTTCTCTTGTGTTGGACGAAGATGTCCCATCTGACATCGCATTAATCTACCCCGAGCTATACAAGGATTTAGCAAAGGTTGGTAAAACTATTAAATCACAATCACAGCTTTTCGTTTATGATCGGATATTGTTGAGGCAATTTTATTTTTCGTCTTGGTATCCATAGGGAAGGTCACTTTCGTACAAGACTTTCTTTATTTGGGTTCTGATCAGTATATACCAAGGTAAGTGTAGCTCACTCACGAATGGAGTCCCCACCGTAACATAAGGATAGTCATTCTTATTTCTTGACAAAAGTAGAACAGACTCACATTTTATAACCTGCGAAATAAGGTTAGGAAGGATGGTCGGCAAAGGTATGACTAGTAGTTTTGTACTTTTGAACCTCAAAAAGGATGTTTTTCGCACCAGTCATTCCGTTCATTCGCAAAATTCGTTTCGTTACTTACTAAATCAGCGACACGTTACATGATCTCAAATCCACATTTGTTACTTGTCCATCCAAAACATCTTAACTCTTCTAGTGCCTTTTAGAGCAAGATAATTACGCCACTGACTCCTCAAACAAGCGGGACATTATGGAGTCTTCCAAATTAAAAAGTTGGGAAGGGATAAAAATGGATCGAACTTCAAATTTGTGCCGGAGCACACAATTACAAAACATTGCGTGACTACTAAGAGGACGCAACATTTACTTGTATACGTGTTACTGGCGAAGTGAAAGTGTTTCGCCGATGCTATTCCTATTGAAGCGCGCCTGATGACCTCGCTTTGTTTTCTCTGTAGGTGGCATCATTATGTTCGGCGGCATTCTTCTGTTCGATCAGGAATTCATCCATGTAGTGACCATTACCTTCACTGCACTGATTCTCACCGAGCTGCTGATGGTGGCGCTTACAATTCGAACGTGGCATTGGCTCATGTTGTTAGCTGAAGTCTTCAGTCTTGCAATTTACGTTGGGACGCTTGCGATATTTAGACGCACCTTTGGTAAGTTTTGTATCCCTCTTTTCGTACGCAAAAGCTCCTTTTAATGGGAAACGCGTTGAGTTTTACGGGGAGGGCCTCAGGGACTCTCATGCTTATTTGGGATTGGGTAAGTGCATTTTCTCTCTCCACTTAAGAGATAAATTTTAGCCAGGACAAAGAGATAAAAAAAGAAGTGAGTAGACAACCTGCTACAGACCACTGGGCCATCACATCTTGGGAGATTCTTGCTGTTTCTTGCTTGATAAACCGGAAGCTATGTGATGTTTGAAACCATTTAGACAAAAATCTCATCGATGTTCATGAGTTCTTATGTTATCTTGTATTGCCTGGTTCTCACTCGTCCGTGAGCTCATTGTATAATTTATTTGGTAAATTACTTCACGTTCTTTATTTTTTCCTTTTAGACGAAAAATTTCTCATATCAACTGAATTTTTGTGGAAAGTGGTGGTCATCACTTTGGTTAGTTGTTTACCGCTGTACATTTTGAAGTATCTCAGGCGCAAGTACGCCCCACCTAGCTACTCAAAGCTGACGAACTAACAATTGTGACCGATTTGCAGCTCCTATAGAGATTTGATTGTCCCACAACTGAGTTAAAATTCGCAAGGTAGACTAAAGGATTCGGTAGTAAATTCAAATGACGTTTATTGGGCTATAGAGCAGTATAGACATAAGGATATATTTTTGTAAAGTAAAAAATTAGAGTCACCGGATAACGCCGGTCGACCTAAACTAGGTCAAAGTAAGATAGATGAAAAGGAGAAGGCCAAGTCTTTGTTATTTTACGAACCAGTGAGACCCCACCCCACCTCGGTTGGGTGGGTAGGGGTACACATGGGATTTTCATACATGCCCACATACGCTACAATGTCGTTTAGTTGTTGCATGAGAGATTTATGAGCAAGGTTTTTTTTGTTAGTGTTTTTCAAACTTGACCTTAATTTCGCAAGCTCGACATTTGCAAATCGGTAGGCGTCTCCTCCATTATTTTCCCTTTTGGTTGTCTTACCAATATTTGTGGTTTTCTCGACGCAGTTATTTCTGCTCGTCTAAATTGTGTGACGTTCCGCCCTCGAGGGGATGCTTTTCATTGGGGTGGGGGAGGTAACGCAGGTGATCCAGGATTTTCTCCTTTTTTTCCATTTTCTGCTTCATCCTCGTCCCTTGTACACTCAATTTAAAACTCAAGCTGTCACAAAACTTATTTGTATATTTTTGTTGTAAATTTCACTTAGTAATACGAAGGTAAATAATCGAAATATTGTTGCGAAGTTATTTAAGACTTGTGTATCACCTTTCAAAGGTAATCGCTGTTAGATAGGAACGAAATTTTGGAATCTCTGAATTGAAAGGATTAGCTTGGTTCATAAGAAAAGGCCAATGGTAAAATTTGGTGGACTATTTCGTCGATGTATCTCTTAATTTGATCTTAGTAACATTCCGAAAAAAGCACAATAAAACACTTGGATAAAAAACAGATCATCACGTTGTATTTAAATTTTTATTGGCATCATAACGGAATAAAGTAAATTGAAACCTCAGTAAATTAAAGATATTATATATTCATCCTGTGGAAAACTGAAAAAAAATCTCTCTTTAGTGTAATAATTTTCCCAGTGTAACGAATCCTCATGAGTATCAAGGTGTTATCATAACCCTTGAAACAATTAGTGTTCAGTCTTCAAAAGCTTTATAATGGCCTATCCTTGAGTCAAACCCTTTTAGTCAGTAACCCCACCCCTTCCAGCACCACAAAAAAAGGTGGGCCTCTCAAATGAAACACCACTAACTTGTCTTCCAAACGTAACAACAAATTCAATTGATATGCGAGTCTTTTTCTCTGGAGATATTTCTCTCTTAAACGCAACGTTCCTTATGACTATGTTCAATTGTCTTCTTGCAAAGATTCAGTTTTCTGTAAAAATACTATTTAAGATGTGCTCGTTTCAGTTCCATCTTGGAGGTTGTTCGTGTTCATAGGAGATCCAAACCCCTTTCTCTGTATCTGCTTATGTAGGCTGTCCCGTTCTCCTCTTCTTCCCTACCGACAGGAAAGAAATTATAAGGAGTAATATGGGAAAGCTGCATGTAGTTCTACAACACTCGGAAGCGCCAGAGCAGTGAAGGGCGACAAGTTCGCAATCGGAGTGTGAAGCACAATTGATTGCTGAAATACAACGCCCAAGCAACCACTGCTCTGTTTTAAGGAAGCGTTGCGCCATACGAAAATGTGGAAGGAGTGGTGGATCCGCCGGGATGGAGCACTAACTGAAAGAATCTTCAATGACGCACACTGCTAACCATAGTTAGCCAAAAAGGCCATCTTGACCTACTGCCACTGGTTTGATTAATACTTAACGTGGATTATTTCTAAGTAGTTCAGAACACAAAGGCTCGATACTCCAAAATTCTTTGTCTACTCACATCGCCCAAGACGATCTCCCTGACCCAGTCTTCTGTCCTGTCCAGGCTGATATTAACAGGGCGTTGCCTAGCTACTGGTGAAAGGGCACAACTGAGTATAAATTCTCTTGATAAGCCCTCTCTAGTTGGAGCCTGTTCCGCACTGACACCAGCTTGCTCTGTGTGATAGCTTTGACCTGTTGCGTTCTCTCCTCGCTCTAGTGCCGCAAAAAGTTCCTCTACCAATTTATGCTTCTCTTCGCTGCTGTCCTTTTGGCTGGGGCGTGCTACGTCAGGATCATCGGTATACCTCAACTGTACAACATTCGAAAACGAATTTAAAGGGAAAAAAAACCAAACAACTCACACGCAAAAATTAATGGAGGATGAACGATCTCACAGATAAGCTCTTGACATGCACGTACATGTAGGAAGGAATCACACCAAACGAACGCCCTTTAACTAGGGCACCTGATTAATATGATATTTTCTACTGATCCGAAAAGAGAAAGTCCATTAAATTACTTATTTCAACTTTAATAACTTTAATTACGTGTATTTAACCACCCATTTCAAGAACCACAAGCTCATAATGCTACGATGGTTGTCTAAACATGGCTCCATTGTCCAACGTATGCTGGGTGCAAATCTACAGGTTTACAAAGGCCTTGAGTGTCTCTTAAATCTAACTCTCTTTTTATTACCTGAATTTTCGTTCCCTTTGTGGGTCTGTTTTGAACGTGCCATAAAAATCCACACATATTTACATATTGATAACTGTTCAGTCTTGTAGTTCGCAAATGAAAAGTATATAATGGGGCAAGGAAGATATATTATGCAGTAAGGACACTGAATAGTGACAGAAACTCGTTCCCATTCCATATCAACCTAAGTAAGTAATGTAAGAACTAACTATCTTACCATAACCTTGATCTTAGCCAGCTGTGCTTTTGCATGATTCACACAGTTTCGACGACCAGATATAAACAGTTGAGTGTCTAAACAAAGACAGAAAAAAGAGTGTTACCTAAGATGTACAGGTAAAGAGAGTTTAAAAGGCATACCTGGATGACATACCAACAGTTTACTTAGAACAGGGAAATGAGTTCATTGGTGGTTACCCCAAGAAAACCATAACAACAACAACAACAAGAAGAATAATGAATATAACAATTCCACATAAGCTGAGAACTAACAGAAACTGTGCTACAAAATTTGATGGAGTATAATACCCCTCAAATGGGGATTTTTTTTTGCCGTGCTGGAAAAGTTGTACATTGAAAACCTAACATGCTTCTAAAGAAGGCGAGAGAATAGGAGGAGGGGGAGATTTTCCACACCCCATCTTTGTGTGATAGAAACACTTGAGTAAGGCCTAGCACGAATGGGCATTTTTTTGTAAAAAGTCCAGTAGATTATTATATAATTTAGAGAAAAACATACAGCTGTAACTACCCCTGCCATGAAAAGAGATTACATGCAGGATAGGAGTGAGGTAGAAGGTTGGACCCTGAGCCAGAAAATTCCCATACAGATCTGAGCTCAGTTTTTTCCAGAACATACATGTACACTTTGTACACAAATGAACTGCATGCTTGTGCTACAGATGTTCTCAACTTACCATTAATCATCGTAACACTTGCCAAAGAAAAAAATGCCAATCTATCAGCCAGGATGCTGCATCCATCTGACTGGAGGTGCTGAAGAACTACATCCGACAGTGGAACAAGTGCACCCTGATTCAAGATCAAATCAAGTAGTGTTGTGAATTACTATGTATCTACAGTGTATCAGTTTTTGTTTTGCAATGGCTAAAAAAATCACCAAAATAGTAAACCTATCCCAAGAATAAAAAGAAACTGTGATCAGTTGCTTTCCTGAAACACGTAAAGAAGTACTCACAAACTGCTCTTGGAGGGCAGCAATGACACTGTAAACTTTCTTTTTTGCAACCTAATCGGGCAATAAAAATAAAATTTCAATGGTTAGTTCAAAAGCATCTGCAGATAATGATACAAAAGTGTACCAAAGCTTTCATTTAAAGAATTGTAAACAGTTTGAATATCATCACACCATGTACATGTGGCTGCAAAGCTGAATTACTAAAATATACGTTAAGAAAATAATTCAGTTATAAACTTGTGCTGCATCAAAACCAAAATGCATAGATTTTAATCAAGATGGATAGAAGAAAAACATTTTTGTTACAAACTTTAACCCTTTAAACTCTGAGAGTGATAAGCATCAAATTTCTCTTCACAACATCCCCCCTGAATCACACATTAAGGTCATGAGAATAAAGGAAATGATCACCAACAAAAGAAGCTTTTGATTAGTCATTAAATTCTCCTTGTCAGCACCTTAGGAAATGTATAAAGAACAGCATGGAGAATATATACACTGATTTTAGGGTGTAATGGGTTAGGGTGGTGTATTCATATACCTTGCACTGCTGAGGGTGACCAGTTATTGTAAGAACACACTTTTCTCTGTTGGTGTGTATCTTACAGCCAGTATCAGCCTGTGTAAAAGAGTAATTGAACAGAGCGATACAATGTAAGTGTGAGAGATTTCATGGATCTTGTTGGTTTGATTCCTGTGTATTCCTTTCCATTACATTTTAGTGTAAACCTGCAACTGTAAGAAACTCAGCCAGTTAACTGTTGATGTTTTCTTTGGTTTCTTTTAACTAATTTTCTCTTTCCCTTTTTTTTTGTTTTCTCATTCACCTGTTTCTGTTTCTGATTTAACATTTTTTCAAAATACTTACAAGTGTAGTACACATAAATGATACATGAAATAACCAACATCAAAATACCTGAATTTCTCTCAGCTGCCACCCTTTTAGACCTGCAGAAATGAACACAATGTTGGTCCTTCAAACTAAAACTCTTTCAAGACCAACATAAATTGTACATTTCAATGTACAAGCATTTTAAAAATACCACACCACTATTCTAGTAAGTACAGATAAAAATATGAAAAGGGGACTAGAATCACTGAGTACATGGTACACATACAAATACTGCTAATCTAAAGGTTGCTTCTTAATCATACATTTCCCTCATACATGTACAGTTGATTGCAGAATACTGACCCTCAGTCTCTTCTTGTGCCATTTGAACCTCAACTGTCTCTTCCTTGAAATGCTCAGTTCTGAAAAGGTTACATGCAGTAAATAAAGGAATAACAGCAAAATCAGGTCCATCATTCTGCAAATGCACTGTGATCCATGTTGTATAAAGTTGAGCTCACATCTACTGTGTAAATGAGCAATAATATCCCCAACATCTTGCAGGAACTTATAGTACAATATACACTGATTGAGTCAAGATGTCCAAACACCTACATGAACTCAATTACTGACAGCATAGAGCTACTTTTACATCAGGAAACAATTTGAGTGAATGTGTTGAAATATCATTATGAAAACTGGTAAGGTATCATAAACAAAAGGAGAAAGCAAGCCAACATTTAGATTGCCAGTAAATGTACAGTGTATTCTGTATTACCCTTGCGAAATGGCTTTTGGAATTCCTAGGAATTCCTAGGAATAAAGGTGTAAATTTTCACAGTAAATTCGGACTGGGAATTCCTAGGAATTCCTAGAAATTCCCAACCATAACAACTCTGGTTCTAAAAACCTAGAAATTCCTAGAAATTCCCAGAAATTCCCAGAAATTCCCAGAAATTCCAAGTTTATAGCCAACAGGACTTGGAATTCCTAGGAATTCCTAGGAATTCCAACTCAGAGAACCAATGACTTTCCCTGAAAAGCTGTAAATCTAAAAAATTCCTAGGAATTTCGGGAATTTCTGGGAATTTTTAGGAATGTTTAAGAATTACTGGGAATTTTAAGCAAAAATTTGAGGCTAATGATATAAAATAAATACTTTAAATTAAAAAAAACCCAGCTAAAATTCAAGTATTCAATGAAATTTATTTAGAAGCTTAATTAAGGCTTACATGTAAAATATTTTTGATTAATTAACATCAATGTGTGGTAATATTAGGATGGAATTTGATTTATTTTTCTTTTCTTGAAAACTTCATACGGATTAATCCTCAATTACAGCTATTCATATAAAATAGTTCTAATCAATCATTAAATTTGGTTTGACACAAATTGTGAATAAAATCTGTTGATTCTTTTCCATAAAATACAATATCTTAAGTTATATTTGAAAACCAAGCACTCTTGGGAGTGAAGGGGCTAATTACAGACAAATAAAATTGATTTTTTGATTAAAATCTTGTTGTAACTGTAACAATAAATTAGAATGAAGTTATCCTAAACTGCAAACTTAGCTGCTGTTTGTACTGTTTGTTTTTTTTTTTTCCTGGGCTCACAATGAGTTGGCCTTGAATGAGGTTGTCAACAAGAACCTTGACCATTTTGTATCTGGATTCCTTGACATCTGAATTTGAAAAAAATAATATATTAAAATATGTATATTTAAAGCTCAGACCAGGCTTTTAAGATAGCTATGAGGAAAAGGGCATTCATTGGATTCTCAAATTGAGAAATCTCTGTTATATTGAGTGACTTTTATATTGGAGTTAGTACATCTCTCTCATAGATTTTACTAAAAAAGGGCTGAATACATTATTTTGTTTTTACCAAGGAGGGCTTCTTTATGTACTAAGGTTTGTTTAATAACAGTTCCTATTATGAATCTTGAATGTTCCCAAACGTGACTAGAGGAATCTTGAAACCTTACTGATAGGTTTATTTCATTGTAAAGCATAAGCTTAAGAAACTGCGGCATGCAAGTGACCGATTCGATTCTCAGAATTATTCTAGTTTCAGTTGCGCCGAGCGTTATGTAAGCTTAATTCAACCCGCTAAATCTATTCTTTTATAAGATTTTGATCACGTAACGAATATCGCAGTTTTTACTCACCACAAACTTTCAAAATCGTAGCTTTACAAATGGCCACTCGATCCTTGTTTGTACCAGTCGATATGTCAACTGTTGTCCCTTCTTTTAACTCCACGGCGCCAACGACTTTCTTTTCTTTTACAACACTCACGCTATTCTCGTTTTCCCATTGAACCACAATAAAAGCTATCTTTAGAAATGTTATATTAAGCAAAACAGTTGAGAAAAGCGATCAACCGATCCAAAGTACATTCAAAGATGAGCGCCAAATGGAGTCTTCTTTGTTTCCGATCACGGGCATGATCACGTGGATCTTTTAGGACTTGTAATTGGCTAGCAAAGTGAATCCGCTGGCTTGCCGATTGCAGTGTTAAGAGAATCGTACAACTTTATTCTGACTTCTCCGACCGGTTCTCTGCTTCTAGAAGATGGATAGCTTGGTGATATAAATAAAGATGTGAGCTCACTCTATGTAGAAATAATCGAAAAGAATCGATCGTATTACAAATGCACGATTTGAGGCCGAAAGTTGTCGAGGAAACAAAGACTCGAAACTCACTTGAGTTGTGTTAATGGCCAAGGTGAGAAATAACACAAGCCAATCACAGTTCTGAATGCGACTACAAATCGTCTTTTACCCTTATATTTATAAAAGAAGGATACCACAATCGGAAGTATAAGAGAAACATAGATGATCCCAGTGTACCAGTACCTAAATCTACAAAGCTTGACCGTAGCAAGCGTTCAGCAACACGTTCCAACACCGCCATCTCGATTCCTCAGTCAGTCGTTTCCACTGAACTTAAAGCAGTATTGACAACAGAGTAGAGTGCGTCTTACAAAGGAGAAACATTTGTACAAGAGACAGGAGTAGCTATATGCGATTACAGAGGTGCGTTGGAACTCTGGTCCACAAATAGTTATGCACTGCCCGAAGTATAAAACAATCTTGTTGATAGCTGACAGACAGAAAAGAACAACAAGTAAACTTAAGAGCTGTTATTATTGAAGTGTGACTATCACTTTTCATTTTTATATAAAGAAGGACTTGTAATTTGCACCAAAAATAAAAAGATGTAATATTTTTTTGGGAGATCCAGTGATTGGGACATTTAAGAAATTAAGTTATGAAAGGAAACTTGGTTGGTACTTCTCACTACTAACAAGTCTTGTTGACAAATATTTTCAGATCAGAGTTTCAAATAAAGTAAATTGAAGACGTCATATAAAAGGTGTTTTTCCTCTAAGGGAACATTGACTACCTCTGTCTTGTCTGCATGCCAAATGTTTGCAAAGTGTGTGGATGATCCACAAGTATTGGAACTCTTACAAAAATGTTTTGTAAGAATAAAAACATCAAAACAAATTACAGCAATTAGTCATGAAAATAGAGCAAAAACTGAAAAAAAAAGCAGCAACAACAATCATGAAAAAAGAAAGATTAATTAGGTGTTGAATTTGTTTGTCTAAGGCATGAAATTTCTACTAAAAGTATTGTCAACAAAAAGTCTCTGACAGCGTTTGAGGCAACTGAGCTTGACTGTTCCAAGGTTTTCTAACAAAGGCAACCAGTAATGTAGGTTAGGGAAGTAAGATAACAATGTAATTATTGTTAATTATTGTAGAAGTTGGCAATTTCCATTTAACATAACTGACAGCTGGTTCATGAGAAAATCCATATTAATGTAAAGATTTACTAAAACTTAGTTTGAGTAATAAATTTCATGATCTTTAAGTTATAAACATGTACATGTATGTATATCTCTTGGTAAGTTTTGTATAGCATACCTTTTATTGAGCCAAAGTTTTAAGCCTCTGAAATTACTCTTTTTCTTAAAACCTTCACATTCAAGGTATTGAGAATTTCTTAGAATTTATGTGGACCTCAGGGTATTAAAATTGCCTCAAATTCAATTCCCAGAAATTCCCAAGAGTTCCACACTTCTTAAATTATAGGTAGTTTGCAAAGCTGAGAATTCCTAGGAATTCCTAGGGATTCCAACTCCTCACAAAACTGGAGTCTTCCTTTCCCAGAAATTCCCAGTAATTCCAAGCTTTTTAAATCAGATTTAATTTGCATAGTTGGGAATTTTTGAGAATTCCTAGGAATTCCTAGGAATTCCTAGGAATTTTTAGGAATTCCTAGGAATTCCCAGAAATTCCCAGAAAACTGGGAATTCGGTTTACAAGGGTCATTTGCATAATTGGGAATTTTTGAGAATTCCTAGGAATTCCTAGGAATTCCTAGGAATTCCTAGGAATTCCCAGAAAACTGGGAATTCAGTTCGCAAGGGTAGTAAACTAGAGTGTAACCACAGTGTACCCACCTTTCTGCTATGTCAACCTGTTCATCTGGTTTTGGAAGCCCAAAACCTCTCTTATTTCCTAAAAAATACAGCACAATATACACATTAGTGCAATACATGTATGCAATCACAAAGATGGTCCACACTGGCAAGCAATTAAAGATTGGTAAATATGTAAGATATTTGCCCGATGCTAGCTCCAGAAATTCCCATGTCCATCACTGTAAACAACATACAGAAGCTGCAGATGAGTATAATAAGTGACGTCTCATTATTTTAAATTAGATGTAAGAACCAACAAACCTTTTTCATGAGAGTTTTGCTTTTCAAGTTGTAGATCACTCAGACTATGTCTCCTTGTTTGCTGACTAGCTGTAGAGGTAGGATCTTGTTTGGACTCATCCAAACTCATGGATTTTCTATCTCGCCAGTTCTTCTGATCAGAACCACTGCTCCAAAAGTCGATAAACTTTTCAGGCTTTTGTTCCCTGTAGTTTATCCCAGACAAATTATTGATAAAGCTGTTCTGTGGTTCTCTAAAGGCCACTAGTGGACTTTCCCTCCAATTTCCCACAACTTCTGGTGATTTGTTTAGAATTGGCATTTTACTTTCTCTCCAATTCTTACCTGGGTCTTCTAAATCTACCAATGGCTCTTCCCTCCAGTTTTCTGTAACTACATGATAGCCATGGATATCCTCATCTGATTTGCCAATGTTAGATAGTTTTCTCTCTCTCCAATTTTCACAATAAGCATTAATGGTGTTATTGTTTTGTGCTTCTTTCAAATTAACCAATGTTCTCTCTTTCCAGGTGTCAGCAACTGTGTAATGACCATTACCATCATCCTGAGACTTGTTTGTTTTAGCTGGTTTCCTTTCCCTCCAATTCTCAGTGACTGGACTGTTGTCATTAGCATCTTCCAAGGATTTTTCAGAGCTTAACACTGTTTTTTCTTCCCAATTTTCTCCATCCCTTTCAGTGGTTTTATTCTTTGGATCACCAATTTTTTTCTCACAAGGGACAATGTTTAAATGCTGCTCTTCATGACTTGATGCAATTGTTTTGAGTGGACAGGTATTAATAACTAACCCAGAAGACAGCTCCTTGACCTCAGAAGAGTTTATTGAATTTGATAAAACCTTTCCAATGGTGGTCACATCATCATTAATCATGTTTTCTTCTGTATCTGACAGTGACAAAGATGCCATTCTGGTGACTAAACATTCAGAATCCGAGGTTAGTGATGAATCACTCTTGAATGAATGTCTCGGCTCTCTAAATTCCTCCCAATGTAAGGCAGGATGAACTTCACGTGTTTTCTTCTCAAAGCCCATTTTGTCATTCGTAGCAAAAACATCATCACTACCATCACTTGAGTTGAAAGAAGAGGATGCTTCTTTTAGAATATTGTTAGTGAGAGAAACATGGGGTGCAAGTTTATTCAAAGATACAGGCTGTTTACATGTAGCCAATTTCTCACCATCACCAAAAGAATATAATTTGAGATAAGCCTCCTTGTCTTTCTCCTTGAGAATTGCATCCTGAGCTAATGAAAGCTCTTGCTGTATGTTCCCAGATGACTTTCGTAATTCAGACTCATTAATTCTCAGCACTGCAACAGGCTTGATTCTTCTAAGATCAGCACCCTCTGCCTTAGCATCGACCATTCTTGATTCATTTTGGGAGGAAATTGCTTCAGTTTGGACATGTGTATCTCTGCATGACAAATCCTTCTGATGTTGGTCAAAAAACTGCACAGAGAAAGCAATAACTACTCAGGCAAAACATAACAAGGTTTGAATGACATGGTCGCGTGTGCATTCACTTAATTTGCATACGTTATTGACCAAGCAAGACAGCTGGAGGATGGTCAAGTCCTTTTTTTAGCATTTTCATGGACCAAGATGAGGTCAAGGTCCATTAAAATGTAAAAAAAGAACAATGCTAATATCTAGTCATTTCGACTGAACAAGCGTAGTCCCAGGCAGGCAATACACTATGTTGCAATAGGGCAGGATGCCATCCTTAGAAAAATAGGTGCAATTACAAGAAGGATCAAAATTAGGGTCTGTACCACGCATTCAACTGTTACTGACTTTTAATGCCATTGATTTTAAGGAGGCCCTGATAAAGAATTTCTGAACTTCCTTTGTTTCATGCAAAATTCAATTGTTTGATGCATTCCTTTAATATTCTTAACCCTTTCACTCCCAAGATCTGATTAGTAATTCTCCTTACCAGTTACCATACTATTCTTATGATGTTAGTTTAGAGAATTTGGTATTGGATCAACTAATAATCCCATAACTGATATTCTTCTCTATTCTCATCACCTGCCTGCTTGATATTGTATTGATATTGTAAGGAGAAGTTCTGTCTTGGTCACTTGTGAGAGTGAAAGGTTTAACTACGTTGCTGTTTTGCAAAAGCTGCCAATAAACTAGATATATTGCCGCAAATAAAACGAAAACATTCTTATCATAGTCATATTCTTTAGTAGTCCAATGGCACAACATCTTTTAATAGGAATGCAACACTGTTAATGAACACCCTGCTTGGAAGTGCCTGACTGCAACTGCAACAGCTTCAAGTTATACATGACTAAAATAAAATCTAGATGTACCTTTAAATATGCTCCCTTGTAATAATTCTTTGTTGCCTCTGACACCTTCCAACCAGATGACCGTAATTCCTGAATCTCAAGTAGCCGAAACCTAGAGTACTTTGAAATCTCTCCAGAAATTAACTTGTTACTGATCATCTGGAATGTTCGTTCTGTATTTACAGGACACTTCTCTTCAAGAAACTTCCCACAGGCTTTAAGAATGTCACACTGGGCATCACAAAATGCTTCACTAACCCATAAGTTTGGAGCAAGAGGTTTGCTGTATGGCCACAAAGCCCTAGCAATTTCTTCCAGGTAGCTCTGAACAGCCTCTAAGTGTGAAGAAGGGATATCAGTTAACCTGCTCAGATTGTGCAGGAGGGAAACAACATTAAACTGAAGTGTGTTTGGAGTGCCGAGATGAGTTAGTACTTTCAATAATTCCTCACAAGCCATTTCCAACTCAGTAAGCAACGAAGAACCATTTTGCACATTGACAAGGTCATAAAAGAGCTGTGCTATAGTTGGTTCTTTGTATCTGTCAACCTTGCAACAGGAGCAAAACACATTGAATGTTTCATTGATGTTCTCAGTGTCACCCAACAAGGTCTGACAAGTCCTCATAACTTCCTCTGAATTTTCACGACCATTTGCCAAGGAATAAAGCTGTTTTTCAAGTTCAACTAGCCTAGGTTTATTTCTACAAAAATCAACCCTTTCCACGACTGGACTACAGATAGAATTTTGAGAATTTCTTCTTAAAAGACATTTCTGATCCTCAGAGGGTCTTCTTGTCTGTGAAGCTAAAGCCATTCCTGCTACTTTTATCTCCCACTACACATAAATCTGTGGATTCAAAATACATTATTTTAACACCAATTGCTAATTCCAACTGCACATACATGCATGTGTAACAAAATTTCAATTTGAAAAATTTTCCCTTCAGCAGTGAATGTTGATTCACACTACTGGGGAAAGGGGGGCTTCCTGTGACATCTTAATTTCTTAAAAGACCTCCGAAGAATTCAAGCAACCTTGTTCTTATCTTGATCTGTAGGGTATTCATAAGAAACTGTACAAGCGTGGCATGAAGTTCAAAGATACTCAATTCTGAGATGCAAAAAACACTGAGCTTGAATTTTGACACTTACAACTGGGAAAGATTTCTGCATAACCCCTACTAACTGTACGCTAACACAAAGGCTTTGTCCCAAAGGAAATGTCTCCATTGTTTTCGTTTACCCAAACCACACGGATAGGAAGTGCGGGATTCTGCGGAAATTTTTTCCAAAGGAAAAAACACAATTTCGAGAGACTGGAAATGAGATCTAAAAATTTGTTTCGATAGAAAAAAAAGATTACCTCCCTCAATCTCTAGGCACTTAGTATAGAGACAATTTTGAGAGTGTTAAACGCTGACAGATTACAACTACAAGTGATCCGTTTACGGTTGATATTTATAGAAACCCGAAAAAGACAAACGACAAGAAACGATCATGAAACTTCGCTAGCTGACATAACTTCAAGCATATTAAAAACCTCCGCTAGCAATTCAAGCAAATAATTTAATTTGTTACAGGATACTAAGCAGAAAAAGAGGATTGAATAGGATTACACGTATTATGTTTTTTATAAGCTGTCGTTATGTTTCCTGAGAAGCTTTATTCTGTCCACAATCCGTTTTTGTTTACCATGTTGACTTTTGAAAGGATATATAAGCAATTGTATCGTTAACCTTGACCTAAAGTGTGGTTGAAAATGGATTTCTTTCCGTTCTTTCATAAAACCAACCTTCCTGGCCGAAAAATAAGCTTGCGACATCTGTTAACTTCAAATGGAAATTTCCCGTGGAAAAGGTGTGAATTTTTGCCATGGGACATCAAACGAAAGTTCCGACCGAGTCCATTCAAACTTAGCGAATAAAAGATACTATGTTTTAAAGTATGAATTTTAGAAAGGATCAACAACGTCCCTTAAAGGTAGGAGGTACGGAGAATTCAGAAACCCGACGCACCGAGGTTTTAAAGGCGCAGAAACTGTCTCCATCTGTTCCGCGTGGTTTCCCAACGAGAGACATCCGGCAGTTAAAATACAAATCAACAAAGGCAAAATATTTGACAGCATCTAAATAAGTTATTATACCTTAAACTGTAGCTACTGGCTAAATTCATTGTACCTTTAAGTGAAAAGTCGTAACCTGCCGGGACTACCAGTAACCAAAATAAACACAGCTTGCTGAGCACGACACAAATGGTTCAGTGAGCGTCAACTTTCCCGGGAAAGCTCATCTGACAATCCCGTCACGCTTTGCGTGAGTTGAGACGGACACGTATGACTACAAAGAAGGGAGCCCGAGGATTTGAGTTCTCCCCCACCCCCCCTCTACTTTATTAAAATTTTGAACACATGAATACAAATCGTTCGATTAGGTTTGACTGACTTTCAATCTCGACTGACATAGTTTGTATCTTATCATAAAGTTAGACATGTCTATTTGACCACTTTCGTCAGGGAGCCCATCATGACTTAAACAATGAAGGTTGTTTAGACACGAGACTTCTATTATATGTTTCGATTTGCTTTTTAATGACGTGACAAAAGGAAAAAACATGTTTGGAGGGCTCAGTTAACTTTGTTCTCTATATTAAATTCTTGCCGGTTCGATTTCCACGTTCTCTCGATTCCTTTGTTAGTCAAGTTAACTTGCTGAAGAACTTCATCAGGGTCTCCAGGTTCCTCTCGTGTAACTGGTTATCGAGCTTGCATGACTTGTCGCATGAGGATTTTCCTAATTTTCTGGACTTAATTTATGCCTCGTCACAGCTTTGATAACATTATTTTTCCTTGCTAATTTAAAGATTTCAGTATTATTTACCAGTTTCTTACCCAGGGATTTTTTTTTGTTCCGTGTGTCAGTAGTCATGGGGGTTTTCGATTTTAGCATTTAATTTATGGAATCTTAACCAACTCATTAATAATCGAGACTTCGTTTTAAGCAGGTAAAATTTTGAAAAGTATGAATGAAGAATATTTGGAAACTGAAACACAGCGTCAATGACTAAAAATAGACAGCTGAAACCAGATATGCCTACACATGAAAGATTATAATGATAACGCAATAGTATATTTGGCTTTTTTTTAACTTTTTTTATTTACCATGGAGCGAGGGCTTACAGACACTCATGAATGCTAGGGCAAACATCTCCAAATTTTTGTATGTGGGTGTTATATTAATAGTGACTCATGGCACGTTTTATCTCTTCGACGTCGATTTTTCTTGTATGGTGATGACGCCATCTGCAAAAGCGGATACGTCCGCATCTTAAGGAATGATATCCACTTATAAGTAGAGGCGTTTGACTCGTTCTAAACTCAGCTATCTCGAAGGAAACCTAACAAAGACCACATAACAAAAAACAACCCAGTCTAACCCGTTGTGGTAAGTAGGTCCTGTGATTACATATGTTTATTATAAAAACGCCGTTTGTGGCTAATCGACTTTTCCAGCTAAAAGCGAAGTTTTCTGTAGATTCAGTGTAATTTCGGCCACATTAATGGACACATATGGAGAATACACATGTCTTAGAGCAACACTTTTTGATTCTCTGTCTTTTGTTAAGTAAAAGAGTTCCAGCGCACCCGCCTAATAATTTTTCCCCGATAAAAGTTCGCTTCAAAAAAACATATTACATACGTAGAAAATGAATAAAACTGACTAACTAACTCTAGGGACTATTTTAAACATTTTATTCCTTTTGCACATTCGTTTGAAAACATAGCTGTCAGCTGTCTGGCTCTCCATCGAAGCATTCGTAGGTGGTCTCGAAAACTTAGAACAAATTTTTATCTTTAAAATCGCCTCCTTATTCCCCTTACGAACAAGGAATGCCTCATTTAATAAATCAGTTATTTAGTCGATTGATCATCCACTTTCATGCAAATAAGACACAACCTATGTACAGAAATCAACTCGACTTTGCTCCGCAGAAGGGCTATCGCTCGAGTACTGAAGCTTTTTCAAAATTTCCTAAACAGCGCTTTATCGACATTTATCAACGTCTAAATGATCATCATCTAGATGACTCTTTTTCTGATAGTTTTCAGTCAACAGTGCGAAACAATTTACTTTTCAGCAGTCACATCACAAAACAAAAACAAGCTTTTAGCCAGTTGCATTGGAAAAAGTAAAGATGGCCGAGCAGCGCTCGGTATGTTCTGTGTTTGTTATTTTTGTTGTTGTTGTTTTTTAAATTAACGAACGCGTTTGTAAGTTTTCCCGTGACAAGTGACACTAGGTAAACGAAATATTCTCCAGTACCCGTCGATTTCATTATATTTACAGTTCATTTCTGTATTTTAGTCATCAAGGACTATGACCAGTCCATTCTTACGGATAAATTTAAAGATTTCTTTTTTTTTAAATGATTTTCCACAGAATTCCTCCCAAGGCTTCGATGAAACATCGAAAATATGGATTGAACCATTCTCTACTCTTATCAATAGTATGTTTCCAGTAGAATACATCTATGCAGATTGGTTTGGATGGCAAGCATACAATCAAGCACAGCGGGCAGATTCAGAATCTCTCATAAGTTTATCTGAGCAAACTTTAGTAGCCGGAAGTCTAACAGAAGGCTATTGCATTCCCCAGTTCTTTCTCCGAAAAAATGGCATTGACCATGGTAAAGCCTTTGATTTGGATGATGTGGAAGAACATTGGCGATGTGATTTAGACTTGATGACAACAAATGAATCCTTTGTTGAAATCGATGAAAAGACACGCATACCGATATTCACTGTTGAACATCTAGAAGATGACCCAAAGTTTGTCAAGCTTCGGTTGACAAAAGAGTGGAAAGAACATCGTCCACGTTATAAGAATGTTTCCTACCTTCATCAGTCATATTTGCTTCCTTCAGCAGATCATTCTATGCACGGCACAGAGTCGACTTCTTTTCATGGCAAGAAGAGCAAGTGGTCATACACGCTTCATGGTCCTGTGCGTAAACTTAAGTCCAATGGATTTACCAGTTTCGAAAGAGATGAAACTGATGTGTTCAGGTATCCAACCGCATGGCCCGGACCTGCCATGGAATGGTTGATTCGACCACGCCCAAGTGGTTGGCCCTCGGTCGACCTTATACAAGAAATATTTGACTCCGGTTGTCATTTGGCTCCTTGTGGTAGAGGGAGGCGCATTCACGAGCCTGTGGAAATGCTTAAGTATTTCCAAAACCCGGAGCTCTATGATGGTGGGTCTACTGCACAAGCTTCGTTGTCCGTAACTAAACATGACATAAAGATCATGGACAAAACAGAATGGAAAACATCCTTCTCAATAGCCGAAAATAAGCTCGGTGCAAGTATATCGCCCGTTCAGCGACATGTAATTGTTCTGTTAAAAATTATCAAGAAATTTTACTTTCCAAAGGTGGTATCCACGTATTGCCTGAAAACTATCATGTTCTGGGAATGCCAGAATAGACCGAGGGAGTTTTGGAAAGAAAATAACTCTGCTAAATGCATTCTGGTTATGTTGGATCGCCTCCAAGAGTGCTTAGAGGCTAATTCTTTGCCACACTTCTTCATTCCACGGAGCAATCTTTTGCAGTATGAAGATCCTACCAAACTTAAAGAAGCTGCTGCCATTGTGTCCGATGTAAAACGAAACATTTTTTCAAAGACAACGAGTTTATTGAAAAGGCTCCAGTCACTGAGTTATATGTCACACATATACCTTAGAGGTGTCGGTGCCCAACTCGATAACCATCTGCTAAAAATGCAAGACAAGAATCTCTCAGAAAAAGATCACAGAGAAATGCTCGTATCTCTCCTTGCCCTTTTTGTTCGGAAATGCAAGGAAGTGATTAAGAGCTTAATTCAAGCAGATCCTGTCTGTGAGGGTCAAAATATGGAAAAAGAATTGAATATTTGTTTACAAGTTTATCAATCGATACTTGCACGGAATTTGTACAAGCTGTGGTTTACCAGGAGCAGAGATAATGCCAAGAATGACGAACAGGAGAAAGTGAATGACTTCACGTCATTCGTTAAGGAAGAGGTTAAGGATCTTTCTTTGCGTGAAGACTTCGTTGCACTTTCCCTTCATTTCTTCTAAGAAGTGAGAAATGAAGGAGAAACATCTATAGCGATTCCATCTTCACGAACGATGAAACACGTTAAAGAGGAGCAAATGAAAATCGCTGTACGGAGTATTGAATTTCCCCTTGCATTTATCAAAGGAACGTTTGCGGACTTGTTGAAGGTCTCTGAGTTGAAGACAGTTGTAGAAAGAGCGTTTAGGAATCTGAGAGAAACGCACTCAGATGGCACACTTATCACCAAAGAAATAGACAAGTTGATGAACCTGGAAATTGCGGCTCTTTGCAAAAAAAAAAGATGGAAGGAAAGCGTGTCTGAATTATTATCGAAATAATTGACAAAAATCTAACTTAAACTGATCTCTGGAGTGGAAAATATTGTTTTAAAAAGAGATAAAATTGCATTAAAAACTTTCAGTGTATCACACTTATCCATGAACCGTAAGTTTTGTCCACCAACTGTCGACTATTAGAAATGTTTATGCAAAACAACGTTTACAACTACTTGAACTTTGTTTCAGTGCCTGCTATATTTGTGGGTGTTTTAAGTGTGTGTATGCTTGTTCTTTCCTATTTAACCTAAAATATTCTGTACCTAAATCGCGTCACGTTTGTTAATTATGAGAAGCCTGTAGCTCGTACAAGCCTCTTGGTTTCTCGCCACCTATTAAATTTTCATATATATTATATTATATTGTATCATATTATATTAATGCATATGTAATTCCTTTTATTTCTACTGATGTATTATAATTATATAATTGCAAAATAACTTAGACAAATAAACGATGAAAATAAACAATTGTAAATGTATGTAAAAGTATCATTAATACTTATATTAATGTATTAATTATATTAAGTATCATTAATACTTATAAAGGATCAAATAAGAGAGTGCAAGATGAGTGGATACCTTAAATAAGTCTACCTTCTAACCAGTATCAAGCTATTTTCTCTGTTCAAGGACGTAAATATGTGTCGTGGCATTATTGGCAATGACAGGGTATGTAGCAGATGCAGCCATTGGTAGACAGATTGCGGTAGGCTTTCTGCTTGATTGTGTTTAAGTTTCCGAAATTTCACTCTTTCAAACTGATTTATCAACAGCCTTGAAAGCTGAAAGAATTTAGTGAAATGGAGGTTAAGATGCACTTTTCATACTAATAAGTTATGCAGGCGTTACAAACTTGAAATGGACAGTGAAGCAGTTACTGGTGAGCAAGAGCGCGCTTTTTCTAGAAACATCGTGAGCTGACGATGTTTCAATCAAGAAATAATAAATTCATGAAATCGATAGACGTTTTCAAATCTCTTACAGGCTTGATGACATCACAAGAAAAATTTAAGAAGGGTTTCCTTGTTAAGGAATTCTCGACTAGAAATCAAAATGGTACCTTAAAGCGAATGAGGGGTAAAAGGAGAAACATTCAATCAGATTTGTTGAAAAGTTAAATGTTGAAACTTTTTCTCTAATCATGCAACTCGGCAGCTGCTACACAAAATTAACATGCTAAACAAAATCAATATGCACTTTTCATATTAGTCAACTTAATTGGAAAGATGTTTCGCTGGCCTAAATTAAAACTCATTGCCATAGTTGTTTATTTCAGATGTTAACGTTTTTTTAAAGACAATTTAACTAAACCTACATTAAGCTAAGCTAAAAAGCAAGTACAAAAGGTAAAGAGTGAAAACAATCTACCCTAGTCTCTGGAAAAATCTCTTACTGACACCCTCTCGTTAGAAGTAGAAGCCAATCAAGCACTGTTGACCGGCACTAAAATCTGAGCACAAAAGGTGAGTTGTTTTTTTTCTCAGGGTGGATTGAAAACACTCAGAATAAAGTTTCAACTATCGACACCACTTGAAATCCGTTTTAAATGCAAAAAAAGACATGTAGGTATAGTCGTTCGCTAATTTTTTATTCATTTCTTTTTTGGGTCGTTCGGTCTACGAAATTCGATAATGAATTGATGAAAAATGTTACGTGTACATCTCAGCAAACCTACACAGAAAACCCTGATAAAAACCTCTTTTCAATCGCAGCTGTATTCAACGTCATATCTCAAACATATGACCCTGAATTTTATTGAGAACGAAATTAGTGAAGGAAGCAAATTCCGTGAAAAACATCTCCAGCTGAGGAGAGAAAAACATCAATAATTCTCTCTCATTAGAGCCGTAAGAGGACTACTGTATTATAATTTTTCTGCCAAACCAGTGCATCGTGCTGTAAGCAGTATTCCATATCAGTTGTCTGTTCGAATCCAGATACACAGAAATATTTGTTCGGGCACATGCATGCAAGTAATGGTGGGCTGTGCTTGACAAGAACTCAAGGTGCGCGGGAATACTCTGGAAAATTCAAGATTATTCTCGTGGGTTCATCCAATGGCCAAGAGTACCACCTTTGCACTCTAAGATCTGGTCAAGAAAATGTATGATTACAAATTAAAATGTTGTCGTTGACAATTTTTCTTTGGGCCATTGCCAAAAGTAAATGTTCGACAAATGAAACATTGTAACTCAAAGCTAGATCTCTCCTTCATGGATCCATTAATTTCTTTATTTGTTTCTTTCCATGAGAAAATAACGGATGGACCCTCTTTCTGAGAGAGTCGAGTCTGAGGGTTTCGAGGAAAGCTTTGATCTCAAAGGAGATGGTGACGGTATCTTCAACGCAGCTGCTTTCCACCTCAAATTTTTTACTATCTCTCGCTCAACCAGTAGGACGTAAGTTCTATTTTTTTAAGTCTCCAAAGGCACGCATAAGGATAACACATTAATTTCATCACATTATAAGTTGAAACAAAGTCTCTGATTCGAAAGATGAATTGTAAAACATGGGATCCTTGAACGGCGTTTTAAATTGCGGAATTTTTTATGGGAACCTCTCACTGTAATGTTTTTTTTATTTTTTCATTTCAAATCTGCCGGATGAAATATATTCGTAGTAGTAACGGTTGATTTTCTAACATTTATCTCCTTTAGTCACTAGGACAGATCAGGCTTGATTTCGTATACATGGAGGATATTCGGAGCAAAAAGGTCCCTTCACACTAGAATGAAGCACTCACTTTATTACGCAATACCTGGGCGAATGAGATGGTCATCCGAGCATTTTCGGAAAACTATCTTTGTAGAATAACGATCATTACGATTCCAAGAGTATGAAACTCAATTTAAGGATTTTTTCCCATGAATCGTTCATGCTGTTCTAATCTCATGATGGTTTTTGCAAGGCCACCAAAACTCACTTGAAGTAGCCTCAAGAATAAAATCCAATATTTAATTTTTTGGAAGCTTTTTGATGTTGGATTTTTCTGTCTTTTCTATTGAAAGGATCCCTCTTCCTCTTACGGCGTCAAATTTATTACCCCTTCTGTGGCATGTAACACAACTGGACAACGTCAGTGTGAGCTATATTTTGGGCACACTGGAAATCACTACTTTGCTCTCAAGAAAAAAGCAAGGTAAAAACTAAATACTAATTGAGTCACATACGTTTACGGAGAGGCAATGATATTAGTTGTGTGTATATGAGGCGGAGTGTAAATTCATCGGTTGCCCCCATTATACTAGTATTTCAAGATTATTCACCGAAGTGGAGGTAAAGAGTGGTAGATAGCGATTTCAACGTCACTGAGGTGAATAATTGCTTCAGTATATACCACACAGACACGAAAAGGTTTATTTATTCTTTCAATATACCAGAATATGGTATATGTAAGTTTTTTGCCGCCTCCTTGGACGAACTTCATAGACCAGCGCGAAAGTTTTTGCTGCGTTAACGACCAGGTTAAAACCCTGATGACAATAGATAAATCAGAAGTATTTCAGCACCCTAAGCCTGAAGTAAATTGGCTGAAGCGAACACGCAAGTCTGTTTGGCCTTCATCAGCCGTTACTGACCAAATTTGAGATCCTGGATGTTATGTGGCTCCTATCGGGAGATGGGCAATAATGAATGGCGCATATCCTTTTCATTGGCCGAAAATTTCCTTGGCCAAAGTATTTCCCCTGTACAGCGACACGTGGTGGTGACACAAAATCATCAAGAAAGAATACCTTAGTAATCATGCACGATGTGATTTGTACCTATCTTTTGAAAAATATACTTTTCTGGGAATGTGAAAACAAGGAGGCAATTTTCTGAAGGGAAGAAAACTGCCCAGCTTGTTTCCTGAATGTGATGGATCGCCTCAAGGAAAGTCTGAGAAAACGTCACCTGCCTCATTATATCATGATAGAAAGTAACCTTCTGCAACATGAATATCCGGTAAAAACTCGACATTGCGGCTTAAGCTGTTAAAGAGGTGAGAGAAAACAGATTGCTGAATACATTTAAAGTTCTAAAAACAATTTGAGTTCCGATGTACCAATCGAGGGCTTATCTTGATGACTTTGATAAGCTTGAGCTCTTGCTACCGAAAGGACAAATGAGTGATTTTACACAAGATGAATTGCGTGAGTTAGTTTGTTAATTTATCAGTTTTTTATGGTAAAATACAAAGAGGTCATCTTGGAAGAGTTCGGTAGAGACCATGGAACTATTAAAGAACAAATAATTAAAATTTTTAGATTTTCTTAACGTTGATTCTGTCGTTGTTGTTTTAAGGAAGGCTATTTCTTGTGAGCCCAAAATGTCGCTGACGATCGTCAATACCCTTTTTTGATCTTCTTGAATCTCTTTCAAAAATCCATTTGAAGGCACTCCGACTATTTTCAATACACCCCGTCGAAATTTGACTTTGGTTATCTTTTTTTGCAAATATCTAAAGATCTATTATGTTCTGAACTGCATTAATAGAAATAAGTTTAATGACATTTTGAGCAACTCAATCTCAGCTTCTGTGTCATTGGAAACAGGTGCACTGCCGCTCCCTTCGCTGCTTTTACGTTTATTAACCATGAGCGAATTACCATGATTAATAGTAGAAATCTCATTGACACCTTTTTCTCCAGTGTCTCAAAACTTCGCTTGTACGTTCATGAATCAACGTTAACTTGAACCTAC